CCCCCCCCCCCGAAATTACATTTCATTGGCGAACTGGCGAATGGCAAATATTGGATTTCCCTAAGCATAAATATACTCCGCGATCCGTCTCGCTTTCCACAAAAAAAAAACACTGGAAGGGGAGAAAATAACAGGAGGAATTCGGGGCCCGGGAATTGAATAAAACCCGAAAAAAATAAAAAGTGGGCAGAAGGGATCCAACGCGGGCGGCCCAGAGCTCATTTTCCTAACCTTTAAAAAGGGGGGGAAGCCTGGGGACCCCCAAAATTATGAGGGAAGGGTCTTCCCGGAGGGCCTTGAGGGGGGGAAGCTGCCCCGCGGGTATCTGGATTCCAGCTGGGGCCGGAATGGGGAGGAAGAAAAAGAAATCGTTTGGGTTGGTGGGAAAAAAAAATATGAAATATGCATGCATGGACATTCCATTGGTTTTTCAACCCCCCCTCTTACCTTGGATATATACCCAATTCGTCGATGGAAAGAAAAGTAGCCTTTTCTATCTTTCTTCTTGTTTGTCTCACCAATATCCTACAAACCCCCCTAGAAAACACCTTAGCTAACAGGAAACCCGCGTCCTTCCCACAAAGTACAGCATGGAAGGATGCAACTTCCTCCGTCCCCCTCAGCCAAATCTCCTCAATTCTCGCCCCATCTTCAGCCCCAATAACAATCCACACCACCCTTACCCCACCCGTCCACCTCAAAGATCTCACCACAACCCCAATTGTCGAACTCGCCATCCTCCCTTTCCCCAGTGCCCTCCCCTTCGAGCAAAAGTCCTTCATAGAAAGCTCCCTATCAAACCTGCGCACCGCATTGCTAGGCATCTGTCCCTCTGATGACGAAGAGGATGATCCTACCACGAAGGAGCATCACCAGCACCATCATCAGCATCAGCACCACCAGCACCAGCACCAGCACCACCACGAGGCGCAAAAGCCCTCCTCATCGCCATCACGGACGAAGTTAGCAAAGCAAGGCCCGCCAGGCTGGTTATCGCTGGGATGGGTAGAGAGGCCCAGAACGGTGGAGCATGCCGATAGCCCCTCCGGGGAGGCGGAGCTGACTATCCTGGTGATTGGCTGGGAGAGCATACAGGAGCATGAGGCGGCGATGGGGACGGATGACTTTGAGAAGGCCTTCGCGCCCGTCAGAGCCAAGATGTTGCCTGGGATTAAGGTGTTGGAGATGAGGTATGTTAGGTTTGGCGAGGAGGAGGGGAGTCCTCGGACTCGGGGAGAGGAAAGGTGGGGTGGGAAAGGGGAAGGGGAAGGGGAAGGAAGGAGCGTGGGAAATGAGCATGTGTGATTTTGTGGAAACTGTACATCTCGATGATGGATGAGAGGAAATGGAGAGAGTCAAAAGAAATTATGTTCTGCGATAAGTGGAGAGGTACATAGGGGGTGCCATGTCAGGCGATGTAATTTTTTTTTTTTTTTTTTTTTTTTTTTTTTTTTTTTTTTTTTTTTTTTTCCTCAAAAACGGATTTTGAAAATTTTGGATGCGACAAAGTTATTTCTTTTTGGAATTTTGGAAGGAGAATGCGTAGCTGTACAGAGCTACCTCGGCGTCATGTCGCATGCACTGGCGAACTAAGAGATCTGATACAGATATATATTTGTATATATCCGTCTGTCCAGTAGTTCTCTTGGTTTAATCGGATCGTACAATCACTGTTCCAACCTCCTAGACATGTGCCAGGGCAAGCTTCTCTCCATGAACTCGCAGCTGTGAGATAAGGGGTTTAAAACAATTAACGATTTTTTGTGGTAATCGAGTTAGTAGTGAGATTTGCCATTAATATTTGTTCGGGGTAAAAATACACCGGAAGAAATAACGAAGAAAAGGGAAGAACAGCCTATAGATTTAATCAATGGGATGGTGAAAAAATAAATCAGTCAGTTTGAAAAATAATGGGACAAAAGGAAATATAAGAAGGGGAAAATAGAACAAAACAAATCACACGACACTAAAAGCCGTGGCATGCAACGGGAGCTACAGAGAGCGAGTAGAATAAGAAAGGTAACAAATTTGTGGAAAACTACTTTTCAATCAACTCCCAGAGGCGAGGGAACCAACATGAAACAACATGAAAATAAAGATGAAAACATAAAGCTGGGAAGATAGCTCCGTAAGTGTTCTAAATTCTGTGCTTCTCACTCTCTGTACGCGAAATGTCATGGTTAGCAAAAGTTTATCCATGTGGGGGGGAAGTAGACCAAACTAGCTCAGATAAAACTACATACCAAGTCTGGAATAAAGCATATAGAGAGCCATTTGGTTGCACTCGGGTGTACCCGTGATAGTAACGAGGCGCTCGTTGCTGTTGTCCTGAGGCTCGTTGATCTTGATAACACTGCCGCTGAGGTGGCGTATTTCGTTGATCTTGGCGCCTCCTTTGCCAATGATAGCACCCACCATATCGTTGGGAATAAAGATCTGCTGTGTCACTGGTGCTCCTGGGACAACTCCTCCAGCAGGTTGAGCAGTTGGTGCACCGTGGACTTGGGTGGGCTGGGGAGCGCCGTAAGGTGCTGGTTGATGAGGACCAGCTCCAGTGTAGCCGGGACGGGAAGAAGAACCGTAATGAAGTGCTTGGTGTGGCATTTGAGGCTGGCCCGGCTGGCCGTGGACGTACGGTACGCCGTACCCACCGGTGGATACAGCCCGATTTGCTTGAGGTTGATGTCTCTTGAAAGTATCTGGATGCCCGTATTGTCCGCCGGCTGGTTGGGGGATGTACGGAACTACCTGCATACCTCCAGGGACGACACCAGCGGGACCACCACTGCGGGTGGCATAAGCGGAAGCTGCAGGTCCGCCAAATCTTTCAGTCAGTTGTTCTACCAAAGTCACTGCAACGTAATAAGTTGCAATGTGAACTGCGTCAGCAACACCCAGGATAACAAGGGTTCGTTCTGTGGAAAGAGGAAGGCATGAATCGGAAGCATTGAGACGAGCACCAGAAGCCTCTTGGATTTCGCGAATGCGTACTCCAGACTTTCCAATGATAGAGCCGATAAGTAGATGGGGAATGAGCAGGCGGAGAGGATATGTCTTTGACTGAGCTGTGGATGGGGCCTCCAGGGGTTCATTGTTAAGAGTACGAATAATCAAACCAAAAGCCTTTTGTCGGGGTACATGTCAGCGATTGCAATATTGAGGAAAATGAAACTGGGTAAATAATCAGCAACCGTCTTGAGAGCATACCTTAGCAACTGCATCCTGCATGCCACTGACGGTTAAAATTCTTTCCACTGCACCACGAGAGTAGTCGCTAACAGTGCACTTGGCACCAGATAGACGACGAATCTGTGAAACATTTTCACCTCCTTTGCCAATACAGGTTGCCGCCTCAGCACTAGAGATCACGGCTCGGATATGGATCCATCCACTCTCATCTTGAGTGGCCTGCTGGGAAGGAGGTTGCGATGATGAACGGTCATTTTGAGAAGCTGTGGACTGAATGGGCTGGGTCTCCAGTATCTGAGCAGCAGATGCGTTCTTGCCATTGGCATGAAGAGCATCGGGAACAACTAAATCACCTTGCTCGTCCTTTACGCCATTTTCTCCGGTGGCAGCAGCTGCGGGTTGAGTGGCAGTATCGGACTTGGCGGTCTCCGTCGCAGAGCTGTCACCTTCTCGAACTACCTTAGATTCTTCCTCTTCTCCGCCCTTTACTACCTTATCCAGGGCGGGACGTTTGGCGTCGGGTTGATCGGTGGGTCCTGATGGAGATGAGGGGTCCTCTAGGGGACGTTTCGTTGACGCCACGGCGGAAGTCGGAGAGGCGGACATATTTGTATTCGTATCGGGGTTGCTGAGCTAAAATACGGTGTTCGTCGGGGATTTTCTTGCTCTGGGTCTGGATATCTTTTCTTTTTCTGCTGCTTCACCTACACTGGGAAAACAAGGATCGAAGTAGGATCTGAATATCTTTTCTTTTAAATTGTTTTCTTTTGTTTCTGAATCGGCTATGTACACCAGGGATTTCCCAAGGAAAACTTGCTGGTGCTGGTGGGTCGGTTGGAGAGGAGGTGGTGCTTGGAGATAGGCTGAGAGTCAAAGAATGAGGATAGTGGTAGCAGGAGATGGTGGAAACGGTGCGGAGAGGCAAATGGAGTCGACGTAGAAATGGAGATAGATGTTGTATTGAGGTGAGAAGGTTGGATTTGGTTTCAGCAGTATTGAGCGAAAGGCTCCAGGAGAAATTTTGGGAGATGCTGGGATAAGAATTTGATCCACAGGGGAGACGGAGGGGTTGTGATATGGTGGTAAGTGGTGGTAGAGAAGGTACCTTCAGCCAGGGAAGGATTTTGGAAGTTTGATGGACAAAGTAACAGGCTCAAACAGGAGGATACACGCAAGTTGTTGGACCTCTTTTCTTTCTTCTTCCTTTTTCTTTTCGTTTGGGAAATATCTCTTTCTTGGCCTCCTTGTCCCAGATCAGACCCCAATATTACGCGAAACCTGAAGTCTTTGTTAGCAACTGAGACGCGGAAAAAGGGGTTAGCAAAAATGACTGACAAATAGGCGCAAGAGTTTTTTTTTCTTTTTTTTCAGTGGAAGACAGGACAGGGAGAGAAGGGGAAAGGGGGGAACGGGAACGGGCACAAGAAGTAAATGGGAGATGGGCAAATATCTCTTACGATGAAGGACGATGACTACTTGCAGGACGCGATGCTGCTGCCGATGAGAGTTGAGAAGAGAGAAAATCGCGAGGAGGCGACGAACAAGAGGAGATGAGGTTGGAGGAAGGTCCAGAGCCGCAAAAGGCTAAACTTGTGGGGGAGCGAGCCGCACTAAGCCTGATGAGGATGTCTTTCGCCCGAAATGAGACTAATGTTGCTGAGCTAAGCCGAAGAAACTAGTCACGTGGATCTTGCTCCCTCTTCGGAAGCTTCCGTAGCACGCAGAGTGCCTAGGTATGAACGGAGACGGGATCTGAACGCGCGCTGGGAAGATGGCATTGCAACATGATACCCTGGAGAAAATACTCCAGTTTGCAGAAACCAATCACAAACTCGAAGAAGAACGCGACCGCCATCCAATTGACCACCGCGCGTACAATCAGAAGCTTGATCAGACCCTGAGCCAACTGCAAGCTCAAGTAAGGCGCCAGGAAGATGCTCTACAACAGGTTAGTTTGAGTCAATTTTTGCTTGTCTCATAGTTTCATCTGAACAGTAGAGTTCTTCCCGCGTTTCTCTGAAACCTAGCAATTAAAACATTTATTTTGTTCCAGCTCCGGCGCTCAACTATACACGGACTTCCCCGCCCAGGCCTCGAGCCCCGCATGCGCCTTGCGCAAATCCGGCGCGCAACAAAAGCCTACAAAAGCCTCTCACAGACCGTGCCAGACCTACCACACCCAGACTCCCCCCTGCCCACCCTCCTCGCATTGCGCGAGTCATCTCGCCAAATCCTGGATCTCAAATCAAGCATAGATGCCACAGCACACGACCTCAGCGCAAGCCGGGAGCGACTAAAGGCCGAACAAGCGGCTGCACGCGACGCGCAACTGATTAGCACAGGTTTAGATGACCGCATTAAGACTCTCCAGTCCGCACGGCCAGAGGAGCGCGAGAAACGGCCGGCGCAGTTGGCGAAGGAGTTCATGCAACAGCAGCGCAGGCGCAAGGTCGAGTTAGAGAAGAAGACGGCTGCGCTGAAGGAAGCGTTGAGGGTATTTATTGATGACCATTTAGCTGCGATGCTGGCTGCGGAGAATTTGGGCGGCCCGGTTGTAGGGGATCAGCTTGAGGTGTCGGATGCCACGCTGGCGGCAGGGTATACGACACAGGGGAAGGAGAGGAGGATTAAGGCTCCTGCTGGTGCGGAGGTGGAAAGGGATTCGAGGCAGCAGCGGATTGATGAGCTGGTTTCTCGACTACCGAGTGGGAGTGGGGGTGGGGATGGGTATGGTCACAGAGGCGGAATAGGCAGCAAGCGGGAGGCAGCTGGGCAAGAGGTTCATGCTTTAATTGATTCGTTGGTGGAGGCGGCTAGTACGTCATCCTATATCAAGTTAGAGCGAGACACTGCCGCGTCTAGGTTCCTGGTGAAAGCGAAAATTGCACAGTTTCATCCGCGGGATGCGCGTCGGCTACGGCTGATTGATTTTGCGAGGGAGCTGATTGATTGATATATATGTGCATACTTATACAAAGACCCACACTGAACATGTCGACGCTACAAACAAAATATGAGGTGTTATAAACAGCTGCCTATGTTCTATGGCTGGAGGTCATTAAAAAGGTACAAAACAAAGACTCATGACCTAATCGAGCGTGTCGTCCCTCAGAGCGAAAAGTTGTTTAATCAACTCATCGGCGTTCGCACGGATCGCGTTGTGATACATAGTATTCGTAATGAACTGCTTGCACCCTCTGATCTTCGCTGCAGTTTCCGTTGCCAATGCGTAATGCACATACATGTCATCCACGAAGGTTGCTGAAAATACCGGTACCTCGTTTTTGGCTAGTTGTACTTCGTCATAGAGATCTGGCCATCCGTCGTACGCTGCAATGATGTCCGCAGCGGCTTTGACTTTCCTGAGCTCATTGGAAGATTCAAACATGTGTGGGTATATCTGTGTGTGTGTTAAATCCCGTCGTCAATCTTGGGTTTTTGTTTCATCCAAGGGGCGGGTGCGCTTTTAACTCACCATTTCCCCAGTGAAAAACAACGAACTCCCCCCAAATTTGTTATTATATGAGGAGAACCTAGATAGCAATCTATCCGCACACCAGTTCGACGGCTCCCTATATAATCATTTATATTTTTGCTCTGCAGATCGTCGCGCAAAGGGGTTTACCTACCCTTGGCAATATATAGCTTCATGAAGAACCGCATAGAGGATATTATTATCGAAGGTAGTAGCATTATCCACTAATGCAAGAGTTGGTGTGGTCAAAAAGTTAAACGTTTCGAGTTCGTTGTGTACTCTTAGCACGATATCTGCACACATTAACAGTGAGTAGACTTGAATGTGACTCCACTACGTCTTTTCTCATACCGTGAATAGAATGTAAGCCGCCTGTTTCACAAGTTAGCCAAAATTGGTTCATGTAAGCCACAACACAAGGATATATCATATGTACATACCTCGCATGCCGAATGATAACCCGAGTGACAAGAATCTGGCGGACGTGAGAACTCCAGAGGGTAGCTCTACCCGGTTCTCGCTCAGATAGCGTACGATTTGATCAACTCTGTTAACATCCTCGGGGAACTTGGAGTAGTACGCTTCATTTCGTTCAAGGACCTTTTCTATTGCATCTCAGTTGTTCCGCTCGCTCCAGTCAGAGCCTTCAAAAACTTACCGTACGTCCGCTCAAGTACAGGCTCGGGTCCCCGTCTGAGAGGAGGGAGACCTCCGGTTGTGAAAACCTCTCGTAGGCCCTCAGGACTTCACAGGCCAGAATTAGCCTCCAGAACAAAAAACTTTCCGAATGAGCAAGAGCGATATAAGATCATAAACCAGCAGCTCACAATTTTGAAAGATAGGTGACAGCGCAAAAACCGCCAAAACTCTGGCCAAGGAGGCTCCACTTCTTCTTTTCAGGCGGGTACTCAACAGTAATATTTTCACGGATAGCCTCGCAATCCCGAACGATGTTATCTGCGCGGAATAATTTGAGGTATTCAGCCTGTTTAACAGCATCGCCTACGAGGCCAAGAGTAGCAGCCGTAATTGGAGTACTCAATCCAGTCCCTCGTTGGTCAAGTAAGAGAATCTATAGAAACAATAAGCTAGGCCATCCAAAGGAGCATATCGCGGCCGATAGTGAGAGTATCTTCTTGAGATATATTGGCTCCAGCTATCCAGCCCGCAGACGAGAGTTAGAAGCATAATGAGCAGCGCATGCTCTCAAAATCATGCCATACCTGGTATCCCCTATCAAGCATCATTTGCACCCAGCCAACGTCCTGTGGCGCCGGCGATGCCATCCCTGGTCCACCTTGTAGGTATAAAAACCAGGGTAAGACCTTTTCATCTCGAGCCAAATCAACCCCTGGCTCGCGGCGTCTTACAGCCCGCCCGAAAAGTCGGATGGTGGCTTCAGTGGGCCGATTGTAATCCAGAGGGACATCCCAGAAAAGTTCAGTCACCTTCAATTTGCCTGTTCGTTGCGCGAATGGTATATTAAAATATCAGTTATTCGCGTCTATATAGCCTCTCGATAGGATATGGGTGTATGGCTTTGCAATATCAAATGTTATTGCGGATAAAAACAAAGCAGCCCAAGCCACCCACCTGGAACAAAATGGGCCTGTGACCTGACTAGTTTTGCGAGCCACATGATGGGAACGAGCTGAGGATGCTAGAGTATCTAGCAGATAGCAGCGGGGATACTGAGCTGAGAACTCAAGAGGATCCCTTTTGGGAACAGCTGGTTTAGGAGATGGTTGTGTGTTCGCGGCGCGTAGTATTTGGGAGAGTTGAGGGGTGATGCAACTAGTTACTGGTAACTTAAATAAATAACCTAGCCAATGGACCAAAGGTTAAATAAATAGGCGCGGGGTTAGTAAGTTATTTATAGGGCTCCGAAACCTCACCCAAGATCGCTGTCGGTCTAGCTATGGTATGGATATGCATATCTGGGCGATGTTATCTATACGAGTACATATAAATAATTCAAACCTCCTCGTGTTTTGGGCCACAAGCTATCACCATCTTATATGATTGAGGACAATGGCCTATGGCGCTATTACATAACTAAGTTAACTACATCTAACAGATAAACTGCTGCTGAGATATACTCATTTAATAATACCATGGTTGAAACAACGCCGTGTCTAGAGAAACTCGGCCGAATAAGGCAAAAAAGGGCAAGGTTTTTTCTTAGCGCTGACTCCAGCCGATAAATGGTGATGTTTTGTCCAGAGGAGCTTGTAGTAAATATCTCTCGGATAACAAGCAGAAGGGATATGTGCGTGTCATAACATACACGGTGCAACATACACACAATATAAACACGTAAGTGATCGATTAAACCTTCCCAACCATGAGCATTCAACCCCTCCAATCCCGCGAGGATAAAGAGTTCCCTTCCCAAATCTGGCAGAAGGCCATCTCGCCCTGGACATCCTCCCCGCTCCCCACATCCACCACCCTCTCCCACGTCCGCTCCTCCCTGATATCCCCGCTCCCTAGCGCCGGCCTGGGATTTTCAGAGACAAAAAGGCATATAGTCAACGATATTTCTCCCGGTTTCAACGGCAGCAGCCTAAGCGCCAATTACTATGGCTTTGTCACAGGTGGCGTAACACCCGCTGCCCTGCTGGCTGACAATATCGTATCTGCCTATGACCAGAATGTCCACGCGCACCTTCCAGACCACTCCGTCGCGACGGATGTGGAGGATCGGGCATTGACGTTTCTGCTTGATATGTTCGATCTGGATCACAAAACATGGACCCATAAGACTATGACGACGGGCGCCACGGGTAGCAATGTACTCGGACTGGCGTTGGGGAGAGAGTTTATTCTTCGGGTAGCCGTGGAGAGGAAGGAGGGTGCGGCTCGGGAGGTTATGAAAAGCGTGGGCGAGCATGGCATGGCGGAGGTGTTGGTTGCTGCTGGCTTAAAAGGCCTACAAGTTCTATCTACATATCCCCATTCGTCAGTTGGAAAGGCAGCGGGGATTCTAGGTATTGGTCGGGCAAATGTTAAAAGCGTTTGTGCTGCTGGTGATGGTTGGGTTCCACTTAAGTTCGACTTTGAGAATTTAGAAAAGGAGTTGGCCAGAAGTGATATGGCAAGTATTGTTGCGGTGTCCTGTGGCGAAGTGAACACGGGGCATTTTGCTACAGGGGGATTGGAAGAGTTCAGAAAGATACGGCAGCTCTGTGACAAGTACGGCGCTTGGCTACATGTCGATGGCGCTTTTGGGATGTTTGGACGGATTTTAAAAAGTGGAGGGGAATTTGATCACATTTGGAAAGGATGCCAGGGGCTTGAGCTAGCAGACTCAATTACAGGAGACGGTCACAAACTACTCAACGTTCCCTACGACTGCGGGTTTTTCTTCTCCCGCCATGCGGACCTCGCAGAGGACGTCTGCCGGAATCCTAACGCTGCCTATCTAAGTGCTGGTGGCGGCGGGATCCCACCTCCGTGTAACAATGGCGTTGAGAACTCCAGACGCCTTAGAGCGCTGCCGGTGTATGCGACATTAGTTGCATATGGAAAGGACGGGTATAGGGATATGTTGGAAAGACAAATCCGACTTGCTAGGTCGGTTGTTGGCTGGCTATTTGAGCATCCCGCCTATGCAGTTCTTCCTCACGACCCAGAGAAGGAAAGTCTTCTGCAGAACACATTTATAATTGTTCTATTTAGGGCAAAGGATGAAGATTTAAATCAGGTGTTGGTGAGCAAAATCAATACCGCTTCAAAAATATATGTGTCCGGAACTAGTTGGGACGGCAAGCCGGCGTGTAGAATTGCAATTTCAAACTGGAGGGTGAACGAAGAGAAGGATTTTGAAGTGATAACTTCAGTGCTGCGTGAAATTGCGGAATAATATGTCAGAAAGAAGAGCACGTTAGATGTACTGTGTTATATATATCCATAGACATATTATCCACATATGTGGAAAATATTGATAGAATACCATAGCCTCTTTCCCACCCTTATCTCCGACGCCCTGCAGATGGAACGTCACTTCTATCGGCCATACTGACGACTTCCCCAATGCCAGCCTCTTCCTGTTCGTCCTCCAGAGCTGTGATTTCTTCTCTACAATCCCACCATTTCTCTTCAGCCAGGATAAACGCTTCCTTCCGGAGTTCCTTCACACTCATTTCTGTTCCAGTTTTATCAGCGGTCATCTTCGACAATAAAATATCCTGCCATTCCGTGGAGGTCCTGGCGAAGAAATCTCTCAGAGACTCAAAAGGTCGAGGGTGAGGTTGAGAATCCTTGACTAGAGTTTCTGGTTCTTGTTCGACCTCCATTTCCGCCTGCGCCTGTTCCGCGATGACACTTGTCGCTGCAGTCGACGCTACTTCTACTGACTCCATGTCCACATCTTCATTTTCGCCATCGTCCGATTCTTCCTCGTCTTCGCCCTCCTCATCGCTGTCGACTGCAATGGCATCGTTCCAATGTTCGGGCTCCCTGTAAAATATCTCCTTCACACCATCTAGCTTTACTAGGTCAATAGAATACATGTCGTTAAATGTAAATTCCTGATCCCCTCTCTCAAAGGTGCCGCCAAACATAAACAGGGTATCATCTAGCACTGCTAATTGAGAATTGAACCTGCGGTGAGGCATTTCAAAGCGAATTGTCAAGTTTCGTTTCTCTCCGGTATCCTCACCCTCTTTTTCTGAAGAATCAACATCCATTGGCTGAGATTCTATTTTGGTTGAATTTACCTTCGATTCAAGGAGAGCAAGGTTGCGCAGCAGCTCCTCTTCATCTGCTCTGCCTCGGCTCCGTTTTGCGGCCTGCGCAGCAGCCTGCTGCTTCTTCCCTGCTACTCGTGGTCGGCGAAGCGACATTTGGAAAAAGCGGTTTCGATCCGTATTCCACGCGTAAAGGTTGTCGAAAAATTCGCTTTCAATTCCATCTTCAGTTACTTCAACGTCGTGGACACCGCCAAACATAATCCCTCTTCCCTTGTGGAATGCCATAGTCGCGCCTACACGCGACGGATTTGGAGGATTTGCTGGTTTTTTCCGCCGCTCCCACCGGATCGTGGGAATTGCAGTGTGGGGGGCATCGGGAGGGGGTGGGGTGATGCGCAAGAACCAGGTATCTTGGTGAACAAATGGCTTGAGGATCATACGCTGCGCCCCCCCTTTCTGTTGCTTGTTGACCGCAGCGGTCGCCTTTACTCGAGAATATCCTCCATAGATTACCGCGCCGAATTCATGTGGAAGAAATGAAAACGATGATCTAGCGTCTGGCTTTTGGGACGCGGGAGGAAGAATAACGTTATGCCACATATACTTTTGACAGTCATATATCCATAAGTCCTGAAGGTACTTTGTCTGCTGGGACGTATCCTGGAAGCCGCCAAATAATAATATATAATTCTGGGAAAAAGTCAGAACCGAAGTGAAATTATACATTAGACGTATATTCAAAAAACTTTGGACATCTTACTTCAATAAACTATCACGTTTAACAACCACATGATAATAATACAGACAAGGGCGGCCTACCTTAAAATAAGTCATTCTATGCCCGCTCCTTGCAGGTGGCCCCTTTCCCTTTGTTTCAATTCTACTCCACTCCCTTGTCAATGGATCTAGGTGCCAGAAATCATTATAATGATAAAATGTTCCCTGTTTTGGTGAGGAGAATTCTCCTATATTTTCTGTCAGTATTTTATTCTACCTTGCATATTTGCATAATACAGTCCGTGCATACCTCCGAATAAATAAATTCCACCTGTATTTCCGCCACGACACCAAGCATGTCCACTCCTGGGGAGAGGGCTATTTGGGCTAGTGACCTCGCGCCACTCATGCTTATCAGCCTGGTAGACGTAAAGGTTATTGTAAAAGGTGGCTATGGTGCCATCAAAATGCTCTCCTCCGAAGAGGAAGAGTTCGTTTCGACCTGCGGGTGACGCGATCAAGGTAGAGGAAGATCGGGGCGATGGTGGCCCACAGCTGGCCTCTGTGACCTTCAGGAACTTGGCCTGTTCTTCTGCATATGCTGCCAAAACAGCATCCAGGTCGACATCTTCAGCATCACTGTCATCAGCCTGTCCCTTTGCTTTGATCTTCTTCTCTTTCTGAGCCGCCTTTTTAGACTGTTTTGCGGCTATACGAGCCTTCTGCTCCGCTGATTTGGACTTCTTGTCCTTTTTGGCCATCCTGACTGAAGTCCTGCGTGAAGTATGAAAAGATATTTGTATGGGCGTCCCCGGCTTGTGCGAGCTAGAATAATGATTGGGCCATTGGATTGGCCGTAAAATCAGAATTGAAAAGGAGTTAGTTACACTTTCATTGGCCGAAACCACTTGGAAAGCCAAAGTGGATCGGATGACTCATGTGCCCTAAAAACCAAAACGGGAACTTTTGAGTAGCGATTCCAGTGTGGATGATAGTGATCTTATTATTATTTATATGTACTACTCTACTGTCAACTGATGAATGGCGGTTGTTAAAGCCTCAGAAGAATTTCCCCTCTACGCTGTGTAAAGTCTGCCCCACAACAATTAAGCCACATCGGGAAGTGGGTTGACATCACGTGCCAACGCGTCCTCATTACTTCAACACGCTTGTTGAAGAGATAACTATCAAGCTCAAACATCTTCCGTGCTGATGACGAATTGCACCAGCTCCCCCAGTTGTCCCCGAGAGCCCTCCCCTTACGAGCTAGCAACGATATGACTCTATGACAAAGCATAATTTACAAGATCACCTGTCTTGGCTGTTGAACCGTGGACCCTTGATACCTCCATCGATACCACGCGCACAAGCCGCAGCTGGAAACAGTGTTGCAGGGCAAGGTGCTGCTGACTTTGGAAATCCCTTGGATGGAGTGCATGCTGCCAATGACACAGTGATATCTGTCTTAGAACCCATAGGGCACGATTTAGGTTCTCAGAATGCTAAGGTTGAGAAGGCAGAGACTGGGTTTGGGATCTCGGATGTGGACATGGCCCGGCTTCAATTTGCTCCCTTGTCTTCAACGAAGCCGCGCATGCTGAGTAGCATCAAACAGAAATTTCCAGCTTCGCCAGATACGCCTAGTGTGCTGGAAGAAAACCATAGCTTTCCTGACCCCAATGAGGCAACTTCTCAAGCTAAAAAGCACAGTTTGTAATCCCGATGAACTAGCCCTTACTCGTGAGTGAACATGCACTGACCATATATTTAGCTAGGGTATGGAACGCTACACGTTCTACTCCACGGCAAACCAGTCCGAGGTTTCTGTCTCGTCAAGCCACCTACCCCGGCGATTACACGCTTTCTGCCAAACATGTTGATGCCATAGACCTAACGGGTGACACTCTCCTTCATACGTCCTCGTCGGCCACCGTTGAAGCCTTTGGCGAGCCACTACGGATATGGAGAGAAGACTATGCATCTCGTCCCGAGCCATTAGGCAATCGTGGAGTGAAAAGAAAAAGCGGGGATTACGAGGCAGACCTAAAGTACCCTACAAAACCATTATCGCGGAGTCCCTCGCCGGGATCCCCATTAACGCTGGATATGAAAGAGCAGCGTGACTCTGTTTCTAGTTCTACTCGTGACAAGTCGGCCAAGAAAGCTTTATTGCATCCGGTTATTGGTGACTCAGAGGGCGAAGACGACGGAGTTGATCTTTTCCCGGCTCTCAGCGATGAAGGTTACCGATCTCCACCTTACTCATTGAGCGGACGTAACCTATATCCAAAGCTATCTAAGCAGAAAGAGGGTTGGCAGGGACAGAATAAATCAAAGAAATCCCCACCGGCTGCTACCCAAACGAGTCCGAAGAGTACTGGCTGTCAGCCATCAACCATTGCTTCTCCTGTCCAACAGCACACTCCTGTCTCGAATGCGCAGAGACTAGAAGACCGCAGCAATGTCTCAGGGAGTTCTATCTCTCGTGGCACCTTTATCCACCAAGGAAGCCAGAATCCTATCCTAGTCAATTTCCTCGCTCTTCCTTCTCGTTCTGTCGAGGACCTTCTTGAAAGATTTAAATCTGATCGTTCCAGGAATGCAGAAATGGCATATCAACGGGCTATGGATGCTATGGATGCCTCTGATTTGATTGACGAAAATAAAATCTTGAATTCTAAGATTGGAGCTCTTGAAAGCCTCCAACAGGCTCAAACAACGTACACTTTATTACGGGCTAAGCAGGAAGCACTTAAAAAGCGGATAATACAGTCCGCCGAACGAGCTGCGATTCTGCCGGATGCCTCTGGTGATGTCGACAAAGCTCGAAAACTTGCACTAGAGGGGCAAGAACAAGAAGCTAAATTAGTGGAATTAATTGAGCAATCAGGGATTCTTGCAGTTGACAATGCGACAGCCATCAATGGGACTAAACCGCCAGCCCATGAAATCATAATCAAAGGAACACAATTTCCAAAGCAATGCACTGACAAGCTTACAATGTCCTTCCAGCCTCACGGACCTCCTCCCTGCCGCCCTAATATCTCATATCCTCCATTACAATCTTTCCCGCAGGCGTCCACGAAACCTAAAACTCCTCCAAGCTTTACCCCCAAAACGTCGGCTTTTGATGGAAATGACGATGACGAATTTATGCTAGACAACGACAATCTCTTTTCCAGAAATATGGGAACACCTGTCGCCTCTGACATGCTAGATTTTGACAATGACGCCGACGATTTTGATATGCTCGAAGCAGCGGAACATTTTGAGAATCAAGGGTCTGTACGCAAATATTCCTTCGGGGGTCAAACTGTACGTCGTGAAACAGCATCTTCTGCCAAGAAACCTACTCCCGAATCATTACAACATCCTTGGTCTAAAGATGTCAAACACGCACTACGACATCGTTTCAACCTCCCTGGGTTCCGCCCTAACCAATTGGAAGCCATCAATGCTACGCTAAGTGGGAAAGATGTGTTTGTTTTGATGCCAACTGGGGGGGGGAAATCTCTCTGTTACCAATTACCTTCTGTCATCCAGAGCGGCAAGACAAAAGGAGTCACTGTTGTTATATCCCCTCTTTTGAGTTTGATGGAAGACCAAGTTGCTCATTTGCGAGACCTCAAGATCCAGGCATCTGTCTTAAACGGTGATGCGAGCAAAGAAGAGAAAATGGAGATATATGGGGCCCTGCGCAACGCCAACGTCGAAAAACTCATACAGTTACTCTACGTCACACCTGAGATGGTGAACAAGAATGGAGCATTACTTGACATCCTGAGTCACCTGCACAGCCGATGTAAATTGGCACGCATTGTCATCGATGAAGCTCATTGCGTCAGCCAATGGGGTCATGATTTCCGGCCCGATTACAAGGAATTAGGAAACACCAGAACGAAGTTTCCGGGAATCCCGCTCATGGCACTTACTGCCACCGCTACAGAAAATGTCAAGGTTGACGTTATCCACAATCTTGGGATGCACGACGCCGAAGTATTCGTCCAGTCTTTCAATCGTCCGAATCTGATATACGAGGTCCGCCGGAAACCGAAAGGCACAAATGTTGTTGCAAGCATAGCCGAAACTATCAAAGGATCATACAGTGGTAAAGCGGGTATCATATATTGCCTATCCAGACAAAGCTGTGAAAGAGTGGCTGAACAGCTTCGCGATACGCACAAAATAAAGGCGGTCCATTACCACGCTGGTCTGCCCTCTAATGACCGAATATCGATTCAAAGAGATTGGCAGCGCGGAAAATACAACGTCATTGTGGCCACAATTGCTTTTGGAATGGGTATCGATAAACCAGATGTTCGTTTCGTAATACATCACTCAATGCCTAAAAGCCTAGAGGGGTATTATCAAGAAACTGGACGAGCTGGTCGCGATGGCGAAAGGTCAGGCTGTTACCTGTATTATGGCTTTCAAGATACGGCATCCATACGCCATATGATAGACAAGGGGGAGGGAAGCAGCGAGCAGAAAAGCCGCCAGCATCGGATGCTCCGCCATGTTGTTCAGTTTTGCGAAAACTGGACTGATTGTCGGCGAGTACAAGTTCTCACCTACTTTAATGAGAAGTTCAAAAAAGAAAACTGTAACCGCTCCTGCGATAACTGTAAAGCGGATTTACCTTTTGAAGAAAGGGATTTCACGGATCTCGCCGCTTCTGCTGTGAAACTCGTCGGGCGTTTAAGCAACCGACAGGTGACATATTTCTACCCTGTGGATATATTGAGGGGTGCCAAAATGAAATATTCGGACCCAGCCGATAAATACTTTCCCGAATTTGGCATTGGAGCTGACCTAGATCGCCTTGACGTGCAGCGAATGTTTACCCATTTGATCTGCGAAGAGGCTTTGAGGGAAGAAAATGTTTTCAACAAAGCGCGCTTTGCCACTCAATATATTCAGCTTGGCGAAAAGGCAGGCGAGTTTCTTGCCCGGCGTAACAAACTGATGTTCCCGATTCGGGTTTTGCCCAATGGCAAGGCTACAGAGAAGCTTAAGACGAAAACGACACGAAGTCACGGAACCGGGGTCCGTGCTGCAGGGAATGAGTATCCACAATCAACAAATGTATCGTCCCCAATCCAAGAATCGTTGCGTCGACGCAAGCTTGGACGAGGGTATACAGCTTGCTATGCATCCGAAGAAGATGAGGATGAAAGTGATGGCTTCGAACCTGTACGTGAGGCTGGAGTACCCCGTCGATCGTATGATGAAAACTTGGGACCTCCAATCACCGATGACGGAAAACTATCTCGGCTTGACTCTCTTCAGAGTATTATAGTTGACGAATTTATGTTTTATGCCAAAGAGGCTTGCCATGAGGTAGGTTACATGCTATATAATTCATCCACCTTCTCAAATGTGCTAACCTGATCTCATCATAGATAATGATGAAGAAGAATCTTCGCAATCAGCCATTTCCCGATGCTATCTTGCGTGAAATGGCCATCAGCTTGCCGCAAGGTATGTTCCTAATAATGGGGTGATGGCAATAAGATACTAACTAATAGCAGATACAAACCAACTCCTCAAAATCCCCAACATTAATCCTGACAAAGTCGATCGGTATGGAATCCAATTTCTTCGACTGATCCGACGAGCAGAACATCGATACCAGGAACTTCTGGCAGAGAGAGATAGGAACGAAGTTCTGGTTCCAGACCCGAATCATGAGATCGTCATCAACATCAGTAGCGACTCCGAAATTGGCCTTGGGGAAGACTTTGATGATTTTATTGGTGACACAAGGGCTGCAGACGGCCCGCTTGGGGAAGAAAGCTCTTACTTCGAACTAGACGACGAAGTCGCCTCATTTAATGCCCGCAGTGAGTTGGTCTTGCTATCAGTCAATTAGTTTCGCAGCTAATAGTACTTTTCGACAGTGTCTCAACTAGAATCCGCCCGGAATTCTGATCTTACAACTAGTGATTATACCAGTCAGGTATACGGCTCATCAAAGCGAGGATCCGGCTCGTATAATAGATATGGTAGAAATTCATTTCGTGGGAAAAATACGAAATCTCGTGCGGGCGGTGGTGGAGGTGTTAGCGGAACTTCAAGTAGAAAGCCTGGAAACTCTCGTTCGAAGAAAAAGGCCCAATCATCGTCTACGCATCCAACCAAACGCAGCGCAAGTTCAGGTTCCGGATCAGGCTCCCGTGGTGGTATTGGTATGATGCCTACATAGCGTGGACCGCTCGTCATGTCGGCTTCAATCTAAAACGAACTCCATTTTTTTTGCATCGCGGTTCATACTCGGACATTCCCCTTCTCCAGTTCGTCTCTCCCAATTTTTTTGGTGGTGTCCTTCAACGTTTCTCCTCAGAGAATCCACCCGGGCGTCCTGTCTAACGCTGCTGTATTTTGTGTATTCGCACCCGTATTTATCATTTTTTCCCAGCATAAAATAGACTTAACAAATACCTAGATAGACGCACGGACTAATAGACCGCTGACAGTATATCTTACGCCATAGGGCAAGTAAGCCTGGGGCGATGAAAGTGTGGCATCGAAAAAATGCATTGCTACGCGGCGCAAGCCTTTTACAATATTCATGATACCCCATGTTCCTATATATATCTCTCGGGTTCTTCATTTATTTTTCTTATTTTTCTTATACTTTATCAAAGGGCGATGTATGTACATTACATTCAGAGCGTGTAATCTCTTTGTTTAGAAGCAGTTCCAACCCCCTTTTTTTTCGGTTCGTCTGGTAGTAGGAATTATTGATATCTCAGCGCTCTGGTGGTACCTTTAGAGACAAATCGCCCCTGAATTTCCATACATGGTAAAAAATGAATCTTTCATAACAATCCCGTCATAATACTACCAACTCCTTCCGTCCCGGCCCAACCCACGCCCATCAGGATCTTTGAGGACGATGAAGGATATTGCGTCAGGGCTGTCTCCAAGGGCAAGGGGAATAACAAGAAAGTGTATGAAATGTTGACGAGAAAAATAGCTTTAAAATACCTAATAGAACAAGAGCTCCGATTAGTTGGGTTTTTTTTTTTTTTTTTTTTTTTTTTTTTTTTTTTTTTTTTTTTTTTTTTCCATCAATGCAAAAATAAAAAAAATAAAAAGTGAAGATAAAGACTCACAGCACCACCTATAATAAACAATCTCTCTCCTTCCTGCTGTGCCCACTGAGCGATTTTGCTTGTACTTTGCGAAAGAGCGTTCCGATTACTATTCGGTCCGGCAACACAATATAACTCAAATACAGGCGTAATCCAAGCAAGGGCATTCATGGAATTCGTTATCCTATGCTCGACCCTGACGTGCGCATGTTTTGCGTGAACACTAGAATGAAGGGAATGGTAGGTTGATAAGAGTCTGGGGAGAGTAACGTGTCCATTTACAATGGTAGTTAGTTACTATGGCCTTAACTTTCGTTGGCATTTTTTTTTCCTCGCTCGGTAGAAAGAATATGTATAGATTTCGCTAGGTGGGTAAAATAGTGATTTTAGGATGTATTTACAGACCTGCGTCTCCCCAAAATCGTTGAGAAGTCCGGATGATATGAGGCCATCGAAAATTGGACATTGGCTTTTGATTTGTAGAGGAAATGCCGTAAGACGGTTCCAGGTATGATGTCCGTGGTGGTAGGTCGACCTTTGTCGATTGCGGCTTTAATTACGTTTATGCTGCCGTTTTTCGCCATTTGCTAGATACAACGATCAGTTCCCTAAGATATAATGGTCTGACTATGGTGAAACGGTGATTTTCTAAAGGAAAAAACGGGTTAATTACCTCGACTACCGAATCACGCATCTCCCGAAGTGCGTAAAAGCTTTCCTTGTCCGGGCTAATCAAAATTATGGCAACGGAGTCGTCCTTGTTCGTGTTTTGGTTTGCAGCATGGTTCTCATCACCACGCAGATCAAGGAAACTGACATACATGTACAAATAGCCACTGCTATTAAAGCCTGGCAGGCAAACAGGAATCCAGCTGTCTCCGCCACCAGCTTTCACCCCATCGGCTTCAAAAATCATGTTAAATATCAGTTGTAGATCTCCTGGATGTAACGAGTGCTTCTTTGGTCTGATTACGCTCACAAGCCGGCCCCCTGCGACGACAAGCCCGTACAATAGGTTTTCAGCCCTAGTGTTTAAAAGAGTGTTGTTTATGGTTTGTCTATGTGATTTTCGGATTTTAAGGCATTCGAGAGCAGAGAGGAGAGTCGACGGAGAGCCTCTAGTGAAACTATCGGCCAATGATGAGAGAAGAGACTCTGTTCCTTGCAAAGGGCGGCGTAAATCTGTCGATGGTCGGATAGAAAACAGGTGGTTTAGACTTGGAAGTGTCAAAGTGGATAGAATTTGCATGTATAATGCCTCCAGTTGCATCCTTAGCTGGGTATCGCTCTCGAAAAGGCGACTGATAGCAACCAGGTATAATGGTCCTTGAGATAAAATAACAATTCTCGCCTTCCCAGCCGAGAAACTTTTCAGGGCGTCTCCAGACTCTTCGTAGAAGGATATGATCGTTTGAATAATGCCAATATAGTCGGAAATCAACCCACTATCGCCGTGTCTTGTGTATATTGGTTTTCCTGCCTGCGATAAAATAAGGAAATGTTTTCTTTTCTTCTTCCATGCTTCGACAATGCGCTCTATAACACATCAGTGCTCATTCTACATTCGTTAGGAATTTTGAGAGCAATTAAGAACCGGCTTACTTGAATTGGAACCATCAGGTTCAACTTCATCGACGGCGTCGAACTCATTTTCGAAATCATAGTCCACTTCTTCATCCTCAGACTCCAATAAGTCTCGATTTCCCGCATGCTCCCCACCCTCAGTCCATGAAAACTCCTCGCCTCCAATTACGGGAAAGTCCCCGAAAAGACTAGCGTCATCGGAGTTCTCGCCGCCAGGGACGAAGCTCCGTACACTTATAGAATCGCCAGCATCGCTTCCCCTGCGGCTTCTCAGATAAGTGCCACTTAACCTAGACCCTATAGTCACCCCAGGGACGACTTTCCCAGCCGTTGATGCATATAGATCGCTGGAGCCATCAGGCATGTTCTGAGTGTTGATATCTGTTATGGACAAGGCAGTCGTAGGTTTTGACTGTAAATTATGCATCGACGAAGGTCTTATTTTCGAAGACGATCCCGCTGTAACTTGTTGTTTTTCGAAACTGACGATGGTAGGGCGAGGGGGGAGAGCCGGAGGGACTTCTGCGGTCTCCCCGCTACTTCCAGAACAAGCGGTATCCATGTTGTTTTGTAACGGATGTGGAATGCTCAAAGATGAGTTTTCCATGTCGCTACCTGGCAACTTATCACCATTCTTCTTTGAATCCATCTGCGGCCGTTCATTTCGCGCGATGAAGGGCTGAGGTTATGTGAAGACCATTTTGTAGGGCAAGTTAATAATAGTAGGTTGAGCCGCGAAAGACGATAAGGTAGCAAGCAACCTAGCTACACATGGCTACAAGCGGTTATTAGAGTAAGTGCGCATCGAATAAATATTAGATGTAACGACTATGCTATATCCAGCCAGTATGAAAGGGTTATGTTGCTTTTCGAGTGGTGGTGTCGAAACTTGCGCTGAGGTGAAAGATGGTGATGTCAGCGTTTTGGGACCGCGTTTAATTTTAGGCGCGGAAATTGAGCCTCAACATCAGCTCCGCGGTTTCTAGCAGATACTTGGCTTCTTCGCCGAGCTCCCCCTCCGTCGATTCCACAACAAAACCTAGCTGCCACTTCTCCTTGTGAAGGATGACGGCCAACCTATTCCTTGATACAGTATTTCCACTTCGGCACAATGAGCCTTGATCCGGGCGATCTAACACGATCTTCGTCTCCATCCGGCTCCGAAGCATCCCAACCGAAATCTAGAGAAGGGGTGGATGGTATGTCGACCAGCTCTGCGGTGGTGAATATTTACTGACCTTTTTTAGAGATATATAAAAAAGACAAAAACTACCGTCGTTATGCCTCCAGCGTCGACCGAGCGCTCTCTTTGTTCGATACCGCCCTACAGGAATGGGCAGACTACATCTCGTTCCTAAGCCGGTTGTTGAAGGTATATGCAATGCTCCTTTGAACATCTAGCTGCAAATACTCAATGTCTCTTTCGGCTAGGCTCTACAATCTCATCCGCCGTCTCTACCTATCGTTCCAAGTAAAACAATTGTTGCACGAAGATTGGCGCAATGTCTCAACCCAGCTCTTCCATCCGGAGTTCACCAGAAGGCCCTTGAGGTTTACGGCTACATATTCTCTATCCTTAAGGTAAACTTTCTGCATTTGTAGTATTCTCAAACGTATATACTTAGAATGAACCCTTTTAGCCGGATCGCCTGTCTCGAGATCTTGCACTCTACCTACCTGGAATCGCCCCCACGCTGTCGTTCGCGTCGTTGACCGTGCGACCAACTTTTCTCTCCTTGGTCGAAGCCTATATAGTTGATTTGGACCCATCAGCCCTTCGTCCAGCATTAAAATCCATAATACTAGCGTTACTGCCAGGCCTAGAGGAGGAAACAAGTGAAGATTTCGAAACTGCTCTACGGATAGTGAACAAGTTTCGAAATATAAATCTCAAGAAAGACTCTTTGTCAGATTCGAGCCCTGATGCTGGTAGCCAGTACTTCTGGCAATGTCTCTTTCTCGCCTCAATAACCAACCCAAGCCGGAGACATGGTGTGCTTGCGTATTTGAACCGCTATCTTCCCAAACTCGGCGGAGCAAGTCCGTGGTTGATAGGCTCGGAAAACAGCGACATAGACGATGCTTCTGACTTATTTTCCATTACAGACTCCATCGTTACGCCAGAGCCGGGACTGTTAATTCGATGCTTTGCGACAGGTCTCGCTGACGAGCAGCTTCTTGTACAGAGAAACTTTCTGGACCTTCTTGTTACTCACTTACCTCTTCACTCACCCGTACTACAGAAAGGAATCACTCCAAATGATCTCGAGATATTAGTTGCGGCAGCCGCCGGTGTGGTGACAAGGAGAGACATGAGTTTGAATCGCCGTCTCTGGGCATGGTTTTTAGGACCAGACGCGTCCAACGGCGCTCAAGAACAGGGCGAAGGTGATCTACCGTTGTCATCCGGACATGAAGCGAGCCGTGTTTTTGATTACGAAAACGCGAAGTCCCAGTACTTCAGTCGTTTCGGTTTAAAACCCCTCGTTCAAAGCATCAAGGCGATGATAAATCGCAATTCACTTCACCCTCCAGACAGAGCAAAACCGTTCAGGATATCTCTTTCTTTGATGGATCGCTGGGAAGTCGGAGGGCTAGTTGTCCCAGAAATATTCCTCGCAGTTATGCGTAGTGTCCAGCAATATGAACAGCTTGCCTCTTCAACTGCGAATTTCGACGAGGTGTTTAGAAGTGCAAGTGCCTTTTTCGACGGGGTTGAAAGTAGCCTGATATTCTCCGAGCTCCTTTCCCTTGTTCATATTGAACCATCTGTTATTCAAACTCGATCTAACCATGCCATAAATGACCTTAACCTCGCGAATTTTATTATCTCTCATTTCAATATGGCCGAGGAAGAAATGCTTGTTGCCCACGTCCCGCTATTATTCTTGGCACTACTGGTTAAGATGAAAGTTATTTCGTCAAGTACTGAAGGTGGACTTGATTATCACCATATTCAATCTACAGCACTTAACGAGACCTCGCTAATTATCAAACATCTCCTGGAATTGATACCGGACAGAGTATTTCACGATGAAATTGTGAGAGATCCAACTCGAAATGATCAGCCCTTGGAGACCCCCTGGGGCGTTGCCAGCGAAGAGATAGTCAGAACCATACTTGACTTCTATAGGAGAAGTAAAGAAAGTCTCAAATTACCGCCACTGCCCTTCTCCTACCGGGTTCTAGGCGAATTGCTTCTCCGGGAAGCCCAGTTTCTGGTGCTTGCTGAATTGGAATCAGGAGATCACTCCGGTTTGAAAGACCGAGTTAACATATTCATATCCTTACTCAATAAAATCCGCAAATCCCAAGTCGTTAAAGATGGGAACCTCTTCTCTGCCATGTATCGCAAGCTGGCCGCCAATTCTGGTACGGAATTACCTTTTGTCATGATTTCATCTATATGTTCTATTGTGACGACTCTCTACTCCATCCATGGGCCCGGATTCTATGTTTCTTATGAGCAGGTATCTGATATTATCCCACCGTTGGTTCAAAAGCTTTGGGCCTTTCTCTCGCCATTGAGCCCTAAATTTCACGTGGAAACGGTTCGATGCCTATGGCTTTTGCACTCCGTGACTTGGCAAGATCATTTGATTGAAGCTTCGATTGCCTCCCTCATGATCGGCGCGGAGGATTCCAATCCATCTCATATCACAACAGTCCAGGAAGCTGAAAAGTTTGTTGTCCTATGGAATCATAGCCAGCAAGTTAGCATTGATCCTTCAATTGCACGCTCTATTAGCGAGCACCCAACGAATAGTAGTAGTAGTTTAAGAGACCCGAGATCTCTATACCAGTCTTCTATGCTCGATCGCCCGTTATTTATCGTATTGGATTTGCTCTCAGGGGTTGTCAGCGAAGCTTCACTAGTAGTCAAGGAATGGATTTCAGATCTTTCATCTGTGCACAAGTATGTCTGAAATGCAGATTTCTTAATTCTTTTAACCGGCGTTAACGTTAACTGTGTATCTCTTTAGGGTATTTCGCATAATAATATCGAAACTCACCGATCTTTCATACCTCACGGCATTGGATCGCGAAGATACATCCCGGCGTAGCCATCCAGAAGACCCTGGGGATGCAAACCAGTGTCGATATCTATTCGAGACTGCTTCCGGTGCAATAGCCTCGTTGAGTCGGATGGGATGGTCTACATTAATGACAAACACCGCTTTGGACCTTGGTAAACGCCGTGATAGCTCTGAAGCTGATGGTAAGTTCGACCATATCAAATATTGGGTTCAAAAAATAACAGTGATACATCTAGATGATGCCCAGAGCCTAAGTATTCAGGCCACTTTAATACATCTTGCTATTCGAGCCCTCTCACCACGCATAACGGCTTCCAGAGAGCTACATCCTGAAGAAGAGCGGATGCAATTGGCGGTTTTTACCGTAATGCGCCAACTTTTGACGGGACCAGGTGCTAGGCAACTCGTTGAGATGGATTTGGACGGTTTCCTAATTGATCAGTTATTCTTCTCCTTGGACCATAACAGGGGTAGTCTCCAACCTGTTATGATCGACACCTTGTTAGTTGCTTTGAAAATCCGATTCTCTCATCAATTTTTAGAATCGCACATTCCTTCGTCTAACAGACGAAGGAAATCATCTCTCGACGCTCTTCCAAATCTCTCTCGCATATCGCTAACGGGCGAGAAATCTGAAAAGGAGCTACGAGGCGCTACAACTCCCTTGCCGTCACCACAATTATTAGAATGTTTGCTGAAAGGGCTCAGTTCCACCTCCTCGCTAAATGCTGTGCAGAAATGGGTGCAACTCCTTGCGGAGTGCCTACCATTTTACTCCGGGGCTATTTTCCAAATCTTGTTGACGTTAGTAGAGTGTCTATGTCAACGGATAACTGCCTCGTATAATGAGCTCCAGCTTGTGTTCAAGCAAACCAATGGATCTCTCGGGGAGCGTTCGGAGCACGTCACCATTGCTTTACTTGGCGGGTTGGAGAATTGTATTGCTGTGGCTCATGAACGCCTACTGCTCGAGGAAGAGAGTGTTTCCCCCGTAAAAAGTCCAGACCAACCCCAAGGATTTTTCGGAACCATGGTTTCCGGTGTGTTCGCTTCGGAGGGGAACCAGGCCCGGAGCGCTACTGCTAATGACAGATTGACTGTTCTTCTTTGCTTTCAAGATACTGTCCGGCTATGCTTCTCAATCTGGTCGTGGGGCAACATTCGACGCCATAGCAACTCACAGGACCCGGAATCAATTTCTTCTTTCCAATATACCTCGTTGAGAATGAGAAACCGATCGCGGCGTATATTAGAGCATCTGTTTAACGCCGAAGCCTTGGATTGTCTGGAGACATTAGTCCAACTATGGCACAATGCAGTCACAGCAGATGACATGGCAGAAGCTCGATCAGTGTTTAATCTACTTCATACGCTAGATGGATCACGACCAAAAATAACCATTCCAGCCATATTCAATTCCATCTACAGCCGAACCGACCCCACTGCGCTGGAACCTAGTCGCAAGTCAGTTATGACCTCTAGGCTATCCGAGGCAAATCTAGTTACGTTTCTCGTGACGTATGCTAGATCACTAGATGATGATGTGTTGGACGAGATATGGACGGATTGCACCACTTTTCTTCGGGATGTATTAGCTAACCCGTTCCCTCACCGACAAATCTTGCCACGACTGATGGAATTTACTGCAATTTTGGGTGAGAAGATGGAGCGGACTACTTTTGGTGATGACAGGCGAGCGAGGAAGGATCTTGGGGTAAGTTGTAATATAGCCGTAATTTCTTAAAATTTGGTTGAAGCTAACTATGTATATGTAGGATTTATTCCTACGCCTCCTAATAGCGATACTCACTAGCAAACCATTAGGTTCATCACAAGAGCCCACCTCATCATCGCGGCAGCTGGCAGATAGCGAGCGTGCATCGAGGCCTTCTTCCAAAGGCCAACAGTTCGTTGGGCCTGATGATACAGTTGGCATCCTCGCATCAGTGATGCCTGCCTTGGTTACCACTCTAGGGGAAACAGACAGGATATCCACTGCAATGTCAAATATTTCGGCGAACGTAATAGCGCCGCTCTTCCATTCGAGACTGTTCCCCCAAAATGTGAACAAAAGCGTCCTTGACCTTCTCCAGCAGATGTCAAAGATTCCTGTTGCCTCTAAATACTGGCGGAAAGATGTGGGCGACGCGTTCAACGACATCAAATTCTTCACGACAAAACTTGGGCTTGTGCGGTCGAACTGGCTTGATTTGCTTCGCCATTGGGTCCTGACAGACAAAGAACGATTGCCCGACGTGTACTCTCGCCTAACAACCCCAACATCCGCCGGTATAATGTTTGGCGTAGGTGCTACAGCTGCACGACTTGAGGCTGACCGCAAGGCCCAGCTGAATTTACGCAGACTAGCCTTGCTAATATTAGCCGCTAACGAAGACCATTTCGGTGCAGAACTCGCAAATGTCCACCAAAAGCTTGAAGATCTGTTAACAGCTACTCACATATCTTCCCCTTCTTCCGTAACACGAGCGGAAGTATATATGGTGCTCAGAGCCCTAGTCTTGAAAACCTCCGCCATCCACCTTGCATCCTTCTGGCCGATGATAAACAGCGAACTCCACGATGCGATTTCAGCCCTTGGCTCAGGCCAACAGTCCGAGACTCATAACCCTTACTCACTCCTACAGGCTTGCAAACTCCTTGAAACTCTCCTCCTAATTGCACCGGACGACTTCCAGCTCCAAGAATGGCTATTTGTTACCGATACCATTGATGCTGTCTATCCGCCGGACCAGTGGGAGTCTGTTGCTCTCGCAGATGGAATCGCACGCAATCTAGGTACAACCACGAGCAGAAACAGCATTGACCGCTCGCCAAAGAATGGCCTTGGAAATGGGAATGGAAATGATGGTGATGACGATAGTGGCCGTGACGGGTATAAAAAGGCGTGGCTTAATTCGGAGCTGAGCCGGGAGACGGCCAAAGACGAGATAGTTGACACGGTACTCAGGCCATTCTTCGATCGGTTGAGTATACATGCATTTGAGAGCACATATAGCCTGGGGGTTCCTGATTTGGAAGGCTGTAAAGACGATCTGCTGGCAGATCTGTTCAATGAGTTCACGGTGGTGAATTAGAATTGAGTGCTTGCGCACTGCACTGATGTGCCCTGCTCTATGCCCTGCTCTTGGATGTGTTTATACCGTCCACTGTTTTCATGTTGTCATAGTCTGGAACTTATATTATAATTAAATATCACATATGTAACCAATACGCTGTATCTGCTTTTATGCTATTTGTGATGGGTATTTATGTATAACTAGACATTTCAACCTTCTTGATTCATATTCTTCCTACCATTCTAGCCACGTGAAACATTTTTCCTAGTGCCGCGTCCCTCGTATCTCAACATGTACATGTACGGAGTACAGGTAATATTAATATTATTAATAATGTATGTACTCCGTACTCCGTAACTACAGTGCTACGTACAGTACATATGCTTGTAGCTCAACTCCCTGTACGAGGAGAACCTAACGACATTGTCACTCACTGTATGTACTGTACATGTACTGTACTTTGTCGAATCTAAAAGTCAACTGGCCATTGAGCATTCAGGAACCAGGGTTGGTTTTAAGGGGCAATTTCACTAGAGAAAAACAAAACAATGAAAATGGGCTAAAAGAAGAAAGTATAGAAAATAAAAGTCGTCGTCATAAATTCCTTCTTCTCTTTACTCACCGTCAAATGAATTTCATAATACTGGCCAAGACTAAGAAATTATTGAACCTCTCATCAGCTCCATATTCTCTGTTATTCCTCCACACCTACGCAAGTTACAGCGTAGCTAAAGCCGCCAAGCTTCTTCCCCAGACAGGAACCTGCCAAACATTGACCTCAACCTTCTTCCAGCCTCGAATCTCTCACACGGCCGCGACACGCTTTCTTCAACGGAAGCGAGGCCTAACCCATATCTATATCTCACGACATTGTGTGTGTGTTTGTGTGTCTTAATCTGCAATCTGCGAATCCTTTCGTTAAAATGCCGCTAGCGTCGGTGTCTTCAACACGAGCAATGTCGCCTCTTTTCCGCCTCACACTCTCCACCCCCCTCGTGCGCCTATCGACACGCAGGCCCCTTTCGACAACGAGACGGTTGCTGAACGGTAATGCCAGCGCAGAGGCAGGGTCGTTACCTGCACAAAAGCCTGTAGGAGCTTTTAGAGGAGGGTGAGTCACCGAACTACCACGTTGAGAGAATGATGCATAGGCACCGCCAACAACAGATCTGGCTAACACGACAGAATTGGATGAAATAATAGGCTATTCGGCTTCCTCTTTGGCACTGCGATAGCGGGTGCCTCGGTATATTACTATATTCTAGATGAGTATAGAGTGTCCAACGAGATGTTGACGGAAGACATCTACGTACGTCAGTGCATTTGAAAATAAAGCCTACAAGATATACCCCGTGCAGATTGGCAAAATCCCCCAAAAGCAAACAGCATAAAAGTGGTCTTGGTGTTTTAGATTTTTGCCCTTGTTCCCTTTGCCTTACTTCCATACATCTCCCCTGCGACAGCTGCTCTTCATTTTTAATTTATTTAATTTTTAATTTTTAATTTTCATTGCTACATTGGAAATAGATAGAAGGACGGAAAGAGGACCAAAAAAATAGACGGAAGCGAAAAAGAGAAAATATTCATAATTTAGACATGGAGAAACGGTGTGGCGGGCTCCTTTTTCCGCGTCATTTAAACTAGAACGAGATGCACGATGGATGTTTTGTTCTCCCAGAACTACGAGCATGGGAAGATTTAAGAACGTTCTATCGTTCTCACTTCTCCTCACTCTATCATTGGCGCCCTTTTAAAACTAATAATGCGTTTAATACCTTTTGCCATTTCATTCCTCTGTTTTCTTTTTTGCTCATTCACAATTCTCGCTCATACCCGTGATTTTTGGAAGCTAACAATATGCCCCCTGTGTGTTGTCCGATGGGGGATCGTATTATAGGCCTTGCAAGCAGCTACGCAACGTCTCAACGCCTACATTACCGATTTGGAGTCCAAAATGGACCAATTGCAGAAGAGGAAATGATGGACTCGTGAGATATGTTTTCCATGAATTTGCCTGGATTCGGTGATGGCCTGATACGTTCTCGGATTTTGCTCACATGCGGCGCCCTTCCCCCTTCTATCTCTCCCTCTAAACGTTGGATCAATTCCTGAGACTTGAAATATGCGTCTTTCCATTTCAACTCAATTCAAAGGGCTTGCTATTCATATTACATATCCGATTCAGCTTTGCATGTAACTCCTTCTACTTGGCTCGGTGTTCCGATTTGCATTTCTTCCACCTATCTTCCACCTATCTCCGCAGAAACCTGTAATATTCATTTTGCTTTATAGTCAATACAATAGATTATTCTTTTATCTTCTCCGGTATCATGCGCATATGGGGGGGAGACGGGGGAAATTTCATGACGACTAAAAACAATAAGCGCAGCTGGGTTGCTCTCCATGTGCAAACAAACCAAACATGGTAGACGCGCGGTTAAATATTTAGACCCAACCTTCAAGGTTGCTCATCATCAGTAATCGCGATCGGCTTCCACGGTATAAGAATTTTAATCATATGCCCTACAGTACTGATCCAAATGTTCTGGTAGCAGATAACCTGACGTATACGTATTACTCTTCGGCACCCAATGTCAAATAAAATAGAAGTCCTCCCTACCTCATCCTCACACCTCACCCCCGGCTGGGCATACGTCCCAGAGCCTCGCTATGGCAGCTCTGCCCACACCGGGAGGTCTGCTGGAGGTCGAAAACGAGCCGTACGTGATCTTGGGGGCGCTGGAAGGGCAGAGGTGTCATCATCAAGACGAAATACTGCGGTTCTAAGACATCTCGCGGAGCTTGATCGGGAAAATCATAAAGATACACATATTCCGATTCCAACGAAGCAGAAGGGCGCGACAGCGAAAGGTTAGCTTGCTTTTCTACTGAACCCCTTTTTGTGCATTTCAAAGTATATGCGGACGAGAAGGGGGGAAGCCATGATAAACCAGCTAACATCCAGAAAACATAACGACAGACAAACCTAGAGGCAAAACAACCTCCAATGTCCGGCGTATCCTCATGTCCCAAAAAACATTCAGAAATTACCTAGATGATGAAGAAGCCGCGCTAGCCCAAGCCCAAGGTCTGGCAACACAAACTTCCTCGACAATTACAACAGCCGCAGCTGCCACCGCTCGCTCTACCGCACTGAAATCCAGCAAACCCAGCACCCCGCGCACATCATCCCATCCAGCAACACCCAAAAAGGCAGCCAGCACTACAGGCCAACCCTCCGAACCGCCCAGCGCAGCCTCCTCCCGCCCCTCCACTTCAGCCCTACAGAAACAACAACCAAACCAAGAGCTAATCGCCTCGAACTATGATAACGACCCGCTCCTCCGCTCTTACATCCCCCCCGTGCCCTCAGAAAGATTAATGCAACTACTCCTCGCAGAGCCACCACTGTCATACAACGCCTCCCTCGCAACGACAACTCTGCCGGGCCGCAGCAACGCGAACCAAGCAGTTTCCAAACCACCACGACACTTCTGTTCTATATGTGGTTACTGGGGCAGGGTAAAGTGTATCAAATGCCGCGCGCGGGTGTGTGGATTGGACTGTTATCGCGTCCATGAAGAGACAAGGTGTGATCGGTTTTATGCTTAGAGGGGCCTGGCTGCAGAGAGCGAAGTTCCTCTTCTACTCGAGAGCGGCGAACGCCACTTTCATACAATACTACCACTAAGGCGTGCTGACGACTAGCACGGCGTGCGCGGTATAGTCTTCAAGAGACGACGATGGGCACCCTCTCTCAATAATATTGAGATAGTAGGGCGGATACGTGGTTTGAAGGTCTAGGAAGGGAACCCAAAAAACTCACACCAAAACCTCTCCCATTACTTCTACCTTGAGGTCCAACCCCGGACTAGGAACTTGATGCGAAGGATTTCCTCCGCACTCGCTACGCTATCCATCAGGAGTTATGGGATATTAATAGCTTTAGAAGCCACCAGCTCAGTTCCATAGCATTTTGGAGCCGCAAGAAACGGTCCATGCGGGATTATTTAGATATCAATCATCGTTGGTGTGGGTTAAGATTGAGAGCAAGGGCGACTGAAGGCGAAAAAAAGTGGGAATTTCGAGTCGGAATTCAAGAAATCCTGTCCTGCGGGAAAGCAGATATAGTATCTGTGCGGAGCATGGAGACAGACAAAGGCCACACAAGGCATTAGATATGTGAAATCGCGGAGGTTAAGGTGGCATTAAGGGAGTATTCAATTTGATTGCTGAACGGATGTCACAACCGGCCCGAGGTCATAGAAGTGATTGCACAAGGCGAAATGATTAGAAGCGCAAAAAATGCGCTGTATTATTGGCATAACTTGGTATAATATATATACAATGCAACGAAAATCCGATGTAATGTGTTAAGGAAAATATGAATGAATTAGAAAAAAAATGTATATCCCACATTTCCATCACCCGACTCCATAAAAAGCTTAACACTTCATATTGATTCCCATCCTCAACTCCTCTTCCCGAATCTCAAACATGACCTGCACGCCCACAAATAGGGTCAAGCATGCCCCTACAAGATACACCAGCCCACCCACACTACCAACAATCCCACTAACAAGCCCCTTCAACCCATCAAGCCCCAAAGCAAACCCAACAAGATTCGCTGCCATCATCAGTAAGATGTTGAACACTGTGCCCGCACCACACAGCAAGCGATACGTCGTCGGGCTACCGCGCCACTTACGTGCGGGGAATAATGCGGTGCCAATTATTTCAGGCAGGACGAAGAGAGTGATGAGCCAGCCCCACATGAGCAGGCGGAGGTTGATGTCATGCCACAGCGCGACAAAAGTGAAAACGAGCAGGAAGTTGAGGAGGCCGCGCGCTTTGGCAACAATAGGCGAAGTAGACGCCACAGAATTGTCGTTGCCGTTCCCGTTGCTCGGGTTAGCTTTGGCAGGTCTACTGCCGCCGCCACCTAGCGGCACGTAGAGGTATCTGACGATCCACCGGTTGAAAGAACGGTGCCAGCCGCGCCAGAAAGCGAGAGCTGAGTAATTGTCTGACATACAGCGGACCATGTTTTCGGGTGGGTCAATGCCGTCGATGAGTGCCCAAAGGCGAGCAAAGCGCCAGGGCAAGAGAAGTTTCAGCCAGATGTGGTGCAGGTTGAAGTACCCTAACATGCTGAGCTGGAAAGGCGTGTAAACGGACCAGTTTGGAGAGGATTGGGAGATGGCGACGACGTAGATGTAGTGTAGGATTACTTCCATGCTAAGGAGGGCGAGAAAGAAACGAACTCCATAGAGAATAGTGCGGGATTTCGTAATGGAGGCGGGTGGATAGCGCTGTTGGGAGATATAGTCGTTGAAGGTAATGATGGGACCAGTGAGGTAGAGGGGAGAGTAAAGAGCATAAGCGACGTAGTTTGTCGAGTTGAACGCGCTTCGATGGGCAGGAATAGACACACGATCCCGCTCAGACAGGGCCGAGGGGTCAAGTTGTTTCTTCTTTTGTGCGTCAGCGAGAGGACCAGACATTATATTCTGTTGGAAACTAAATGACATACCTCCATAGCACTCGCCGATCGATAATCGAGGCTCCAATAATAATCCAGATTAAAGCTTATGAGCCGAAGAACTGTGAGATTGAAAAGAATGTCCCATCTTGGGATCAATCCACCGTAACTGTCAAGCCATTTCCCATAGGAAAGGAGCATACTATCTTCCCCTGCACTTGAGGCAGCAGACGTCGATGTAAATAATCTTGCAATATCTGCGTAACGATACCCATTCGACAATTCATTTGCAAATAATATGGAAATGTTAAAAATCCACGTCGCCGCTGGGATCTTGTCCCGTGGTAGTTTTGTGGCGATATTATAATTAATGGCGAGAATGGCTAGAACCTTGAGAGCTGAAAATCCATGCAAGGCGGCAATGAATACCAGCGCGAAGTAATAATCAAAAGCGACTCTCCGTTTGAGCCGCAAGTCCGCAGCTACTGAATCATATCCAGCGTTTTCATCATCCTTAATTTTACCAGATTGAGGTGAGGACAAATTCGCGCTTGTTGTCGGAGGAAGGAAGGTGTCAATTGCTCGTCGGAGTAAAGGATGGATCACCAAGAGCAGGGCGAGGTAGGGAATGTTATCACGAAAGGTCCCATATTGTGAGTCGGAATTGTCCTTCGCGGGGTCGTCAGCCATTGGTATCGAACAGGAACATGATCTCTCCCGCTCCGTCAAATAAACCAAAGGCGTGTATTGGACTCACGACTTTCCTCCCCATAATCCATCCATCGTCTAAAAGATGCGAGTATTTCGAATACATCGGGTGAGATTCTACCACAGTGGACAAAACAATTTAGCTCAATAACCAATTCCGATGATCTATTTCAAGACCCCAGCGCAAGCGAAACCTCCGCCCACGAAAGCCGAAAAAAGCAGAGGCAACATCTCAAAAAGCCCAAACTCACCCTTCGAAACATCATAAACAGCCTTAAACATCATTGACACCGCAGTAAGAATCACGACGTAGTAGACATAAAACTCGACCGTATTCCACCTTGGCGGGGATGTCGTCAGCGAAGTGCCAGAAAGAGCACTGACCCGGCCTTCTCCCAATTGCGCATGTGTTTGTGTTTGTGTTTGTGTTTCAGTTTGCGCTTTTGCCCAGACCTCATTCCCGCTTTCAAACTCTTTCGAATCCGCGTGTCCTAGAACCCCATTATCCACGGACGCTGTTCGGGGCTCACTAGCAAGGACGGCCTTCAGCGGCGTGTTCGACGGGACAAAGCGCGTGTCAAGAGTATCGAGCGAGTAAAGCCTGCGGAACCAGTAGGCAAGACCCATATTTTCAACGATAGGCAAGAAACTCAGTACTCAGCGCAACCGCTGGGCCAGCAACGGTTGAAGCTAACGGACGCTGGAAGAAAGGGGAGAGTCACAAGAGCCAAGCGGTTGGGGGGGTTAAATGAGGGTGAGGGCTACTATTCGAGGTTTGAGTGGAATTTTCACAAATGAGAGATGAGCTTATCGAGACATGGTTTCTGCGTCTGGAGAATCCCCTTTTTTCAGGGTCTTTAGCAGAGGGAATTGTCGCGATGGGCGGAGAAGAGCGAGGTTGAAATAGCTGACACGTGATTGACAGAAGCCGAGAACAAGGTTGGATAGAGTTGCCAGCAAATGCTCCCTGCGTGTGTTCTTTTCCTTGAGTTGCTTTCTTTATGAAAGAATGCTATGCATTTCTGCTATATTATTATTTGCTTTATACATTTCTTATCTTAAAGTTGTAACAAACATCTTTCTTGCTTAATAAATTCGTGGTTATCCTACTCTTTGAATATGGCATAGATCTTACCCATCTTTTATAACTCTAGAGGAGTTCAAGGATAGCTGAAATCCTGATTCAATACACCCAATTGTCTCAATAGCATCGGGCTGGAGTTCAATAAAACACTGCCTAGTCACAGAAATTCAGAAAAGGAACTCAAAGAATCTGTACTAGACACTATGATCTCCTCTATCACATTCAGAAACTGTCCATGAAGGTTTTGAGAGATGACCATTTTGATCACCTCACTCACCTAAGCTGCTCAAAATCCCTGACTTGAAAGACTTGGAATTGCGATAGATTCTTAACCACATGGCAAAATTAGGCGTGACCAATTGTTCTATTAACCATGATATTCATTGATAGGATCCCCTTGATACACATTGCCAGCTACATCCATTGGTAGATCATTGGGAATGGTGCTGAGCTCCTGTTGACCAGTGTCTGTGTGTTTCAAAAAAATTTCGCTTTGATCTGCGTTTTGCTGTGCCATTCATTTATCTCTTGCCTTTCCGCTATGCTTTTCTAGGGAGAAGTCGTCTGCCAGCTTAATAACAACATTTGCAGCGGTTGCAGTCATGCAAATGGCGCCTGTATAAACAACACTCTTGTGACATTGAAACTCTTGGATTCATTTATATTGCAGAAAAACAAGAGTGATGAAAAGAATGAAAAGAGCATCTAATATATAGATATATAGATATATAGAATCAAAAAGCAGCAGCAACGCCCCTCCCACCAAAGGTGAACCAGTAATGCAAAAACTCTCAGAGGAACCGTAATAAAAAAAAAACCACCCTTTTTCTGGGTTTTTGTAACCGCTCAAATAAACTTCCCCCGTCCGATAATCTTAAATGATGTTGTCGCCGTTTATTTTATTTGTAAAATGAATGGAGATGAGAGACGGGGTATCACAGAAAAATGCAAGTGTCAAAAAAAAAAGAAAAAAAAACGACTAGAAAAGAAAAGAAACTACAGGCTTCGCCTAGGCGTGTTCTAAGTTCCCCGGTCGACGATAAGTTATCGGTTTACTGTATTAGTAGAAATGGTGGGTCGTTATTACCACGGCAGCCAGTCCAGATCAGCGGGCGCCTTGTAGTCGAATTGGCCAAAGCGATAAGAAGATCTCGCCCCGGATTTAGATGACTTCATCCCGTTCCCAGCCAGTGGGCTTGACGATCTCAGCCGACTTGGTAGGATGGGGCCGGTCGGGATTATCGTACTTGGCCGCGTACGGATTCGGATCCACACATTGCTTCAAGTTCGCCAACGTGTGGTTGACTTCGCGATGTTTCGCCTCATCGGCACGGATGTAATATAGCAAGTCGAGAATTGTCCTCTTTCCCTCTGGCATCTTCCAGTATTCGACGGCAATATCCGGAGCCGGCTGATTAGCCCAGTTGGGGAGCTTGCCCGCTTCGAGGTCCTTGATTGCGTGGGTGTATGTCATGACAGCCTCCTCTTCAAGGTATCCGACGAAGCGGTGGCAGGTGCGCGGGGAAATCAGGTAGGAGATGAAGAAGCTGTTGAAAAAGACGCCCTGGGCTCCTAGGACCATTAGTCGCATGAACCATCCTGGCTCTGCGAGTTTTAGGAAGGAGAGCAGGTGCATGCGCTCATTGTAGGCTTCTTCTAAGAGTGTTTCGATCCTGGAACACGAACACAACAGACGGATTGATTAGTCTCGGTGACTTTTGGGGGCACAATCAATGGATTGAAGGCAAGCCACTTACCAGCCGTTATCACGCTTCATGCGTCTCAAGCTACGGAGATGGCGAAGCATACCGCCAACCATTCCGGGAACGCCAGCGACTGTTTCCAGGAAAATAAAACGGACGATCCATTTCCTTTCCGTCATCTGGAATTTTTCTGGGATTTCTTTTTCCTGTTTCCCGGCTAAGGGGTGTCTATAGCCAGTTGCGAGATCTGTAGCCCGGCGCAGGGCACGAACGGTGCCTAGGGCAACCCAATCCGACCAATTCTTGGCCTCTCGATGTGCGATGGCGATATCTTTCATTTGTTGTTCAGTGAATCTAAGAAAGAGGAATGGACTTTTTAGTGACTTCTCTTTTCTTGAGTACGAAAATAATATTACAAACGAATTAAAAACAACGATAAACCTACACTGGATGTTTCCATGTCGTCATCGATGCGATAATATGATCCGTTTGCTTCGGAGCAGCAAAGAATTCTTTAATACGCCGACGAGTAGTTGATGTGAAATATCTTGTGTTGCTAGGATTTGAGGCGGCGGTGTAATGGTATAGCATGGGGCTGACTCTCAGGGTGTTCATAGTCGAGGTTGGAGGACGCATCAGGGCGCCTCGCAGCATTGATGGGGCAGAGCAAGTCATTATGATCCTCGTGGGTCCTGCTGAGGTCGAATACATGGTGTGTGTGTAGACAACGAATGGGAAGAGTGTGTATGTTATGATAGAAGAAGTTGCAGTCGTCGACGTACAGTAACTAGGAGGAGTTGATTAGATAGTATATAGAGTGAATCAATGTCGTAGGGAGGAGGAGATCAATCTACCAATAAGACGGGATAATGAACCCGCAGTGACTTGGACGGAGCGAGTTGAGTTGAGATGAGTATCAGTCAGACGAGAAGATTTGGCAAACCCATCCGGTAGTTATAAGTTATAAAAGGGATGAAGTTTTACAAAGGGGCAGCAAATTGGCGAAATAGGCTTTGCCGGGCATCCTTGGCCTGTTATGATGACTTCATCAACTAACTAGGGCTTAAATAGGCCTGGCCCCGGCTTTAAAGTCTAAGTGCGCTAGGGTATTTCCCGGAATGTGATCCCGAGTTACGGTACCCGCCCTCTGACTGATGACACTAGTGCTCTGTACTTTAAATGGGTCTAGCATGGCCAACTCCACTGCTCCCGGCCGGGGTTCCACCACGCGCGGGGCCGCCTGGAGCAAGTCCGTCCCCAATCGGCGACAAATCACTGATCAGGTTGGCTGCTCACATACGCCAAAACCAACATGGGAGGAAATCTTGGGTGGGTTTTGAAATGTCCCGGGCGCCTTGATGATGATGATGATGATGATGATGATGCTGCGACAAATCCTTTCCAAGACAAAGGCTGACAACTGCCCCGGACTGAGTTTGCAACGATGGCAAGTAAGTTAAGTTACTAGCGGGAAGGCCAATTCTCCAGCATCAACTAACTACCATAATAAGCTAGTCCACTTTTCCAAGGTTTTGCCTATGCCTTCTTTCCAAGCCCCCGGGAACTGCCGGCAGCTTCTATCGTACGGAGTAGGCAGGAAGGAATCCACTACAAAGAAAACTAGTAACAAAGGGCAACAATAATAGCAAAAGCGTTAGATGAAACATGCATTATTCTCGATATCTTGCGGAGAATTTTCGGAGGCAATATCAAGAAATCCCATGACCAATGAACGGTTGCAATGTCAGTGTTTATATATGACTCATACCATTTTATAGGCTTTGTTGGCGCTTGTTGTTCTGTATTTAATTTTTCCTAATTCTCATGCACAGCGCTTAGTTGGTATCAAAGAAGCTCTTCAGTATTATTTTAGTTCCGATATTCTCCGACAAGCTGAGGTCACACTCCAGCAATCGAAATTTATTCACCGCAAGAGACCAGCAGGGAACAGAGCTGGTTGGTTACAACTCAAATGCACACGGTATAAAATTTGCACTTCTCTTCGCCAATAATAATAATAATAATAGATGTGGACGCCACCGTCACCGTAGCGCTCGCCACAGCGAATAATTATTAATAGGAGAAATTTACGCATCAAAAGGTGACATCTTGTTCCATGCAAAGTGCACTAACTACGCTGTTCCTGTAATAATAAAAGGCATTTATTTTTATGTGGGCCTGGCCAGACTGATGAGAAACGGAATAATTATTATTAATATTAGTTAGATCTTGAGCCACCAACTAGCACCAACTAGTACTACAGCGTATGTTATGTGGAATCACCTGCATTATCGTCATCGCCATTAATATAACTACAGAATAGCTCATAACGCCTTATTAAAGCCCTCGGCCAAAAGAATCTTGGCGGCGGTATTTAAATGAAATCGGCTTCGAGGAGTCATATCCGTTGGACGTAAATTATCTGATTTATTTTAAAAACAACACATTTAACGTGTTCGAAGGAGCTCGAAAGAGCTATGCTCTCGAGTATAGCCTCATCCTAGTTTCACAGAAAGAGAAGGTTACCATAAGCTCTATCTAACCTCATAGCTATACCCTTATGTATGATGACGTCGATTAATGTTGCTGTTATGCAAATAGACGCCTCAAAAAGCCGCGTTACACTGCATGCATGCATGCATGCATGCCATGCAGACATGCCATGCAGACATGGGTAGAGTCTGGAAGGGTGGCAAGCGGTTCGTTCAAGCAAAGCTCCCCATCTCTCGTACAGGACATGATTCAGTCAGGTAAGACAGATTATTCCAGCGACCAAGTACATATTTACTAGTTAACAGTTCTTCTAGAATGGAAAGCAACTCTGCTTGTTCCTAATTCCACCTCCCTGGTTGACTACCCTCGCCCTTCTTCGTAATCTTAAAAAAAAAAAAAAAAGTTCATTTGTCAAGCAGCTCAGGGTAAAGTTTAAAAAGGGAAAAAAGAAAACCCCATTTTTACAGCATCAAATTATTTAACCGCGAGTCACGACAAAAGACTCTTCTCCATCCTTCAAATCAATCTCCGAATGCTCCAGCTTGACCACACGTGCAAATTCGGGGCCCCGGCTTAGGTCTTTGAGTAGGTTCGAAAGCGCGGGCTCATCTCCTTGTGCCTCACCCTCTACCTATGCAGGTTCATTCGAATGTGTAAGTAGGTCAAATATGCATGCACAAAATGTGTTTTATGCTCTGGTGGGGTAGATTAACGAATAAAAAAAATAAACATTTAAAGAGGAGAAGGGTGCACTGCTGGCATTTAAAATAGGAGGAGGGGGGTTCCAGCCAACCTTTCCATCACGGGTATTCTTTACCCATCCAGTTAAGCCGTAGTTATTTGCATTCCGCTGGGTGAAATCGCTAGGTTCGGGAAAGTTCATCATTCAGCATAGCCTTATCTCACCTCAAAAACAGAAAACAGAGCCGAACAAAAAGTATAGAAACTGATAGAAATAGGGGGGAAAGATGGGTGGGGGGTTTATTAATTTTCCATACCGGAAGAAGACTCCTGGCAAATTACAAAAGTCCAGCAGGGTTGGTTAAATAAACTACTGGTAACAAAGCAACGGAGCAACGGGGTTGGGGTGGAAGGCTAAAGAGAGATTGGATTTTATACGTGCCTTGGACCTTGCCGTGGACTCGAAATGAGATCTGGATTCATGTCAGTTGTGTGTGTTGTTTACCCTCGGCGGGCGCATTATTTGTAGAATAGTAGATTATATAAATGAAACTCCATACTCGTTTCGACATGATGCAATTCGAGATCCCTCCGGAATAAAAAGCGTGAACCCGGGCTGGATTGATAGTTATCCTTGAAAACTGCACCGTGATAGAATCAAATATATTGATGTTAAAATAAACGGGGTGCTGGGTCTTCAATTCGCTGCCAAGCCTTGAGAGTATGCTGACTAAGTGCAGAGGTTGCACGGTCCTAACTCTATTTGAACACGGTCACAATCACGTGTTTCTGGGAATTGTGTTCTGTCCGCGCTAGTCCCAAGACAGTTAATTTCCAATAAATGGCTTGGCATTGGCTGTTCCGAGGCAGAAATGAAAAGGGGCTTGTATTATATTATATTATTATATATACGAGTCAGCAGCAACGAGAATCAACGTCCATACGATACGGATAGGGATAGGACATATGGATATAGATATAGACAGTTTACAAAGAAGGACCATTTGAATGCAGCGTTTATTGACTGCTGCACGAAAAACCGACTGGTTGCTATGTTGGATGCCTGAATCATTGTCCGGCAGCCACATCCAGCGCTATTAAATATTACTATGCTTGATTGATTTTAGCCCCCCCTTTCATCTCAAACACGCCCAACCAACATTTCTCTCTCCAACAAAACATCAACAAATACATAAATAATAATAAGCCTCAGCAACATAACATGGAACAAGAGGCTTAATCACCAGGAGAAAAACTCATTATATTTGTTAAATACCCTTAAATATCATCTAGTTTATAACTTGCATTCATTTTTTGTTAAACCCGCAATTCCTAGTTCTTCCGGTTTATTTATTTATTTATTCATATCTGTTTTATTCTATCCGAACGATTTGCGAACTTAGCCCCGCCTCTTTCTATATACACATTTCATTTCCCTGCAACCCATATTCCGCCCTACCAGAAAACAGAGCTCGTTAGATCAGGAAAGGAAATAATGGCCTACCAAGGCGACCGGGTGTCCTATCCAAACGCGGCCACTCGAGACCGAGACCCCTCCCGCTCCCCCTCCCTCTCGCCCACGCCAGCCATCTCCTCTTGCCCTTCGCCCGACCGCACCTTTTCCACCATATCAACCGTCTCCTCCGTCTCCAATTTCTCCGGCGATGCAAAATCATCCGTGTCCACTTCCTCGCGCAGACGAGGATACATACGACCCCAGGGCGTGGAATTCGCCGAATCCGCAAAGAACCGCGAGAGCGTCATGAGCCTAGGCAGCATCGCGCATTTGCAGTATTATTTTGCGAGAACGGGCTTGCTGGATGGTAAAGGCGCGCAGTTTGCCAAGGCGAACCACAAGAAAAATGGTGAGCAGCAGAAGCAGGAAATTCCCAAGCTGATGCTGTCGCAGCAGCCGCAGCTGGGCGAGGAGTTTGTTGAGAGCCCCATCGAGGATATGGGTGGCGGGTATGATGAGCTGGGAGATGAAGAGTGGGATGAGAATGAGCCTATCATGTTGCCGCCGACTGTTAGCACATACAGTATCCGCAACCACTACATACCTCCACCTCCGGACTTGGAGTCGTTGAGGGGGGAGCTGCAAACTGCGTTGGCAAAGGCGCGGTTTGTGTTGACGGCGGCAAAGGAACAATTGACTCCGCAATTACTGTCGCCGACACCGAGAGATCGCTCGCCAGATGGCCTATCGGAACCGGAGGATGAGGCCACCACCTCGGAGACGCCTACGGCAGCCAAGTCCCCGCGGGGGTGGCACGAGATTGAGGGCATGCATATTTTGGATGTGGTCACGCTTGCCATCCGTGCTGCGAAGATATACTACACGGCGCATGAGAATCCGGAGCGATTGGCGACCATCAAAAGTGAGCGGAAGATACGGGAGGAGTTACTGGAGATTTTGGAAGTTTTGAAGAAGTGGGCTACAAGGAATTTTGTAGGTGGGTTGAAGGATGAGGAACGGGCGACTATTCTCGCGTGGATTACTGAGGTTGGTGAAATGCTTGATGAAGAGCGGAAGCTCGAGGAGAAAGAAATGCAAAGGCGGTCGAGCTTCATCTGGGCCAATGGGGAATGGGGTGGAAGAGAGCATGAGCAAGCGGGATCATTTCTCCAGTGCCTGGAGACGAGCAATCGACCATTACCGGCCTGGGACTCTGCGGAGACGAATCCACTCCCAACACCTCTCCTCGAGCGTCTAAAGGACGGCAGGGACCTGATCAGATTCCACAACGAGGCCGTCAAACTCTCGCACCGCCAATTTGGCGAGATTAAATCGTACCATGAAAATGTTGCCAAACCATATCGGCTGGCTGATAACCTGCGGTATTGGATCAAGGCGGCCGAAATCCGGTGGGAGATCAAGCTTGAGATGGATGTGATGGCAGTGGTCAATGGCGGGGACGACGAGGCATGGAGAAAGTTTGACACGGCGCTGATGACCTGGTGTAAGGGCGTTCGAGAGGAGCTGGTGCGCGATTGGAAGGAGAAAGGCTCCCGTACTCTGACACAGCCCCTAGAATCGACATCCCCCGCGGACTCCGGGACGGCACCGGCCGTCCAAGGGCTTGGGATTGACGCGTTGTAATCATAATTATGGTAGGCAAGCAAATGTGCACAGGAGAGGCAAAAACGCGGCGTCAAAACTCTTTTCTCTCCCCGATCTTTTGGTTTTATAATTTTTATTATTATTATTTTGATTTTTGATTTTTGACGAGATTCACGATGTTTAACTGGTACCGCTTTGGCCTCCACAGGTGTCTTCTCATTTGATACCCTTTTCTTCTTCTTCTTCTTCTTCTTCTTCTTCTTCTTCGTTTATATATATACATATCATATGGTGTTTTGCTTCTCACGCGCTTAGCTGCTGCGACGCTGTCAGTTACTTGATGCACACCACGTTTGAATCATTTACTGTCGCCGGCACCGACCCCTCCTCCTCTCCCATCACATTCCTGGGAATCTCGGTTGTATTTGTCTATTGGAGTAGAACCCCTGCGGAATCCCGCCTGTTATATAATATACATACATAGATTAAGCGGACAAATATGTCCATGAAATGATTTAACATGACCGATATATTGTTGCTCTGGAATATTGAAGCGTCGTTTTATATATAAATCTGGTTTCCGGATGAAAATATGTATCTGGATATAAATATAAACATAAAACCTATGCTTTTTCCAATATTTACTATTTTTGCAGCAAGATAGAGTTGGTTTGGTGCCAATAATTAAATATCCAGGGGCTAGTCGATAAATAAATGGTACGGTACCTTGACTTGTAGCGGACCACAGGAACGCAAAAACAAGATTTCTATTATTCACACAACGACCAAGGCAAAAGTAAGAAGGAAATAGTTGTCCCATGCCCAGGCTGATATTTACTTACGCTCTCTCCACAGTGTTGCAGCCAAATTTGAGGTGAAATTCTCCTCCTGAGATCTGGTCGTATCGCTCCTCTGCGGCTGTCCCTAGCCATCACCGTACAACACGCCTAAAACGTCGTCCACTTACTCCGTGCTGATACTCCAGCTATCAACACTATCACCACCACAACCAACCACCGCCATCACCAACAACACCAATAGGGGCTGGCCTATTTAGCAGAAACACCAGTCTCCTCGCCCACTCGATCCACGGTGGTGCGACCAGCACGGCATCCACCGTTTTCCATCTCGCCCACTGACGAACGGCGAGCACACAGACTCCAATGCCCCCGATATTCTCTCCTTCTGCCTCCGCTAGTGAGTCTGCTTCAGCATCAACATCAACGGCATCAGCCACAGCTACAACTCCTACGACCAATACAACCAATACATCCCCCATATCCGTCCCTAGCACGCGCCGATCAACCAGTCAAGTTGCACAATCTCTCGCCTCCTGGTCCGACACAACATCGACATCAATCTCACCCGCATCCCCTTCTCCTATATCCTCGCCTACGCCTACACCATCCTCCGCCGACAACAGCCATAAAAATAACGACAGTAATACCATTTCTCATAGAAACGAATCCCTATCCCCGTCTCCTGCAGCGCAGAAACAGCGCTCCTCCTTTCTACGTCGTCTCTCTCCCGGCCTAGCTGCCAGAGTCAAGCTGCTGGACGGCTCGTCCAAACAAACATCGACGGCCCCGACAAGGAGCAGCAGCGTGATTGGCAGGATCCCCGAAGACCATCTCAAAGAGTTGGATAGTGCACACAGGGACCTCTCAATAAAAGTACTACGACGCGGCCGAGCTTGGAGTGGTGGACGCCGTGTATTGCTCACGCCGGAACCGGCCTCCTCCCCCAGCGAGCTGGAATCAGGGAGGCTGAAGGGACACGATACTACAACTACGGAGACTACCAGCCCCGAAGCAGACGTCGGGGTCTCAGATCCTTCTGAGTCGTTATCGACTGCTCAAGAGGGACAACCATTAGCAGATATGTCGACTCTGCAGGGTGTACAAACCACGGTACAGGACGTTGGAGCTTCCCACGGTTCAGATCCCAATTCCTCCACGGGCACAACGGACTTGGAAAGGTATCTTCGCTCAAGCACGCAGTCCGAAGAAGGTGCACCCCCTCCGCCGCCAAAGGACTCCCCCCCTGTACCAGCTAATGGCTCGAGTACCAATGTAGAGTCGTATTTCAATCCTCTGGGCCTGTCACGCACTGAATCTATTTACTCCTTTTCCAGAGCATCATTCAGCAATCAACTGTCTCAATTAACTTCCATCAGTTTACCTCAACCCGCGTCCCTCGAAGCGAGCATTAAATCCATCGCTACCGCGCCTGCTGCCGTGCGAGCGTTGTCGGGAGCCGCGAGTCAAATACAACAATGGATAAACAAAGCTTCGGATGTCTTGAGTGGGCTGGACGCTGAGGATGATGTTGAATGGGCGGCTGCTGGCGGCAGAGAAGGACTGGAAGATGTCGACAAAGCGGTGACAAAGTTTGAGAGCCTGGTGAATGTCTACGTCAAAGCTATCGAAGAGGTACAGCTACGCGATGATATTTCAGATGTCGGACCCGAGCCGCTCCAAGCCATCGTTGTTCAGGTGGAATCAACTCTGAAGAACTGGAAGGGCGTTAGATCACAGCTGAGAGGTGTTAAGGAGCAGGTTGAGCTTGCCATGGAGTGGGAGGAGCTATGGACGAACGTTCTTGGCGATGTGGGCATGGAAATGGATAACTTAAGTCGGCTGATATTCGAGATGGAGGAGAAAAGACACAACACAATGATCATGGAATCGGAGACAGAACATAGCAACGGACTTGACCTCGACGAGCTAGAGACAATTGTTGAAGAGTCCCCCGCCAATGGGGGTACGCCATCCTCTTTACGACATAGACATGTCCCTCCCGCCCAACAGGAACCCTCCACCGTCCAGAATACCCAGGATGACTCTAACTTACTAGCTTTGTTTGCGCGGATGCAACCCCTTCGAGCATCGCTGGACTTCCTCCCTATGCGACTTTCAATGTTTCAATCTCGAGCGGAGAAAATATTTCCAAGTGCCTGTGAGGAATTAGAGGATCGGCGAGAACGTTTGGAAAAGGGTTATAAAAAGTTGGAAACGGATGCGGAAGCGTTACGGCGCGAATTGGGCGAGGATAGATGGGTTTTGGTTTTCAGGGATGTTGGCAAGAAGGCACATAAAATGTTCGTGTCGCTTGAACGAAGTGTCGATAAACTCCAGGAAGCGATTGATTCGGGTCTCCACCACGCTGGTTCCATGGCATTGTCGAAGAGGATCGAGAGCTTTGGCCATAAAAAACTCCATATTGGCGATGCCATCAACCGCGTGTTGGCAATCATACAGAAGGGTATTAACGATAGATTGACGGTCAATGGGGAAATTATTAGATTGCTTGCAGATCTAAAAACAAGGTGGGAAGCGATGCAAGACAAGATTCGCGCCATGGATATGCTCCTGGAGGACCTCAATGTTGCCAGAAGCCAACAGTTACGGGACTCGATATCCAGCATCGTCACGCTTGATAGTCCTGCTAACAGAAGTGCCATTGATACTCCTGATAGCTCCCCTGCTTCTTCAGTGGTCATGTCGAGTGCCAATGGAGCCAACAGCGGGGTAGCATCAAGCATCAATGGATCGAGTAGAAGAGGAAGCTCTACCGGTAACGCCACCACAAAGGCCACTGCAACAAAATTGAAGCGCTATTCCGGGCTGCCTCAAGCCTCCTCCGCCCCTCGCCGCTCCTCCATCCCCCGCACCACCTCCAGCTCGAGCCACCTCACACCACCATCCCCACGACTCTCCACATTATCTCCTTCACCCTCCACCCCTCGCCCTGGATCCCGAAATTCCTTTGGAAAACCCAACCCTACATGTACCAAGCCGCGCTGGAACAATAGCCCTAACACGAATGACCTTGTAGTGGGTCACAACTTTAAACCACTTAGCCTCACCACGCCATCCCCGCACCGCAAGCTCACTATCCCCACAAGTTCCCGCTTCTCCCTCCCCATCCCTAGCCCACTCAGCCGCGAGTCATCCGCCTCTCCCGCCCCTTCTTCCTACCGCCCCTCAAGCCGACTCACAGGCAGCCGCCTCACTTCTCCCGCCCCAGACCGTGGAGGCGCGTCACCCACCCCCACACGCTTCCGCTTCAACGACCCACCCCCTTACAGCAAACTCTTCAAGGATCCGTCCTCTGCCTTGCCCAGCCCTTCCCCTTTACTAGCTACCACGCCCCGCAGCCGACAAAGCTACGCTGGCCAACCCAGTGTGCGAGCGGTATCGACAAATGTGGGCAATACTATGAGTAACGGTGGTGGTGATAATGGCGCGAAGAAAGCAGTGACCCGGCCCGGAACGGCATTGGGCCATTCGGGTAGACGTATTAGTATGCTGCCGCAACCACGCGCAACACGGTCGGGGAGGGACAGCGTCGCGCTGTCTTCGAAGGGTTTAGATGAACGGCCACCATGGAGGTAAGCGCAGGGATTCTTTGGGGGATGCTTAGCTACGGTTTTGTGGGGTGTTCACGTAACCAGTTTGGTATAAGAATGAATTGGGGGTTCTATAAATGTCGCTGTGTATTTGTTGGGTATCAGTTGAAAGTTGAAAGCTGGCTCATTTTAGATATATTTGTCTTCACCGTCATCTTAGTTTTCTCTTTCTCTTTCTCTTCTTCTCTCTTCTATTCTATCAGATCTGTCCCCTTTAAGCCTCTTTGGTTTTTGTTTTCTTTTAATTACCCATCTGCGTCCATTATTGCTGTATATTCTGTCCCATTTGGGCGTGCCCTATTTACCTTGCCCCCACTGCCTCTCACACCATCAGCCATTCATATGCTCCTCCTGTGTTTAGTTCTTGTTTCCGCAGCGCTTCTTATGTCTGGATATTACACGTGGATGGAGACACTATATTCCCCCTTTTTTTTATCCCTCGCACGGTCGGCGCAATTTTCTCCCTATATAATCCATCGACATACCACCACCACCTTAGGTTCTCACAATTCGCTTTCTTGCCTCTTGTTTATTAATCTTACTTTTAGTTCATCCCATTTACAAATACCGCTTTAGCTTTCAGCTCCTCTCCTCCCTTCCAATTTGTTTCTTTTTTCTTTCTTTCTTTTTTGTATATTGATTCTTTTTCATCTTACTCTGAAAATCCTAAACACTTTTGAGCATCTTCCGTTTTCCCGCCATCTCCTCTGATACCTCCACTCTTCCTCCCCTTACAACACTTGAGCTACTCTGAATATCATGCTTTGAAGCCATTGAATAACAGCGGAATTTACGACATGAGGGACAATAGCGAAACCCCCAAGAACAAGAACAAGAAGCAACGACTCCCCTCCCCGATTTCTCTTATCCACCCTGTCAACTATTGTTTTAGCTAGGATTGCAAAATTTTCAAGCGCCTTTTTTTTTTTTTTTTTTTTTTTTTTTTTTTTTTTTTTTTTATTGTTATTATTTGCCTTAATTTAATTGCCCTTCTTCTGGATATCTACTTAGGCAGTTTCGACGAGTTGTCTTCCTGCCTATCCTTTGCTATAACTATACCAACTGCATGTTTCCTGCTGTTTTCCCCCTTTTCTTTTCTTTCTCCTAGCAAATATGGCTGTACACCGTGTTTTGTGTTTTATCCTCGTTTACCCCCAATCATCCCAAGAGCGCTCATCCTCTCCCACGCGAAAACGACCTGCCCGCGCTTCTTCCCCTCTGATGCCCGACCCTTTACCTTTTCCCTAAGCACATTATTTGTTTGTATTTACTCTAAAGTATATATATATATATATATATATATAACTTGTCTTTTTAAGGGTCTATTTCGACAACCGGGTTGCTTGGATGTGCCATTCTTCGATTTAGGTGGCACACTACAGACAGACCATGGTCTCACTCACAACTATAGCCTTACGCCCTCAAAACAACTTCCCCTCCAACCTCCAAATCTCTAACATCACATACAAACCCCATCCCTTCTCATAAATATCCCCGATCATTCCTCTTTCACTCTTGAGAAAACTTCATGATAACGCCGCCACTAATGTTCTCCTCATCATGCGCACCAATCCAGCATTCCGCTCTCAGTTTCTTCGCTAACGGCACACCAGCGCGGCTTGCGCCGGCGATGATATTTCCGCCTAGGTACCATGAGCTCTGCACACTTGGGAAAGAGTAGATTAGCAGTGTGAGCGCACGAGAGTTGGAGTCCATATGTAGATGTTTCGAGGCGTCTTCGTCCAGCGAAGTATTTTAAGGGATGCCGTGGGGACTGTATACAATAGATATGACTCCCTCCCGCACGAGAGAGGGTTGGTATTGAGTTTCGGGGCGAGCTGTTGGGACTGGGGCTGGGCCTGTTGGCTTGGGAGTGACCGTGGCTTGGGATAGAGGTGTTGAGGCGGGACCAGAGGACAGTCCCGCTGTGGGGTGTCTGGTACGTTATCCCAATAGCATTATGTACGCCGGCCAAGTCACCCGTGTCGGCAGCAATGCGACTGTGACTTCGCCTGCCACACCCGATTCCGTTAACGGCTCGATCCGGAAACCGAAGCACGGACTGCGGTCGCTTGGAATTGTACTCGGGAATAGATACGATTTTGGTATGATGGAAATGTCTAAATTTTCGAACGGCATTTTGCCGCCTCGGGCTCAGCGACGGCAGTCGTCCTAGGGAGAGTTCCTGGGGATTTGACGTAGGGTAGGTAGGTTTGTTGCAATGTTTAAGGCCGGAGGGGCTGGCAAAGTCAAGTACGGACATGCTGACTTTGTAGTTCCCCGCACACGGTTTCGTTAATATCACCAACAGTACGATAGTCGTAGGTCTTCAAATATGTCAACCAGTCAAAACGCGGAGCTAGCCTAGGCGTGTTCATACCAAAGCACCCCAAAGACATTAAAAGTGTTGATTGGTAAGGAGGACTTAAGCAAAACAGCTCAAGTCTTAATTCAAGGATCATTTAAAAATTATTTATAAATCAAAATACGTAGCAAAAGGTCCCCCTTCAGCTCGGAAGCTGCAGCCATGCAGAGCAGGAACTTCTAAAACAGACCTCAAACATAGGTGATGATTGGCAACGGTGTACTCTCCGTCCGTAGTTGAACACGAAAGCCTATGACCGGATACAGTCGAGGAGCGATGTACACCAGAATCGGTTGTTCCGATCTGCTTGATAGCCGTATGCTTCGTCGTGTGGTTCCTATCAGCAAACGCAAGAGTTTACTTCCAAAATACGATGCGTGTGGATATTTCAGGAGCCATTGTTCTCTTGTAAGGCACTCCGCTTTCGTAGCTAGGAAAATCCGTGATTTGGGCATTCAAATCTATTTATCTGACCAATTAGCAATTGTATACTCCGTATACTTATACATATATTTGACACCCTTCTTATTCAAAATGCACCAGCTAGAAAGAAAAAAAAAAAAAAAAAAAAAAAAAAAGAGAGAGAGAGAGAGAAGAAAAGAAAACGTAATTTCACCTTCAACCGTCATCTCCGTCCTGGCCTGCAGCGAGAAGTGATCCCGGAATTCATGAACGAGGATAAGATGCTTGGGAAGCTGAGTTCCTGTACTCAATTAACATCATCATCATCATCATCATCATCGTCATCAATCGATCTAAAAGATGAAAGTAAGCCATTGGTGAATCTGGTGAGACGAACCTGCAGGAACCGAATATATGTAAACATCTCCTCTAACCTTCCTTGCAAGGCTCTGCAGCGTTTGTGAATTCGGGCGCATGGAAGCGCCGTTGGGGACTTTTTTCTTTTTTCAACAAAAAGAAAAGAGATAGGGGTTATTATATTAACAAAAACAGCCTTTCATATTTCATATTTCTCCTGGCAAGTTGCGATTGACCACGCCAGAGATACATGCCAAGGCCCTCACGTACAGATATATGTGGCAGGATTGAGCGCTCTAGGCTTCACTTTCCCCGCCTCCGTCAGGAGGTCAAACGGTCCGTGGGGGGGGGGTTGTAGGATCCAGGTGTTCACGGAGACGAACCACACGGCCAAAATTGAGGCGGAATATCTCGTTGGGGAAGTGGTTGAAGGATTGGAGGAATCTGTTGGTGAGGGCCATCTCTTTTATATATATATATATATTATATATATATATATATAGAATATGCAAGTTCGATACTAAATACTATTCATGTCAATGGTTTTCTTCTTGCTTCACAGCTTCCCTCTTTTTAATTTTGCAATAGTTAAAGCTAGAAGTTAGCCGCGCGGAGCCCCACCCGCACGCGCCTGTTGGCGTCTAACTAAACGAGAGCTCCAACTAAAGAAACCGTCTGGATTGCTTTCATCCCGCTTGCGAGTCACGACAACGACGACGACGACGAGCTTCGACGAGAAATCCGCTTCATACCGGAATACAGGGAAAAAAAAAAAAAAAAAAAAAAAAAAAAAAAAAAAAAACCCAAGGCTACTTACTGACTACCTGACTACCCACCTCGAACAACAGCACGTCGGTCCCTTCTCGACCCTTCCAGAGGACGCATCACCAGGTTTGTGGACTTTTCTAACTTCAATACAGCCATACCCTTGATGTAAATAATGGGCAAAAGGGGTAGATCCATAAGAAAGGATTGTATATATATGCGGTGTGTTTGTTCAGTACTCGTCATCTTATATAGCTAGCTAGCTACATAGAGGGGTAGGATAGGATATATATATATATATGTATATACGTGTAAAAAATTCAGTAACACTCAAAGAAAAGTAGGGGGAAAAAGGGGGCAAGGGCAGTTTTAGTGAACTATCAATTATATACGGAATATGGAAGTATAGTGAGTGGTTAAGTAAACACCAGAAAAGCTTCAATCTCCTCCCCCCTCTTCAGCACCGGCGCGCCGCATCCATCCCAACAACTGCAACTCAACAGCCCACAGCCTCTCAAACCCTCTTTTGCCCCCATCCTCCTCCCCATCCACCAGCTCCGCCCTTCACAACATTAAAAATAAAAAATAAAAAATAAACCAAAAATTAAATAACGTTGCAGATTAATAGAAAAAAAAACGAGTAAAGAAAACCATCCCTTAATGCTAAATATAAATAGTAGACAGATGAAAAAAAATGTATGTACATACATGTACTGAACTGAATGAGATGACGAAGAACGGCAGACAGAGGCTATATATAGTAAAGAAAAGACAGAAAGGGGAAAAAACTTCTTCACTTCAATTTTAACGTTTTTTTTTTTTTTACACACGCTCAACGAAATGGCGATGGAGGTATAGAATAGAATTAGATGGAGGTAACTTAATCCGGGTTTCAGTACAAGAAAATAGAAAAGGGAATAACCATGAATACTAATATAAATACCAAAATATAAATAGAAACAAGAAGAAGAAGAAGGAGAAGCCAGCATATTCCATCCGTTCCAATTCACCCGTCATCATCATCAACACGCAAACAACCACCAAACCAGACCAGACCGGACCGGATCGGAAAAAAGAGAGTTAACCAGATAGATGAAACAGAACCAGCACAAAAAAAGGCTTATTGAAAAAAAAAGACCACAAAAAGAGGTATATACATGGGATATTTATATGATAATAGATAGGATATATATATATATATATATGTACGAGAGAAAGCAAAGAATGATAAAACCAACAGTAGGGGGCTGCCAAAACCAGCGAAAAACCACAGCACAGTACAGTAGTACAGTAGAGTTACTCGGGATCCCGAAATGCGTGGGAAGGGGGAGGGGGAGAAGGAAGATATGAAAAAAAGCTATTCTTCTGCCTGTTCTTACAAAGCAGGCAGCTGGGCTGGGTGCATCGTGGGAAAACTGAATCAAAAAACTGAGATAAAAAAGGGTGTTTGCGGGTGTGATGGTTGGGGTAGGTATGCTATGTATGTATGTATGTAACTGGTTCAAACCGATGCGATGCACCAAGCAGGGGTTGGAGGATCAGGGGACTAAGAGGTGCTGGACTGGGTTTGGGTAGAATAAGAAGCGGGGGAACAAAGGGGGGGGGGGGAATGGGAATGGGAAATGGGAAATGGGAAATGGGAAATGGGAAATGGGAAAATGGGAAAATGGAGCAAGTATATACAGGTAAATATATATAGGTAGGTAGAGGGATGGATAAATAAGGTCAGGGAGGGAACGAGAGGTGCATAAAAAAGACATTTCATCATCTGTGAATCTTTCATCCTTTCATCTTCATCTTTCAATAATCGTCGTCATCATTGTCATCGCCGTCGTCATCATCATCGTCAATTGCGAGAAAAATGGAAATCGATCCCCAAGAGCGCGGGGGTCGGGGTGAGGAAGAGAATCGGGGAAGGTGAGGTAAACAGCGGAAAATAGTAATCAATAACAACAACCCAATGAAAAAAATACCAATACTTAAATCATTTTTTTGGTTTTTGTTTTTTCTTTTCTTGTTTCTTGTTTCTTTTTTTCTTTTCTTTTCTTTTCTTTTCATTTCTTTTCATTTCTTTTCATTTCATTATTTCTTTTTATTCTCTTCCAGTTCCCATCACCGAAAATCCAACTGGATAGGCTTCCACTGCCCACTCACCGTCCCACAATGCGGACATCCCCTCCGACTCGCTAAACCTGCTGCTCGCCCACTCCCACCAAAATTATTCGTATTCCCATTCCCATTCCCATTCCCATTCCCGTTACCATTCCCAGCATCCCCCCCACCACCATTACTACTACTATTATCATCACCGCCAGCACCAGCACCAGCACCAGTGGTCGGATTAAAAATCGACGCCGCCTGCCCCCCGCTTGTTGTCTGCAAGCTCGCCATGACAACACTGACGCACTCGCGACACACGCCGCAGATACAATTCGTGCATGCGAAGCAGTCGCGGACGGGCCAGGGGCGGGAGCAGCAGGCGCAGTAGATATGTATATCTTTGCTGGTGCTGGTGCTGATGCCGGTGGTGGTGGACATGGGTGTTGGGTTTGAGAGGCGGTGGTTGAGGTGGTGGTGGTGAGGGTGGTGAGGGTGAGGGTGGTGTTGGTTATGGTGGTTCTGCAGCTGTTGCGGGTGGGAGAAGGGCGGGTAGGGGCTGCTTGTTGCTGGTAAGGGGCGTGGAGGCTGGACGGGGCTTGAGTCTGAGGTTGCGGAGGTGGGGAGGCCGGCGGAGGACATGTGGAAGTTTTTGCCGGAGATGACTGAGGAGTTGGAGTCGAGGGAGGATTCGATGGAGGGGAACGGTTCCAGGTCGTTGTCCAGGCTGCCGTGGGGTTCGTAGGGGGGAGGTGTGAGGGCCTTTTGGAGCGGGGAGGCGGTGTAGGAGAGTGGTGGTGGGAATTGGCGGTAGTGTGGTTGTGGAGTGGGTAGGCCTGGTGTCGATTGGAATGCCGGCGGGAGGGAGGAGCGATGTTTCGTTGCTGAGGGGGCGGAGGTTACGCTGTTGAAGGAGTGGTACGGTGGTGATTTAGGGACCTATCAAAGGAAACCATCAGTAACCATCAGTAATTATTATTATTATTTTTTGCTTTCCCCCCCCCCCCCCCCAAAATAAGACTGAGAGTTTGTAAGACAATGGTGACTAGATTCCTAGCTCTTACCGGAGTCAAATCGCGATCATCAACCTCCGTCGCCGAAGTTGCAGCTTCAATCAGATCCTCCCATCTCTTCCCCTGCGCCCACGCAGCTGTTTGCGGCTCAGCCGACAACGCCTTGCGATCATTCAGGCTCGGCCTGCGCCCATACTCCTTGGATCTATTTCGTTCGTGTTTGCCCCTGCGCGCAGATTGCGTCAACGAACCCTTGCGCGGGCGCTGTAATCTCTCGCGTCGCTGAATTGGAGGGAGTGTTGATGATCGGCCCGGTGGGGAATGTGAGAGAATGGACGGTAGTAGTTCTCTCGGGCGGGAGGACTGGAATGATGGTATGGATTCCTGTTTGAAATGGTCGCGGAGTGGGGGAAGCTCGATTGAGGAGCGCATTCGTTCTCGCCTCATGTCGACGTCGGAATGGATGTCCTGAATTTCATTAATTTCATTAATTTCATTTTTTTGGATTTTAGTTGTCGACTAACAATGTTGCAAGAAGAAAGAAAAGAAAAAGAAGAGAAAAAGAAAAAGAAAAGAAAAAGAAAAGAAAAGAAAAAAAAATCTACGGAGCAGGTAGAAGGGGGTAAAAACGAACCGGTTCAGAATCCCAATCGGAAGTCAATCGATGATGGTGAAGCTGTGCCAATGCGACGGCAGCTGTGGCAGCTGCAGGGTGAGCTTCATCGAGGGTACGAGGGGTCAAGGGAGAGCTTCGATCGGCCCCGCCAAAAATATCTCTATCGCCGGGATCGCCTGGAAAAACGAAACCCAAAAACAAAAACACAAGGAATCTCTCAGCAACTCGAGTGTCAAAATATTAAAAATAAAACAAAATAAAACAATGAGTGGGAAGTAATTACGGACCAGGACCCCGCCGCGGATGGGAGGTATTGGGAGCAGGGATATGCGGCCTCAGCTCCGGAGGGGTATTAACCATCAGCTGAAAGCTCTCTTCGGTCGCCGGAAGCTTAGGGATGTAGTGGCTGGGATGGGCGCGGCGGATATGCTCCTGCATGGAGCGGTATCGTTTCTCCTAAAACAACCAATGGCCCCAAAAAGAAGCAACAAATAAATCAGAGCGAGTCAAATAAATATAGTTTCTTATCTGGAGCTGCGACCGGAATAGATATGGTTTTTTTATGACGTGTTCTTTTTTTCTTTTCTTTCTTTCTTTCTTTCTTTCTTTCTTTTTTTTTTTTTTTTTAAAAAAAAAAAGGCTCAGATAAGAGCTTTATCGTGCCATATATTCAGAGGCGGTGTATGCGCATTTTTGAGGTTGGTAAGTGCGGGGGCGTTGGTTGGGAGAATAGGTATGGAAAAAAAGGTGGGGGGGGGGGGGGAGGGAGAAGCAACTCACGCCCAGACATCGTTTGCGACAATTGGAGCCGTCATTGTTGGTCAGGGGACAAACGACTTCATTGTTGGTATCCGAGACGGAAAAGGAGCTGGTCAGAGAAGCTCGCGGTGGCATGGTCTGCAGGTAACCCTTTTTTTAGTCCTCCAGTTTTCGTGGCGCGGAAGGGCAGGGCGGGGTTGTTGTTCAAGGGCTATATATTTCAAGTTTGACCAAGGGGAGGAAGAAAAGAATTAAGAAAAAGAAATCGGACGGACCCTAACTCGATAACGGTCAAGCAGCGGGTGATAGCTATGGGAGTTACGTAGGTTTCTTTGTTATCCCGCTTTTTCCCTTTTTTTTTTTCTTGTCGCCGTTTGCACACAGCCCGACTCCAGATCAAAGGACGACAAACAGATTGTCCGGACAATCGAGGAGTAGGAGGAGGAAAATGGATCGAGGTCGGGAGGAGGTATTTAAGATTGTTGAGTTGAGTGCAAGCTGTATCGAGGGGTTGCTTGCTTGAAGTGCGAGCGAGTTAGATGGCGGTAGGAGTAGAAGAAATAGTGGTAATGATGGCGGCGGCTATTGGGATGGGGATGATCGCGATGCGCTGGGGACGACAAGGTAACGAGAAGAGAGCTGTTGGGGGGAAAAGGCTGCTGCGCATGCTCTCCCTGCTGGCGAATGGGTATGGTATGGACGTAGCTATTTCTGGACGGGCTAGAATGACGAAATCGGACGGGAGAGGTTGGAGAGAGATGAGGCGGATTGAGGGCCAGATCTGATGATGGAACGAGAAAAAAAATAAAAAGGATAAAAAAGATGAAAAATAAAAATAAAATAAAAATAAAAAAAACCAAGACTTTCTTCTTCAAGCTGTAGAACAGGGAAGGTCGGAGAAGAAGAAAAGCAAGGTTTCAGTTAGTTATAAAAAAAAAGAAAAAAAAAAGAAAAAAAAAAGAGGATGAGGAGGGACGAGACGAGAGCTCTGGGAGTGAGTGGAGTGGGGTGTGAAGCAGGGCCAGGCGATAAGGTTTTCTTTTGGGTTGGGACGGATTGGAATGTGGCGGTGGAGAGGGAGAGACAGATGGAAGTGGAGAGTTGTCATGTATATTCACGTAATATCGGAGGAGGAGGAGGAGGAGAATAGTAAGTTAGATAAAGGAGAGTACGGAGTAAGCTGCGACGTAAGATCGGAGGAGAGCAACACAGCCAGTTAGGGCAGTGGGATTGGCGCGGGCAGAGAGCTATATATAGCTAGATATGATGATGATGATGATGATGATGATGATGGCGATGGCGATGGCGATGATGGAGAGATAGTAAGAAGAAGAAGATGAAGAAGATGAAGAAGATGAAGAGAAGATGAAGAAATGATGGGGAGAAGGAGAAGAAGAAATGGAGCAGAAGCTAGACGGAGCTGGAGACAAGCAGAAAATGGTGTAGAGTCTTTCTTGTAACTTAGGTGGGAGTTGGGAGTGGAGCTGCGGGAAGACAAGAAGAAGACGAAGAAGACGAAGAAGAAGAAGAAGAGACCAGCAAAAGCTCAGCCATTGCCATTAGTTAACTAAGTTAGTTATTATCCAAGTACTTTATTTTTAATCTTACTGCTACATATCGAGCACAGTATAGTATGTAATGTACAGGTACAAGCATCAGCCACAACACTGGGGATTATTTCGTTTCTGGAATGAAGGGTTATTTAATAATAGCTAGCAGTAACTATTATTATTGAAATAAAAAGGTCGTATTTATTTTAAATCGGGAATGGGGGGATAGTTACATCCAGCATCCAGCATTCCACCATTTCCACCATTTCCACCATCCGGGGGGCAAGGCTGGGGGATGATGCCAAGCTAGAACAGCCAGCCCTGCCTGGGATGGGGATGGGATGGGATGGGAGGGATGTGGGATGATGGCTGTAACGGTGTGGCAGCATCCAAGGTTCCCCCCCTTAGCTTGTTTTCCTTTTTCCTTTGTTTTTTCCTTTTTTTTTTTTTTTTTTTTTTTTTTTTAAACACTTCTCTTTCTTCTATTTACTACTTAATTATTTATTATTTAATAATTACTTACTACGGTGTAAGTACTGTAGCTGGGAGAGGGGTAAGGTAGGTAGGTAAATAACTCGGTGATATCGTGCTGCGGAGCTGCGGGCTAGCTCAGCTCCATCAGCTAATTAATTCGTTATTAGTGACCTTAGGTAGATACGATACCTAGGTAGCTGGTTAGCTGGTTAACTATCACTTAACTAGCTGGCGGGCAACGAGAATTGCTGGAACTTGTGTGAAGGGAGGGGTTTGGCCGGGTAGAAGGAGGGGTTGGGCTGGTCCTTGTATGTACATTTACATACTGCGTACTGTACTTGTTACTAGAGTTAATAATAATAATGTTGATATGCGATAGTGTGAATAGCTAACTTACCGATGTATGTACATGTAAATACAGTAGTATCTATCTACCTACCTACCCCAGGCAACAATAAATATCGCTGAAGAACCTCTGGTTGAACCTAGAGAGAGAGAGACAATGCTCCTCTCGGGTTGGGCTGCGTGTGATTTTTCTATCCACAGCTTTGGTAACTTATCGGGCAGCCATCTTATCTAGTTACTTTTAAACACTACTACACTAACTACTTACTGTATTTGGACTTTGGACTAAATAATAATATGATAAATGGTTTCTCCCTCTCACTCCCCCCAGCACAGCTTCTCAAATATATACATATACATACCTACTATGCCTGGCTCTACCCAGCGTCCCAGGAAGCAGATGTTGTGCGGTACATACCCCTGTCCCAGTAATCTCTCTTAGCCGTAAGTCCGCATGCTAACTGCTCACTAGAATATCTACAGCGTAACTTACTCTACCCAATAACTACGCAGTACCCCTCTCTCTCCCACTTTTGCCCTACGCTACGCAGCGTACATACGCAGTACATGCACTTGTCTTGCTTCTCTCTCTATCTTCTCTCTCTCCCCCACACTTAATAATATATATATATAAATAAATATCCGCTCAATTAATTAATATCCCATTTATCGCATCTACCTTCTCCTTTCTCCGTTGATACTTGCTACCAAGTCCTGCTCCCCCCGGATAAAGAAACAAGAGAAGGATAATTAATTACCCGCCCCAAGCCGAGGGCCCGAATTACTAATACAAACCCCCCCGCGCGCCCCCGCTGGCGGCGGCGGGCCAACGCCAGCTGCCAGCTCCCAGCTCCGAGCTCCGAGCTCCGAGCCCAGCTCCACACTCCGCTGCACTTTGCACTTCAATCTCGGCTGCGTTTTGGACAGCTCTCTCCAGCTTTTGGAGGTACCCCTAGTACCGTACCTACGCTGGATGTAAACTAGAGGATAAACTAGAGGATAAAAGCAATCCCGACACCCCCACCCACCGGCTTGGAGGGATGAAAAAATCTGATTTCTTTTTCTTTTTCTTTTTCTTTTTCTTTTTTTTTGTAACTGCTCTATTGTCTATTGTAGCTAACAATTCTTTCGTCGTCTCTCGTGTACTGCGTATGCACGACATAACTGCGGGAAGGGGGAAGTGTGTACTCCATACACTGTGGTTAGTTAGCTACCTTGCTTTGCCTCATAACTTAAAAAAAAAAAAAAACTTTAAACAAGTTCCCTATGTTGGCTTGTTGTTTGTATGTTGCTGGATATGAATGGTGTTTCAGCGGTGGGTGTATGGAGTAGTCGAGTAGTCGACTCTACCCCCTTTTCTTTCTCGTAGATCGTAAGGTATTTAAATATTCTTCGATATTGTAATCCGTATATATATCCACATTCGCGCCGGATTACTATAACTTTTGAGGTGTCTCTCTCTCGTCTGTCCAGGGATATTTGGTACCCTAATGGACTTCACAACCAACCTTGTCTGACTGAATTAGGGTAGGTTAGGTAGGTTGGGTGAATGGTTATTTTAAATTCAATCAATCATTATTATATTAAATATATGTATATTGAATATCTAACAGACAATAAAAGAAACACATTATATATATTCATTCATTCATTCAAAGTTGGGAAAAAGGAAACCAAAAAAAAAAAAAATAATAATAAAAATGATGATGAATCCTCCCATAGGGGGAATCGAACCCCCGGCTAGCGTGTGAGAGACGCTGATGTTAGCCACTACACCATATGGGATGTGCTTTGCGTAGATCGAACTCCCTCTCGCCAACATTTATATATAAACACTGCGTCCTCCAATTTTCTAACAACTCGTACGCAAGCACGTTGATGTGCAGCTGGAGGTTGGATAATAATAATAATAATAATAATAAATGGGATGATTGTCGCGGCTCGCTAGAACTTTCCTGGAGAGCCGATTCCAGCTAAGATCTAATAAAACCCCAACCTCTTTTTCATGACAAAAAGGGGGGCACAAGGTCAATCAATTTTATCTAGTAGAATGCTAAAGGGGAGTAAGTAGGTAGGTAAATAGATTGAGAGGTTCTTTTCTAGCCATAGCTATAGATAGGATTGAGAGCTTTAACAGGGAAGGAAACTAAAGATAATAAGAAAAAGAAAGAAAAAAAAAACATTTCTGCCTTTGTTATGCAGGAGCAATTCTGCTTGGTTCTGCTGGAGGTATTTTACATAGTTAACTATATCTGGATTTATACTTTGTATGCGTATACATATGTACATATAATAAGGGGGGGAAAAATAGGTATGACCCTACCAAACTCCGTTCCACTTTTTTTTTTTCGCTTGCAACAATGTAAAAATCAAATATGAAAACAAAAGAGGAGATCCCAGTACCCATCCAAGAAAAGAAAGAAAAAATGGGAAGATGAATAACCTAGATTTGTATATCAACAAAAGAGGAAAAAAAGAAAAGAAAGAAGGCAGAGGAAAAAAAAAAAAGGTATATCATGGATAATGCATATCAGACTCAAAAAGCAAAAGAAAGAAAATCCTATCATACTCGATCGCCGTCCTCGTCTGTCCCACTGTGGTGCCGATGTTGCTGCTGTTGCTGATGCTGCTGATGGAGCTGATGAAGGTGATGGTGCTCATTGACCCTCCCCGCCATCTTCTTCCCAACCTCATAGCTGGAAATCATAATGGCGCATGCCGGCGCAACCTTGAGACACCGTGCTGCCCAGCCGCGGAAAAGACCGGACACACCCTCCACTTTGAAGATGTGCAGAAGGAAGCGAGGCGTGGATAATTGTTCCGGGTGGATATGAGACGCCGAGGATGCCGATGAGGGCGACGAGGATGCGGACGAGGATGTAAACTTGGAGAAGGAGGAGGTGGTGAATGAGGAGCTGGCGGTTGTGAGTTTTGATGCTGCCGGTGCTGCCTTGGAGCCCGGCTCATCGCCACAGTGCAGAAATACCTGCTGCCGGGTCTTGCCGACGTCAAAAGGGGTAGTTATGAAAGCTGCAAGGGCGCCGGATGTGGCGCCTGCGACGAAGCTGTCAAGGAATGTCATGGTGTTGTCCTGGTGCGCGTGTGCGCTTGCGCCGCGTTGACCGCTGTGGAGGTGCTGATGATTTGGCATGAAGAAGGCTGCCGGTACTGTTTTCACCCGCATATCGCTGAGAATGGTTTTCACAGATTCATACCCCCACCAGTACAGGGCGGAGAAAGGTACGTCGCGCCACATGGTAAGTGTCAGCCCCCGCCATAGGGAGCTGTACCCCTGGGTCTGGGTCATTTGATGTAGCTGGCGGAGCGTGGCTTTGAAGTGGTCTGTCCCCGTGCCCGAAGTAGCTTGAAGTCGTGTCCGAAACATCTCAATCGGGCTTATTACCGACGCAGCGGCTATCCTGGCTATGCCACCCGCGACTAGCGGTGCGTACGTGTCATTGAAGGCTCTATTGATGGGGCTCTTCTTGTCGTAGCGTAGCCAGTCGTAGCCGGTAAAATAGATAACGTTTGCTGGGATGGCCATCACTAGGGTCGGGCTGAGACCTCTCCAGAGTGATAGAAGGCCTTCATTCCTGGCAATTTTGCGGAGTCCATCAAGGGTGGAGGTGAATGTCCGTCGCTGAGTTTCCTCCACCGCACAGGCAGCGCCCCCGCTTGCCGGTGGGCTACTGAGCGCGGTCCCGTTTGGTCCCACCATGCAGAATTGGGCATTGTTTCCAACCCAAAAAACTTCCCGGCAGCAGGCAGTCACGCCCAGGTTTGGAGGAAGTCCCCCGAAAAGAGGGGGTGGTAGAATTTCCGGTGATGCCCGGAGGACGGGAGTTTGGGATTGAAGGCGAACACGAACAACATCGAGAGGAGTCACTGGAGATTATGTTAGCATTAAATGCTCACTGGCTCATCAGGACGTCTATCAGGATATCTTACCGAGTAGGGAGGTTAGCAAACTTCCCCATGTAGCTGACATCATCTTCTGGGTTGCGGAAACATTGTCGGCATGGCCCCCCGAGTTTCCGCTTGCGTTACTTGCAGCCATCGGTACTGTTCTCTCATTGTGTAGTGACGCCTTCTTGTCGCCAAAATCGCCGAGGTTTTGATCTCTGGTGTATGCCGCTTGGGAATATGCCCGCGCTGGGACACCCGCATAAGTAGACATTCATCCGATTTGCCGGATTGATAAAAAGAGCTCTCTTGCGTCAAAAAGTCCGGGTCGAGATACTTCACTCCGTCCCAGACATATCCACAGCCGGAGTATCCAAAGGCACAACAGGACGTGGACAACGAGGAGATAATGGAGGTTCGAAGTTCCCGGAATGGCAAACATTAAAAAAAAGTTGCAATGCCGCCATACCGATCACTAAGCGGATCGCCGAATCGGGCAAAATTGAGGCTGCCCGGAGAAATCTAAATCCAGTCCCGGCCGATATTTGCCGAAAGGGGCGCGTGGAGTTCGATGAGGTAAGCAGCTGAGATATGCTAAGCCAGACCTAGTCTAGCGTGTATATCTCCGCTGGAGCTGAATTAGTCATCGTTCTCTCGAAACTGTTGATGAGGAATGGATGGCGACGTAGATATACAGAGTACATACACTACCAGATCGAACAAACACCATCTGCAGTGTGCCGGCTGAGAGTGCATAATAGTATTGATGGATATGGAGTTGCACGTTATTTGACGTGTTTATATGGAGGATAGCATGGCCGTCTCCCGCAGTTGATCATCCCCCGTTAAACAAGCCTCTGTTTGGCAAATATAATAGACAACCCGCTACTACAATGGAACCAAATACCGATGAACTCGAGTCCTTCAGGCGTCAATGGCGCGAGGAAGTATCTGCCAGGACTAGGGGTACTGCTACTTCGCAGTCCAAACCTCGACAGACTCCAAATCTGCTTCCTAATGCTTTGTCGACCCATAAACTCCCTTCGCGACATCCGGCGGCGGACCAGGTAGATGAAGAAGAAGTGATGATGGTAGCAGGGGGAGTGTCTGCGCCGCACAAGCATGAAGAACTGGTAGATCAGACACGGACTCTCCATGTCACTTCTCGCGATGATGACGCTTTCCACCGCCATCCAGAGAAACCGCCAACCTCCGCCCTCGAACACTTCGAGGCTGCGGCGCGGAAGGAAGCTCAGGGGAACCTGGGCTCCAGCTTAGACTTGTACCGGAAAGCTTATAGGGTAACCACCACATCCCATTGATTGGGCGTTTCTTGTTTATTGCTGAAAAAGCTAACCCTCTTGCTATGTATGTATAGCTTGATTCCAAGGTCGATCAAGAATACCGGAAGAAGCACTTTCCGCCAGCCTTGAAATTGCCGGGCATCAACCCTTCAGCAGCTCCAGTTACTGTCCCAAATACTACCCATCATTCACAGGAAGGACCCGTTCTGTCTACAGCGGAGCTAATTGCCTCATTCGCCTCAAGTCCTATTCTCGGTGTTGACCGAATCATTGAAGGCACACCACCCCCGCCCTGCCCAATCTCCAAAGTCCCATCCGAAGTACTTGTGGAAATTCTCTGTCATGTTGCCCTTTTGGATCCCGCTACTTTCGGACGTCTATCCCTTGTTTGTAAACGACTGGCATATCATTTTGCTCATGAGAAACATATATGGAGGAGGTTATGTCAGGGGCCTGAATTCGGTTTTGGGGCCATGCACTATGACTTCGCTTGTGACGTGAATTGGCATCGGATAAACTCATTTTTGCCAAAATTCACTCTTTTCCCCTTCGGACAGACTCATAGTCTACAGATCCCAAAACCCCTTATATCCTGGAGTCAAGTATTCCAGGCCTTCCCCAGGATCAGATTTACAGGAATATATATCAGTACTGTCAACTACAATCGTCCTGGTGCGAATTCCTCTCTGCAGAATATCTCCTGGAACACTCCAATCCATATCGTGACATATTATCGTTATCTGCGTTTCTACCCGGACGGTACCGTAATATCGCTGCTGTCGACTACCGAGCCCGTCGACGTTGTTCCCCATATCAGTAAAGAAAACCTCGAGATCCTGCATGTTGGGACGCCCGCCCACCGTCGACGCCAGCATCACACCTCAGATACCTCAGATACTACTCAAACGGCGGCTCCTGTTGCAAACCCAATTCCTCCAGTTGCCGCTGCCGCACTGAAACATAGTCTTCGCGGTCGATGGCACCTTAACAACCCTTACCCGCCACCACCACCTCCCGCAGTATCCAATGAGCCAGAAGGATCGGCCAGCGCTCCGCCTATATCTTCAGCACTCCTAGCCAATCCAAAGCCACCACCAAGCAAATTCCGACTAGCAGCTACCGCGTCCTCCGCTACCAGTGGCAATAATGACCTACCGGATCCCCGTGATCTGTTTGTAGAAACTGAAGGTGTAGACCCAAAATATACGTATACAATGCACCTAGCGCTCCGATCGACCAGCGGCGGCCGGCATGTGGGGGAGCACGTCACGTCATCACCGCCAACGTCAAACCCGTCAAAAAACACGAAGCTCATGTGGAAGGGATTTTGGAGCTATAATCGACTCACGGACGATTGGGCCGAGTTTGGGTTGCGGAATGATCGGGCTTTCGTATTTAGGAGGGTTCGGGGGTGGGGGATGGAGTAGAAATTGCGGCTACTGCGCTGGCGCTTGCTGGTTTTGTTCTTCATCGTTTTTCATCTACCATTTACGACTCCTAAAACATAGCGGGCGAACAATTTTTACTTCTTTTGTTTGTTTTATGATGCCGGACATGATTTAAGAAGTTTTATATCACTGTTGGTGGAAATCCTAGTTATGTTCAGTGCTTATGTAAACATTTTGCGAGTATACACTGACACTGCATATACCATGCCAGGCGGAATATATATGCGAGGAGTAAGAAATTATATAGACGAAATAGGGAATTAAAGAAGGGGTATCATGTTTTCGATTGTAAAACGTATTTCGTAGTCTGTAAATGAAGGTGGCCAACAAAATCAACATATCAACAGCTAGAATGGTAATACCACCCAATGTAATACAAGGACACAAATTATCAACCAGCGCTTATGACCTAGCACAAGAAACAAGGTGCTCGAATGCAGGCCCGCCAGGAACGCCCCCGCCCATAATTGTAACAGTAAAAGATATAAACAATGGCAAAAGACCATGCACACAGCTTACGCCACAATCTTATAGCTTCCCCCACTCACAACCTCCAACTTCCCCTTCGCCACCATCTGGCTCAAAAATCCCCTCAGCTCCTCACTGCTAAACGGGAACCCGCCGGGTACTACGATCTTCAGCATCATGATGATCCGTTGCAACGGCATCGCGCCCTGGTTGGTCAACATGCCCACAATGAATTGCCAGTACAGATCCATCTTCGCCATCGCGGCAGCGTCTGCAGATTCTTTGCTCGCCGCTGCTTCTGCCGCTTCTGCGGCTGCGACGGCGTTCGTGGAGGAAAAGTTCGTTGATGATGGGCCGGATGGGCCGGGTGCGCGTGGCCCCGTTGACGATGGATCGGCGGTGGTAGCCTCACCGCTTGTGCGTGTTGGGCCATTACCGTCGTCTTCGTCTGGTATCGTTTCTAGGACTCGGAAGGTGTTAGGTTGCGGCTCTACGAGTATACGCTTGCTGAGCCAGAAGAGACACGCGCTGCGGGCGAGGGAGGGGGACATTTCGAGTTGATGAGAGAGTTCGGAGATGGTTTTGGTTACGGGGCCGGGCTGGGAAGGAGACGTAGGTGGTGTTTGGAATGCGTATATTACGGCAGCTTGCCAGGTTGTGACTTCGGCCGTGAACACGCGATCTTCCAGGTCTAGTTCCACGGTGACTTGGCCCAAACCGTTGAGCCAGGTGAGTTTGCGCGATTGCTTCAATGACTCGAAGCCGGCGGAGTATTTTTGTTGCAGCGAGGCAATTTCTGGAGGAACTGTGAATTGAGGGTTTTGCAACGTGGGCCAGAAAAGACGGGATAAGATCTTAGCGTGTAACTCGGGCATGTTAGATTTCTCTGTATTTTCAAGTTTCTGGTCTGAGCGGATGGATGAATCGACACGTTCCGAGCTTTGAACATCGCGGAGCATAACCTGACAAGCCTGGAGGGCTGAATCGCCAAATCGAAGCTTCAGTAATTCCAGCAAGGACACCTCCAGATCATAATTGTCGCTCTTTTTGAGTAACCGCTCTCCAAGGACTTTCTGCAACTCCCTCACAAAGGCTTCCTTCGTATCAAAGAGGCTTATTAAACTGCCAATGACGTCGGAGCTTTTGGACTTTTTGTAATCTGTAGCAACGTCAATCGGATCTGGCATCCAATTCATGTCATCCCAGTCTAGCTCGCCAGAGTCATCCTGAAGCAAAAGTTCATGCGCCTTTGACAACTCCATCGCCAATTCAACGAGAGTATCTGCACTTGAGGTGATAGGCTGTCCATCAGCGTCCACAGTGTCAGCTAGAAGCCCTCCCACGATGACCTTCACAGTATCATCACGATCTCGTAGATATCTTCGAATGGGTCGAGCAACGTGATTCAGAAGGACTCCTGGTGGATCTAGCTGGGTAAAGGCGCGGATGATTGAGATATAAATTTGTAATATTTGAACAGTTGAGGCGCCAGGGTGAAGAAGTCTCTGCACCAGCATAGAAACAAAGGAGCTGACCAGATATAATCGCGTAGCAGGATTAGTCGTGTAGTGTTTCAGGTCTTCGATCGCGCCGCTGCTCGAATCCCACTCGATAATGACATCGAAGAGCTCACTGATCCGAAGGGCGCCTAGTCGTGCAATCCCCATTTCTTGCCACCTCTCGACATCTCCTAGCGTGACATCCAGTCGTTCCTCAAGAACACCGCCTTCAACGTCGTTAGTTTTGAAGATGTGTAAAATCTGAACTACCAACCGCGCAAACACATTCTCGATCCACTGTCGCAAATGTTCTTTGACAAGAGATGGCGATTCCCATTGACCCGCATAGGCAGATGTAACGAATTCAGTTAACATATTGTTCATCACACCCGCAAATATCTTTTGGCCATTACTAGCCCCAAGCCCAACCTCCTGAAGTCCCTCCAATAGATGCAACAACTGACTCCTGGTCCGCGTAACTTCCTCCGTTTCGCCACTAATCATCTGCAGTCTTCGTTCAGGTGATGGTTCGTTTTTCCAATGCGCATACGAAGTGGTGAATATTTGGTCGATTTCCATTCCATCCCCGGCCGTATTGTCATCTTCAAGGCTAAATACTTCGTCTTCTTCGTTATGGACCCCTAGTATAAATAAGCTCTGTGTAGCAAGCTCCTCAGAGAGTAGATATGAAATGTCGCCGGGAGGGAGCGCAAATGTGACGATAGTATGGAAGTTCCTTTGTAGACGAGAGAAATTTTGCTCTTGGTTTGCAGGATTTATCAGTGGGGATAAATATAGGAGAAAAGGGGTGAAGTAAACGGTTTTTATTAATCTTAGGTACCGGACCAGTTTTAATAAGGTATCAGGCTGATTTCTAACTTTTAATCCCTAAAATTTTCACCAAGGACCCAGACGTTAGTCAAAACAAATATGGCGTGCGAAATGTAACAAGAGTTATCGAGACTAGGAGACGAACCGCAACGAGAAAATCCCGGAAATTTGTTAGGAAGTGCCTTCGCATCTCAGTCAGATACCATTCCTTCACGTCTTCCTCCTCTGAGGCCTGTCGTAAAGCTCTGCCGGGGGAAGAATCCGCCCCGACGTAAAACAGACTGTCGGACACCAGTTGGGACGGAGGTCCTTTTGCCCACCGTCTTAACAATGTCTCCTCATCTCGTGTCTCGTCATCATCTCCAGCTCCATTGTTTCTGAAGCCCTCATCAGGAATTGACAGAAATGAAGTTGCAGTATGCCATGCTCGATCCCAAGTAACCTGTTCTGGCACGTATTCTGGTTCTGAAGATCGGCGAGCGCCTTGCTTATACCCGATGTCGAAAGTTTCCCCAGGTCGTGTAAAACCCTGGACGGGACTTGATACTGGGGTCGGAGATATGTTGCTTAATGGAGCCGGAGGAAAGACGGAATCAAATACTCGTTTACGGCTGATTGACAGTGGGATATTTTGGAACATTGCTTTGTCGAATGTGTATTCGAGATATTTTCGCGTTTTTCGTTGGATTTAATGGGTATGGACAAGAAACTGAAGTTATCCCTACCAGTTAATGGAGTTTAGCATGGGACAATCTGGTGTTTTAGGATATTGGCACCTGGTGAGGTGCTCCTGTCGCCCTTCGCAGATATATCAATACAGTCGAGGCTGAGAATGGAAATTGAGAAACCGCAGGTGGAACACGTGATCACGTGAAGCGGCTGCACTGAGAGTCGAACCAAGGGACAAGTGATAGCGAAGACTACAACTAATAAAATAGAGGTTCCATTCCCTTCCCATGTCAAAGTAGGGCTAGCATTAACATTAGGAGAAGTTCATTCAAGAATAGCACAATGAATTTTCTGGTTGCCATCAGGTCAAAAATGAAAACAAGAGGGAATGCAAGAAACTTGTATCTACAATAATCAACGGGTATCAAAACAGCTCTCTTTCGCTCTCTAATAGCGTTGGGTACATTCCACACCATTATTCAGTGGATACCACTAGCCAGAAGCACAAATTGAATGAATCGACGCCAATACCTCAGTAGCAAACGGGAAACAACAATCTAGAGCAACGATCCGCTAAGGGGGAAGTATGTAGCAACAAAATTGCTAGGGAAACAAAGATAAAGGACAACAACATTGTTTTAACGTAAATATATTTTCCAGCGTAGGGAAGCCATAGGCCGTGATATGGAGGTTCGCAATTCCAGTGTTTAGATACTATATGTACACGAATATGGCTCGATGTAGTCGCGGGTGTAGGCCAGGATGGAATTCTCTTGATCCCCACGGGATTAGTTGTAGTCTGGATTTATCTCTCCTTTTCATCAACCTTTTCCCATTCGCTGTCCGTACTCACGTAGCCAGAGCTATCGGGGCCGTTTCGTCGCCTTCTTAAATCTTCTGCCTCATTCGGTGGAGGAGCACGCGAAGCACCTGTGTTCCGAATCGGGGGGGGTCCCATTAAACCAGATGAAATTGTAGGTGCCGGTAACTTTGGTTCTCCTCCCGCAAGGCTTTCGGTTTCAGTTTCGCTCTCCGTGTCAATCGCTCCGGGTGGCCGACCTGTGGGTCCCTTCTGGGTTGATTGGGGCCAGGAACTGTTGGCGGGCTCCGATTGTGCTCGGGAAATTTCTAATTCTTTCACAAACCAGTTTATCGCACCCCATAGACCGCCACATAGGATCGAGAGGACAACAAAGTGGATGCTGTGAGTCGCAAGAAGAAGGGCAAATAGGAGGAGCTGGAGAGCAGCGAAGGTTACGTTTGTTGCGAGGACTAAGGTAGGTGTAGGGCCCGGGGTGAATATGCTGGACCAGAGATTCTCGATGAAAGAGGCCATTCTGTGTGAATATTCTGCAGCTATGACACTGAGAGGAGGGGGTTTTCCGTATCGTTTAGGAGATTCGTGGACTAGCCGGTAAGACGAAGAACGTTCCGGGATATCGAAGGAAAATGGCAAACGATAGGGTTATAAGCAGGAGGGATTTGAACACGTTTATCTTTCGAATAATGGTCAGTTTGTCTTTCGCAGCGCCGTGTTTTTAAATGTTTTTTTATCCTGGTGCCTTAAAACGGAGCGTTGCTGCCAGATGGAGGGGTTGGCTTCAAGAAGTACCTACTTTAGTAAATAGCGCCAAACGCGCGGAACCCAAATCAATCGTGGTTAAGCATATATGGATGTCCAGGATGGTTTGAAAGGGAATTCCAAAGTTGGGTGATTTTGACCTTGCTAAGAACTGCTCTAAGCCATCAAGATAACACTCCAAAGAGGCATTCCATGCCTCTGCCCATGCTGGGAGAAATCGTTGTCATTGTGATGATGATCATGATGATATCGGCCAGCTGATACCGCGAAGATACCCCGCATCATTGTTGATCCGACAACGCCGGACCACGGGGATTTTGCACGCGGAGTGCTAAGTTAATCCGCTCCGGCGTCGGAATAGGAGAAGCGCTCAATGTGAAACAAACAAATCATGAAGATTATAACAACTCGAGTCTCACAACTGGTCTGGTGCGATCCCCGGACGGACCAAAGTCAGAAGTTCACGGCCTTTAACACCTGGATGGAGGTGTTCTGGATGATCAGTAATCAAGGAACCACCCGATTACACCAACTACTTACATGACCGCGAGGCTTCTCCAAATTCTCAAGCGCATGCTTTTCCGGGAGTCTTTTCAGCTTCTTCCATGATCAATGCTCAATCCCTCTTTTCTAGATATCTATTATCTTACATTCTCAAGCACCGTCAAGCATGTATCTTCAGGATTGAAGATACATTTTCTTGATTTTTTCTTCTGGGAGCAAAGCGCTGATTCGATCATATGGTTACAACAGTAAGTAATGATTCGATGCTTTAGATCGTCGATACTTCGCCACTATCTCCTGCTTGGAAACCCAGCCTGATTCCAGAAGTCCCATATATATACATTGAACTCTCGTACGGCCATCATCCTTGAAATCCCTATTAGTTAGGCAAGAGGAGGGAATCTGATGCACATTGGAATGTTAGCATAGTGCGCCTGGCTGAAATTTGTAGTAGGATCACATGGTCTCAAGCTGAAAAGCTTAAGGATTTCATCCCATACCTTGCAGCTGCACCATTCGCCAGTTCTTCGGCGGTTGCTGGACATGACTACAAATTCCTTCACTCTTTATCCTGCGGGCTACAGGACTCTTCCTCCAATTTCGATATTTTTGTACTGCTGCGCCACAAGTCAACAACAAGTCCTAAATTTCCAGTGAGGCTGTGTGTAAGGCTGAAGCCACATTATTAGTCAACAGTGGCGTCGGCGGCATGCATCTTGCAGGTCAAAAAAGGAGCAGCCCTACGAAGTACAATCCTCCAGCTTAGAAACTGAGGTTGGTGGACCAAGCGGCTTCCCACGTGTAGACCGATAAAACTCCCACAGCCCCATGTTACCAATTGAGAAAAGGAGAGCGTTATTCATTTTTGTAAAACCCAATCCATCGCTTCCCTGCTTTTCGCCAGCCATTCATTCAACCCATCATCCATTATTAGCCAACGGCCCAGACTCTCCTCAGCACAGCATTGAAACGATTCAGGAACTATTACTATAGCGCATTACAGAAATAGACCAAGCCAGAGGGCAAATGAATGAAATCGTGCAACCCAACACAAAATGGACAATCTCAAAGAATTTGGAAAGCACATCATAAGAGCCAAGATTTTCGATGGGAGATTCTCATATGGGTCCGCAAGTGCCCTCAACCAGAATTTCGGGGTTTGGAGAACAACTTCCATCTTTTGATCTCTCCCTCTCCCTTCCTAGCCTAGGATGGGAGAGTGTATGTCGTGTGCGCTCCGTAATTCAGCACCTGTGTCCCCATGACGACAACTACTTCCCTGGCACTTACCAAAATGCCTGACATTGTTGCTGCCTTAAAACCATCAGCCTGGCTGATAACTGCGAATAATGTATTGAGAATTCGGCCATCCGCTTAAGAGTTCCTTGGTGAAAGCATGGATTTGACTCCTTCGTTCGATAAGAGTTAACGCTAGCAATGCGGTATTATTCTTATCATCTTATTATGGTCCGTGGACAATCGACAACAATGTATAAGGCGAGTCAAGCGAGGCCCCCAAAGGCATTATTCGTCACCCTAATTGCTGTAAGCAATCAAGCAGCACCAATAGGCCAGGCCCACCCTGAAACGGGCTAATGATCTCTGGGCTCAAAGCTTTTTTGATTGCTGGTTGAATAACGGCTGCCAAATGTCGCGGCCTCTCTCACCTCCCTACCCAGCATTATGCGGCAAGACGGAAGGGGTAAAGGGCTTCTCTGTACATCTCAACGGCCAGCCCCACCCACCTCAGCACCGCGGTCAGGGGCCGGTGTATTTCAAATCTCCTGAGCTCGCTTCCCTCCGGCCGGGCCGCTGCGGCAGCATCCTGCACTATTCGAACCAGTCTATCTGACAAGCATAGGTTATTTGCTGCTGCTTCGCTCATTATTGGCTGCAACTAGCATTTCCTGAATGGCAGGGCTCTCGTGCAAAGATTGTGACCTCCATGGATCGAAACCCTGGATTCAAGGCTGATCGAAGGAATGACCAATGGCCACCCACCCTGCAACAAGTGGATTCATGCAATGAAGCCGATGGAAAGGAGCCTGTTCACCTTTTTACCGTGTCCATCTACTTTGCAGTTTCGATTTATTTTCCTCCGTTTATTGCAGGGAATAGCTGAGCCTTATCGATATTACACTTCATATTTCATTTTCAGGCAATCTGCGTATACGCCTATCGAATATCAATGCCCGCTTGTGCCTCGCACCATTTAATGGTGACCCAAAGCAATGACAGCACCTTTGCAGGACTATGGAGGAAACGGAACTGGAGACCCTAATAATGCTAATAATAGTTTGCCGAGGGAAGAACATGCTACCATGCGAAAATGATACGTTACGAACTGACGGTGCAAGAGCCGCGAGTGTCGAATAGGGTACCTGGACTGGAAACTTGGGCTTCTATTAATAATAAGTAAAGTGCGCTAGCTAGGGCTGATATTCGATGTCGGAACAGATAGTTCCCTCTGTTCTAACTTGCGGGGACCCCGAGCGTCTTTTTGTTTAGAAAAAGATAGGAAAGTTAACTAAATTTCAGAGGACATAGCTATGCTATGATGCGTTAAACTAAGGTGCTGAGCCCAGGATTAGTAAAATAGAGTACATAAACGGCGCACTGATTGGCTGCCGGTAAACTCTATTTGGCGCTAAAATAAGCGCTCTGGGCTTTGGAAGATTTCGGCTTCCTGCAGCCAATCCAGGGCCACGAGGAGGAGAATCTGCACAACAAGGATGGTTTACACTAACGTGCAACCATGGGGGGGTTTACCCGCTTCAACAAGAATTGGTGCCTGGAGACAAGTTCTCGCCTAGCAGAGCTTGTATCTCGAACTGACTCTCTACTACCTACATACCTGTTGAGGCATATCCCGGAGAGAATGAATCTTTTTTTAAAGGATATTTTGGGGCAAGGGTCATCATGATAAAGACGGAAGACTCAGCCAGTTCTTAGTTCTGCAACGCTTTTTAAGGGGCGCTTCCATTATTAACCAATGCGACGCTAGGCGGGGGAAATAGATTCCAACCTCGGTATCCACCTCCAAAATAGGCACACACGTCTGGAGATGGTTGTACAAGAAATGCTGTGGCGATAACGGTTCATAGAGGAATGAATTGTGCTTGCAAAATTTCTTGTTGGGCAACAGAGTTTACAAGAATGGCGGTTGCTCTGTAGGGCGGCTTTGGCGGGTCGATCACGACGCTCACATGATCTCAGCTGCTTGCAAATCGGCTTTTGCTGAACAATAATCAACCTCACACTAAACCACCACCAACCTCGACAGCTGCGCCTATATGGACCCACCATACGGAGTACTGGCTCTTGGCTAGCCCTCGAAGATAACGATTCCTTTGCCGTTTGTTGGAACTAATTCTTGGCTCAAGAATCGTTGACCTGCTAATAAGTGTCAGCCTCTGTGGGCTCATGAAGCATTCGCAGCTTTGAGCTTGTGAGAACGCCGTGAGAGTACTATGCGTAACTCAGGCCTGGGGAGTAACTTCGCAGTAAAGGGCTTGGCCCGCCAGCGTTGCGCGTTCGACACGAAGCTCCTTCCTTCATCCGGACTGGCGAGTTGAGCCTTATTTGCAGGCGTGGCGGACTGGGCTGAAGGCAGGACATGCCACCTTCAGGCGAGCTATCGACTTGCAAGATATGCTGCGTATGTATCTCACCCAGGCGATGGTATACGCGACAATGGTACTAGCCCGCTAAGCCCAGGAGCCCGAGCTTGACTGGAATCGCTGGGTGGTACGACGCCTTGCAAGAAAACAAAACCAAGGGTTTTGCCTGGTTCTTCAAGGTAGTTTCGGATTCGCCCAAGTGCAGCAACCCTCCTTCGCTCCTAAAATAACCTTGTATCGTTAGCTGGACGGGAGCCCTATCCCTGGCAGTGTCACCAAGAGAAGACAAGTCACCATGCCTAGCGAAAAGACAACCGCGCCTACGAACCTCGGAGCTCTTGTCCTGATTTTTTTTTTTTTCCCTCTTTGGATTAATTGCCCCGTAATCGAGCATCCTCGCGGATGTACAAGAAGTTGTCATCACCTTTCTTATCTGGTGTTTGAGTTCTTTAATTTAATTACCCTGTGAATTTGGTGTCTATATTACTGTTCTGAGCATGAACCGACTGGCTTGGCTCTAGCTAGGTCGAAGTCTAAAGAGCATTAGACTCAACCGTCAGGTTACCTCCCGGAACGATACCAAAATACGTCGTCTGGCCCCCAAAAATATTGGAGCCCCTTTGGAACCATCCCTTTAAGGCTTTACCCCGGCGGTTTTGGCAGCTTGATGGACTTCTTCCGCTTGGGTCGTTTTAGGTATCCATCAGCTCTTGGTTTGGCTCCTCTTTCCTTGCAGCCGCATGTCAGCCCTCACGAATACCCATCATTTGATGATCTCCACTTGAATATTTGGACCTAAAAAGGGCGCCAGGGAGAGTTGGAAGCTTATGAACGCATGTCACCCACAAAAGGACTTCTGGCTAGCCACCCCCCCCAACTCAAACAACTCCGCCCTGGATTAAGCTATGAAATGGAAATTTCATTCTTCTTCCTCACCTGGCGCGTCTCCAATGACTCGCTACTACAATTTTATTTGAAGTGATCAGAATGCTGTAGAGTCCAGGACTTTGTCTCTTGGGCAGGATGTGGAACTAAACTACTTGGCATCAAGGAACTTGGTCTGTTACAACCCTGTTAAGGCGAAATTCTGTGTGGTGGTCTTGGTGAGCGGTATTCAAAACTAATTGTGCAGAATCAAATCGGGATCGGGGTTCTATAGCATGTGCTAGAATGCTGGAGAGCCAACAAGCTCCTTAGGGCTGGCCTTTCAGTTGTCATCTCGCAATTTCAAGACGTGGCGCACGACTCTGCACCCCTAATATGGAGATGATGATGAATCGGGCCTACTAGATGGGTTGGCATGAATGGGGCTAAGCTCCAGCGCAATATGGCTGAGTGTTTTGGCTGGGCATCTGTTCTTAAAACAGAATGGGGTGGAGAGGTTGGCAGCTCCTACTTTAAACTGTTACCCCCCAAAATGTTCGCCCTCATTTTCCTCTAATTCATTTCCATTCCGTTTTATAATCCTCATATAATTGCGGTTGAGAGACATTATTATCGCAAATACCGTCGTGTCTGTTGCGAAGGGTTCTGTTGTGCGGGGAACAACTATTTCAAGCTCCTATCTCCAGTGCCCTTTTTGTATCCAGAGTATATGGTCTTGTCCAATACATGTATGCATTCCACCGCTTCTCCTATCTCTTTTCTTCTCTTTGACCGGCAGAGCGCCAATTTTTTTTTTAACTACAGCATGTCATCACAGAGACGTCAACAATCAAGAAGCTCATCTAGCCAAAGATCTAGGAGTTCTCGAAAGGATCAACCAGCTACGATTACTGCCGCGCAGTTTGAAGCCCTAAACATTTCGTCCCCTACCCCGCCACCACCAATTGCCGTTCACCGGGCGCCAGAGTACGCTCCATCCGATCTGAGCGCTCTTGATGCGAATTTAGCAGTTGTAGTCAGTCAAGCACAACAAAACTGGCCGTCATTCCAGATGACAGCTACTGTCGATTCGAGTTCAACACCACAGTCGTTTACTGGAGTACCCAACTCCGAAATCAGATACAGCGGTTTCTCCTCGAGACAAGAGCAATATACCACAGAACATATGAAGTGAGTTGAAACAACCAATCCGTTGTGCAGAAAGAAGCAAATAGATTAATATATTCTGAAGCTCACGATTTTCGTTGTACAAAAGCAGTACCTTTCACTACAATATGCCTTCGCATTCATCAGCCTTTGCACAACCCAGTTATCATTACGCTGGGCCTGGCCATACGCACCTTCCAGGTATTTATTTGCATGATCCGACTCTCTTCATTGAACTGATAGTAACAATATTCAATGCAGCCTACGGAATAGAACCCGAATCCGCTTCGTCGCTGGAATTTCCAACTAATTTTACCCACCGGAATCCTCCCCCACAGGCATCTATTCCCTCAGATGGCTTGATAAATATGCCTCCTCCAGGCGGATATCACTATTCGGTTCCGCAATCCCAGGTTTCTTCCACAAGACAATACAAAGATAGAATATCAATTACGTTATCTGAGCATCACGCGCCGGATCAGGAGTCTCGTCCAAGTAATTCACGGGATGAATACATACAGCATGGATTTACCTCACATCCTGCTACGGAACCATATTCCGATCTGTCTACAAATATGGCTTCCCTCACTCCAGATTATTTGAACCACCCAGTACCCAACGTTACCGGCCATGCTTATCCCGCCTCGTAAGGAGCCATCACCTTGAATACCTTAACCAACAAGAAGTGTCTAACAATTTTAACCTGCGCAGCCCCTCACTATATGAGCCGCTACATCCCTATCAAAGGTGAGTTGAAACAATGACCCTGTTATATTAACCGCCTATCCTTGGCCGATTCTAGTCTTCCTAAATTCTTACTGTGCTAGTTCTAGACAATATTCTTTTTCACCTATTCCCGATACAGGGGTTCCCGCAACCTCAGCTTCAGCTGATAATTTTTCTACTCCATACAGTGTCTCACCCGCCCCAGAGGACCAAGTACGAATTGTGAACTCTCGACCGAAACCACAGTGCTGGGATCATGGCTGTAATGGCCGTGAATTTTCCACATTTAGCAATCTTCTGCGTCATCAGCGTGAAAAGGCAGGGACTGCCACGAAATCAGAATGTCCTCATTGTGGAACGGTTTTCACTAGAACAACGGCACGGAATGGACATCTTGCGCAGGGAAAATGCAAAGCGAAGCGCGAACAGCAATAGCACGGCAATAGTAACAGAGAGATAGTGTTCATGCGCTTTGATTATCTACGAAGGTATTGATATCAATTTTTGTTCGCGGTGGGCGTTTTTTTGCTTCTGGAGGCGCAATGGGTAGGTGCATACATTGGGAGACTGGAGCCCCAATCACCTTTTCCGACTCTTTGATCACCCTAGCCATCTTGCTGCACATGTATGTGACCTTTTCAGCATCATCTCAGCATATCTGCTTTTAGCATCAGCACCTCATGACTTAAAAAGACACAATGACAAAACTATCACTAATCCCTCTTTTATCCTCAACCATGGCGAAATGCGGATTGAAGAGAAACTACATCTAGAAAGATAAAATGGAGGACAAATGAAGCAATTTGATAAATACGAGAGGATGCTCCAGGTTCTTAAACTTGAACCTGGGGCCCCCTGCCTCCAAATCATGGACATGAATAGCGGATACGTTCGATTGGGCAATCGACCGTCAGATGGATCCATCCATGGATGTGAGCTGAGCACGCTCTTAACATCAGATTCTTGAAAGCCAATATCGTAAAATGTTAAACTGTCGTCTATGTATCTCTATACCTGAATATGAGTAAATCATTGGGCATTTCTGACATATTTCTCTAACTGGACCCTGGCAATTAGCGACTTCAACAGGTTGCAGCTTATGTTTCCACAGCTAGCCGACCTTATTTGCTTTTATTTGCTGCTGTTTTTCGCGGAGCTTGGCACGAGCGATTACTGGATTGTGGTCCACGCGCGGAATTGGGATGACGTGTACTCCATGCTCCGTACGTGTAACTCTGGCGTCGCCCTGGTTTTTTTTTTAGCTTCAACTTAAGCTCAACATGACGGTGACATGATGTCCTTTTGCACTCTCCATAATAATAGCTTATGATCCCCCTGTTCCCGAGAAAAGGCCGCACTGTTGAAGTTGAAGGAGAGTTATCAGGCCCTGCATGTTCTTGGTTGGAGCGTAGCAAATGTTCCCGAGGCCAAAGATGGCATATCGGCTTCGACCGATTTTCTTTCCTTCGATATTTTTTTCCCTCTCGCTACGTTTTCGCTTCCTGGATCACACATCGTCGGGTATCCGGCGCTAATAAACGCCCGAACCAACCGCCAAATTGGGAGCGATACACGAAGTTTGACTTCGCGTGCTAGGTGGCCGACAGCTGAACTACCTAGCGTAGAGAAGGGTGGGGGTTAGAGGAGTATCGAAGGGCCAAAGAATGAGGAGAGCTGTCTCCACGTAGGAGGAATACTCGTAAATTTTAACATTATTCCTCCTCTGGAATCTCAAGGCTTTCAAGGCGATTCTCGCCCATACTAAGAGAGAACAGGGACCCGTGAGTATGGTAGTTATCATATGCCAATAATGCGAAGACCAAGGTCCTAGATCAGTAATTATCAACACACTCGCCTGAGGATGTGTAGGCAGCTGGTGAGAAATATACTCTGCCGTGTTGTAGCCAACTTAGCAGGCTTGGCCGCTTTGGCTGGTTGGGTGCCTCAGGCGAGCTATTAATTTCTTATTGCACACCAGCGCGGGGGCACCGATTCAAGCGGCGTGGTTCTGCTCCTTGCCTTCATTACCACTAATCTTCACGGAATCTCACACAGAAACAAGAAACACCGATGGCAAAGAGGGCGGGTGCTTAAACTTTAAAAATCCCGCTAAGAAACCCCTAATAAGAGGAACCTTTGCTCGGCAGCCCCAACATCACTGCACTGGGCGTTGGGCTGTGAAGAGCGATGTAACTTAAGTCTCTTGACATCGGCGACTCGTCGGATTCCTGTCACTAATAGTAATAAGTGTTTAGGAATTCGCGTTATCTTCTTTTGAACAATATTAACACTGTAATGTTTTTCATGATGCCGCTCCACTTCCCCTCAGCGGTTCTTGGAGTTACGTCAAGTAACAACTCCTTGACGAATCGTGCTCGTAACTTATGGAGAAGCCACATAGCTACTGTCCTGTAACATAACTTGCGGTAAATAATCGATGAGAGCCTGGAGAGCTTTGCACTGCAATTGATGTTTGGGCCAAATTTCCTTAGGGATTATGGAAGTAACTGGGACACCTTGTGATCTCCTTCAATTTGTCGCATCAAATTTCCCCTCCCTGTGATGGTTGTCAGCTAACTATCTCCAAACCAGGTGAGGTGTTACAGTTCAAACAGGCATCTTCCATTATTGCAGGGTTTGACCACCCATTCGGCTTCCAAATCGCGATAAATTCACATCCATAACAGGATGGTCCTGAGCTGACAGTGATCTCATCGGACGAAGCAACTAGTTTACGGCCCATATTTGACTGGATACCCGCTGGTTTTAAGGTTTGCTACGTACCAAGTTAGGTACAGAGCAGAGCGCATTTTGGTTTAGGTCGTCCTCTCCTCTCAGCCCTACAGACCGATGCTCCGGTTCAGCTCCGCGCTTGGTCTGTCATCCTCTGGCAGGATTACCATTTCTCTCACCTTGAAGGCAGTCCCAAGGATGCACATTGCCAAAGCAAGCAACCATCAAGACACTCATGGGGAATCAATGAACTGCAACTGCAATTATCAAAGTATCTTAAAACAACTGCTCAAGTTCCAATTTGAAGAGTAGTTTTGACATGAAGGCACAATATATGCTGGTTAAATATGTAGACTGTAGCTCATGAATTATTTCTGTAACTCCTTTGGCGGCAACAAATCACGTGAAATTCTTATCAGATCATGATTCACGTGACTAGACAGCCAACCCCATCGCCGGACAAACTTCGAGTCAGCGATTGTCGCATGAGATGACTCTTATACCAACGTAAGGAACATGTCGCCTTTGTCCTGACTATATACAGCTGGTGTCTACCTGGCTGTAACCTTGCTCTCTCTGATCCCCCCGTTTGCTACCCCCTTCCACACCCATAAAACCAAACTTGCCTAGTTTCACGATCACAAAAGCTCGGAGCTCAAGATGATCCAGTTACTCCATTCAGTCTCACATATTCGTTATTCTCGTACAAATACTCGGCATTTAGACCTCTTATACTTCGCCTACGGACCAGCCCGGCTACGGACTTGCCCTTAAACCGAGCTCAAAAGTTTGAATATAGGAAACGGTAGGCCGATGCCTATCGTATCTAGTGGATTGGTTGGGAATCGCCTATCAGCAATATCCTTTATACACGGCTATCAGGTTTCGGATGGCCTCGGTTTTCACCTATGATCCCGATCCGCCGCGGGTGTCGTCCCCATGGTCGACTCCTGGCTCTACGACACCACGACGGATTCCTTCAGGAAATCGTGACGCGACATCCCAAGAAGCTTCTTTACGTACGTTCGATCCAAACGACCCAAATTTCCTAGTAGATTACGGAATTACAAAGTTGGAGGTAGAGCCACAGGATGGACCGACGGAGTATAAACTTCACCTTCTGTTACGTTCGCGGCGTTCCTTTCTGTCATTATCCACAGGAAACCTGACATCGGGCTCCGTTCACTCCAAACAGAGTCCAGTTGGTCCTGAACCTTCGTCAGTTTCTTCGGAGCCGGTAATTAGGCCGACGCAGGCACAGTCTAGTCAATCGCGCCAGCACCGGATCCAGCAACTGACTACTCAGCTTCTCTGGCGTTTACAGCAATCTTCCCCCTTCCACTCATCTTCCACTGTTGGTTTGGTCCTTCCTGTTCTACCAGAAGCTACCCCGACCCTTAATGTCCCTAGTAAGCCTGCTCGACTTCTTCCTGGCCTTGAGGAATCCCAGGGAGCCTTGTACGAGATTGGAGTCTCAGATGATGGTACATTTGTTGGTCTTGCTGAAGACGAACTAGAGGAAAGCCTTACCAATCTTAAAGCGATGGCTGCGAGTTTGGGTTGTAACGTTGAAGTTTTAAGGAAGGTAGCCGTTGGCCATTGTGAGTGGAACGAGAATGCGGATGATGACACGAAACCAGTTGTTCTTCGTACTGGAAAGCTCTGGGTCGCAGAGGCACTTGTAAGCCCTGATCTCAAACACAGTGATCACATCTCTTCTGGAGATGATCAACGCCTATTGTCGGATTCGAAAGTCTCTGCGATGGTGTCATCGCCTGGGGCCGAGAAGGATACCATCTTCTCAACACCACAACTTCACATTGTCATGGCTGGGCCGTCGACTGCTGGAAAGTCTTCGCTTCTAGGCTCTCTGTCTACTTCCGCTCTTGACAACGGCAGGGGAAAGAGCCGACTTAGCCTTCTGAAACATCGCCATGAAATTGCCTCCGGGATCACAAGCTCAATCGCGCAAGAGCTAATAGGTTATTCCCCCAATGAGGCTGATGGGACCGAACCTACGCCTGATGTGGTAAATTATGCGTCTGGCAACGTGACTGCTTGGAACGATATTCATGCAACCGCCCAAGGTGGCCGCCTTGTCTTCCTCTCTGATCTACCTGGGTCAACTAGGTATCTCAAGTCGACACTACGGGGATTGGTCAGCTGGGAGCCTCATTATGTGCTGCTCTGCATTCCAGCTAACAGCCAGTCAGATTCTCCAAAATTAAATACTCCATCTGAAATGGACCTCTCTCTCTCATATTTGGACCTGTGCATGAAGCTAGAACTCCCCGTCATCGTTGCTGTGACAAAACTTGATATGGCTACTCGTTCCGGAATCAGACAAACACTCGTCCAAATCCTATCCACGATCAAGCTAATTGGGAGGAAGCCTGTTATGCTCGCGGCCCCAACAGAGATTGCTGAACACGAAGTGAATCTTCAACAGATTTCACTTTCTGATCAGCACGATGTAGACAAAACAATTGCTGCAGAAGGCACTGACTGGGCGACTAAGATTCCCATAGTTATCACAAGCTCCGTTACTGGAGCGGGTATTGGGAAGCTGCACGCATTGCTCCGCTCCCTTCCTATTCCCGTGAAGAGTTCTACAAGACCTATATCAATTAGCGGCAGAAAGACTGCAAGGCATGAAGCTGTGAAGCTGTTTGATATTACTGAAGTGTTTGAGGTGCCAGCCTTCAAAGTTTACTCTGTTGCAGGCGACAGCAAGCGTCAGCATGATAGAGCTATTATTTTGTGTGGTCGCGTCCGCCGTGGTAATATATCTATCGGCGACCAGCTTGTCATTGGACCACTTATGATGGACTCACGAACGGATATCGAGTCGTCTCGTTTGGTTCCACGGTCAAAGTCGCTTTTCAGCAGGTCACTGCCAGAGGAACTTGCAACGTTTTACTTGCAGAACTCCCCTGCGGATAAAGATTGCTCTCAGGCGCAACAAGTGCACTGGCAGGTAATTCGTGTCGTCAGTCTCCGCAATCTGCGACTACCAGTGACTACTCTACTCGAGCACCAAATCGGCACCATCGGGATAGATAATGCCGAAGCAACTCCATATCTAGGGAGCATCCGAAAAGGCATGGTATTGGCTGATTTCCACCCAATTTCCTCCCCGCTTTCGATACCGAGTTCACTCCTCGCGCCCATCTTCCACACCGGATTCGTTGCCATATTCCCAGCCTCAAACTTCTCTTCGACTCTCTCTTCTTCCCTTATAATAGGAGGTAACGCCATTGTCTATATTGCCAGTATCAGGGCGGCTGCCAAAGTAACATGTGTCGAGGCCAACAGAAATACGCAAAGACAGTCTTCAACTGGGGACGAGGAAATCTTTTCGCTTGACAACGATATCTTTCCTGCGGCCAAAACAACACACCATGGTCACCCTGAACCAATTACTAACCACAAGTTAGGCATGTCCAATGGTTTTAAGGAATCTGATGACATAAGAATCTCGTTTTCCTTTGTTTCTACCGTGGAGTGGATTGAGCTGAATTCCCGCGTGCTTGCTATTCCTGGCACCACGATGGCAACAACGTCATCATCCTTACCTGCTGCGCCGGGGTCACTCCGATTAAAGGGGTTTGTTGGACGTGTTTGCCAAGTTCTGAGCGATCCATCATAAAGTATTCAATGTCGCCTTTCATTTTGTTTTCTCTTTATTGCGAGCGGCTTTTCCCATATTCTGTTAGCGTATATATCTTGGTTAACCAACAATTCTAGCGAAATTTAAAATAGAATTCTGTTTTTTTCATTTCACCGATCGCGGTTGGTTTTAATCATGCAAAAATGATCATATATCAGTACTCTGATTTCAAAACTCTCATCTGGTAACTTCTGTGAATAATCGTCATATACTACATAGTTATTAATATACTATGCATAGTTTTGTAGGCATTATATTAAGAGCTAGACCAAACATCCAGAAGCAATTGTTGTTGAAGTTAAGTCCAACTTGTAGCAGTGAACGTCACGTTGGTCGATGTCCTAAATCACGTGATCAAATATCAAATATCGAACGCCAAAACGCAAGACATCAATCACGCCGTCAGTAACTTCTCAGTTCATAAGGTTCCTTAACTGTTCCTTTCCACCATTGCACCTGTACAGAAGTTTTGCGCGAGAGAAGATATATACCTGTTTGATCCGTAACTGTGTTATTGTGCCATCTGGCACACATACCTCACCATGAAGCTCGTACGGTAAGTTGCCGCACGAAGCTTGTATGATTTGCGAAAATTGCTCGGGATAGTCAGCTGATATACTTCTCTATTTACACAGCTTTCTTATGAAATGTGCGAATGAAACCGTGACGATCGAGCTCAAAAATGGTACGATAGCCCTCGCCTGCTGCGCTACATTATGCGCGCGCAAATCCTTTGACTCCGCCCTCGAAGCCCAAACTACGATTTTAGGCTCTGCTGCAACTTGCCTCTTTCTTTTAATCCCGATAATGGTCAACCATTTTATGTGCATATATGTTCTTACAGTAATTGTTGCTAACAGTTTGCTGCGGAATTCACTAGGCACCATCCTCCATGGCACCATCACATCTGTTTCCCCGCAAATGAACACCGCGCTGCGCACAGTCAAGATGACACCAAAAGGCCGCGACCCGATATCCCTTGACACCATAAACATTCGTGGTTCTACCATCAGATATTACATCCTCCCTGACAGCCTTCCGCTAGACACATTACTCGTGGATGACACGCCGAAGCCAAAAAACAAAGCTAGAAAAGAAGCAGATCGCGGACGTGGTGGAAGAGGAGGCGGAGGAAGAGGCCGAGGCGGTGGGCGGGGCCGAGGAAGGGGACGGGGCAGAGGGTTTTGAGTGAACCGTTGACTCTTTATCGGAGTTTATATAATGATTAGATTTTGGTTGTGCCAGTTATGTACCAAACGCTGAGCCTGCACAAGTCCAAAAACTGCTCTGGGAACGATGCGTGGGGGTTTTACTTTTTCGTTCCTCTCCCTTCCTGTTTATTTTCTTTTGCAATGAATCTGGCATGTGCGGATCTGGATGGATGGCTCTGTGGATTGTTTCTTTTTATACTTTTGCTTTATGTACTTTGTCTATTATCCAACTGGCGAACCTCGGGGAATCAGATGCTTTTACATGTGTCGCTTGATACGCTCCACGTTGGATCTGTTTGTTTACGGGAGATATAACGAAGGTGTCGTTAAGGAGTGAAAAAAGGTAAGCCTTGGGTGATATAAACAGTACTATGTGGTTAACCAAGGCAAGGAAGAACCTGATCTAGGAAGGTTCTCAAACCCTTTGCTAGATCAAAAAAGCCCAAAAAGAACACGTGCGGATCACCTAATACTGGAATTGAAAGGCAAACGGGATGGACAACCACGGGGAAAATTTCTATGAAATTATCCCTTCGTCTCATGTCATCTCATTCCATTTATTTTTTAAGAATTGGACTCTCTCCATATTCGCAATATCACCAATCGTTCCCAACCAGCTTTCACTCCACTTTTCCCCACAATTTCAGCAGTCCAGCCCGACCCCCAGCCCATGATACGCGTCTTCACTTCATCTGGCTTATTCTGCGCGCAGAGTAAAATGTAAGCGACGCCACGTTCTGGATCTAACACCTCTGAAATTGAATTTAGAAGTCGATTTGTAGTTTCCATTCCAAGTTCTCCGCCAGCATATGAGAGAGAAAGGAGGTGAGACTCGCGCTCAAATTGGGAGAGAGGGGGGCTAGAGAGTACTGGATCTCCCCCTTCGGTTAACAGAATATCTGGCAACTCCGGAGTAGGTACGTATGGAGGGTTGAAGATGAGGACATCGACGGACCCGGCCCTGAGTGGTGTGCAAAGGTCCGCTGTTAGGGATGACAGGAATTTGGGTCGCACAGTAGACGTTTCAGCAACAGGGTTTCCGAGTTCGTGTTTCTGGGCTTCATCAATTGCCAGACGAACAGTTTGCCGTGTTGCACTGCAGGCATTGCTATTTACATCCGTGCCCAGAGTTAGTATATCCCTCCTCCCGAAAATTATGTGGGCGTTTGCAGCCACGAAGGCTAGGACCACGCCTGAGCCGGTGCCAACCTCAACCACAAGCGGCTGAGGGGAATTTGCAGAGGATTCCGGGGCAGAGCTTGTTTTAGAGGCATTGAACTTCTGGGTTAGCCATGCGGTTTCTGTTGGGGACGAAAGGGTGTCGAGGAATAGATAGCTATCCTCCGATGGTTCGTAGATGGTGTCAAACGAGACATGTGAGGTCGAAGGAGTTGGGAGCATAGCTAAATGATTGAACAAATCCCCGGACGATCCGACTCATGGCGTCATCCCCTGCTGTGCGAAGCAGCCGCTGCTGCTGATAGTTCACCGGTTTAAGGACTTGATTATCAACGGTTTGTTGAGAGATTTCTATTCGATGCCGGCTTGGAAATTTTTGGCGGAGTACAAAGCATCACGTGGCTACGCGATCACTTCCCTTGTGCCCAATCAGGTAATCCAGCTTCTTCGACACGGAAATTTGGATACAATTTAATATATACTCTCTTGTGGTTGGGGAGGGAACAACAATTGATGGTTTTAGAGCTTGCCATTCTCTTCTTGCACCATCCCGACAGCTCTAACAGCGCCATTGGCGGTTTCCTACTTTCTACTGTCTTGCCGCAAAGCCGAATGTTCTCACCTCGAACAAAGGTTTACTGAAGATTCATGCTTCGGGTTGGGAGCTGTTCCAACTTCTATTTTTAATTCCAACTCTACAAAATGAGGGTGTCACCTAGGCTTTTAATGGCCAACCCCTTGCCAATGGCCGTAAACTCTAGACAGCTGTCCGCTCTGCTTCCACCCCTGCAGCTGTATCGTCGACTGCTCAGGGTGCATCGAAAAAAGCTTCCAAAGGACATGCGCTTACTTGGCGATGAATATGTGAAGAGTGAATTTCGAGCTCATCGGAATGTGGATAACCCAATCCATATTGTAAGCCGAACCACTAGCCCTCGTTTCGCGTTTGCAAACAAAGACTGACACATTTGCCGAATAGGTTGGTTTCCTTACAGAGTGGCAGTTATATGCTCAAAAGCTAGAAGGAGATGCTTGGCAGGGAGAAAAACTAGACAAAGCAAAGATCGATAAGATGAGCGGTACGTTTGATTATTTCAATTCTCGTCATTTATTACTACCCTTGTTTCGACTTTCCTCCCTCAAATCCCTTCGTGCAGTTTGCTGACCTGGTGATATACTTCTGTCTAATAAGATCAGCAAATCGGACAGCTTTACGAACTTATGACTGCACTAAAAGGGAAAAATGAAGACTAACACGAGGACAATGAAAGGAGAAAGATATATTCCCCGGCCGTTCGTCATCCGACTGGGAGTGGTAATCATCGTTGGAAAATATTAACCGTGATGTCCCCGGCGATAGCTCAATCAGTGAAGAATGTTTCAATCTAACATCTCCTTGTCCACTACCTCCACTCGTCACTACTAAGCATCGAAAACTATGTTGGGTGTTCTGGCGTTACATATATTTATCTGCGTGGCAAGACTTTAAAACTTCGTTCCATTCTCTTCTATATCCAACATCCATCTACTTTCGAGGCCCTGCAATTTCGTTAGCGTCCAAGTCGGAGCTTGAGCTACGTATTATATATAGCTGCCAAAAGCCACTTCCTTTAGCTGCGCACACGTCGCATTCCACCCGAAGTCTACATCCCAGAAACAGCCCTTCTACCGCATCACTTCAAAAATACGCCGACGACACCTTATACAATAATAAAGTTGGAAAGAAAAGAAACCATGTGTCGACCAGTTCTCTTCAAATCACCTACCTGTCTCCACCGGTGGTTCACCATCGGCTACTCTTGCGAAAAGGGAAACGGTTTTAACAACTGTTCGAAGTTGAATGGCAACCACATCCTCCCGTTTAGCGTAGGGTGCGTCCTCACCTCCTGGCCCAAGTCGTGCCCCGTGTGCAATCTAGGGGGGGACTATGACCGAAACATGATCCGAATGGTCCAGTCCCCAGCTTATTACGGTGTCAGGCACCGAGTCGGCAAAAAATTTATTATCGATCAGCAGATTCCGATGTGCACGATGATGTAGGTTGGAACGAGGACATGCATCTACGACGGCCCGCCCGCTGAGGATTTTCCTTTTCTTTCCTTTTTTTGGGTTGCTTCTGGATTTGGCGTGCGCCTGGGATATACTGACCAGGCTCCGATTTCGCAAAGAACTATGCATAGCGTGTGGAGCATCGATATTTCTGTTATATTTTTTTTTGCATTTATAGGTTGGTTTGTATGTACATTATCCTTATAACTTTGTCCTGTTCTATGGCATCGCTGTTCACGTCGTTCGGTTTGCTTGGTGGAAACTACAGGGGTAAAAAAGTGGTAAATAAACCCTGTTTACGAATCAAGAAGTGTCACTTTACGATCACTACCCACTCACCTTATAGTCAGTCATAAATGTTTGAGAAGAGACCTTTTCCTTGACCAAGTCATTCTCTCCTCGGGCGGCTTGAAACAAGCAACAACAATGCAGTTATATCAAACTCTTTTGGTGGGCATGTGAAGTTGGTTTGGCTTTCATTTCATTTGCTTTCTTTCTCCAGCCCTGTTTTATGTCTTTATTTCTTGATTCCCCTGTGATATTTTCCGCTCCTGGTTCTGTCTTTATGATGGACCATGCATTACTCTTATATAGTTAACTACCTTTGTTCATTTGTTACTTATGTGCAGGGAAGTTTCATCATCATTATCATTACTGACTTAATTATTTTGTTTACGACACTTTAGCAATCCACACTCTTAAACCAACATCATGAAACATCATGAAACAAAAAGACCTCTAGAATCATTGACATAACTAGACATGCTTTGGTTTATTGTGACTGATCAAGCCTTATCTACCAAAATTCATATGTTACTATTATAGTCTCAATCACGCAGGCTTTGAGAGTTAGTTAAATATTAGAGTTCCTTTGACAGAAATATCCCACATTATTCAATAAATCCAGGATTATTGTTACGAAATTCGTGTATCCTGTCAGTTCATCTGTTTGATTGATCTTATTGGAGGGCCATATGGCACCTGCATATTCCGGCACATGGCTACGGATCCATTAGCCTGACTACGCAGCGTATACTACTCCGTACATACATGTACATGTACATGTACGTACATACCATCCTATCCACCTATCTTTTATCTCTTGATTGGAGTTACGGTGTTTTGGGGGTGCGGGTTGTGATTTTTATCGCAACTCTATTTAAATCAGAATGATGAAAACCAATAACTTTTAAATGAACACGAGTAGCTAATTCTCTTCTTCATTCATTTCCACGAGCCTCCTCTAAACTAATGCCAGGTGATATGGATAATCATGAAACAATAATCTTACGGTGCATAGTAATGACAACAGCGAGTTCGAAGTCAGCTCTGATACTTTCACATCGTGCTCGCGATTGAAGTAGCGAACATAATAGAAACAACGTAGACACAAGATAATGATGACGGTGTTTAATCAGACTCTCCAACACCCTCTGAGTAGTGGGGTCCTTTGGCCATTTTGCCAATCTGTAGAAAGGTATTGATCGGGAGACATATATAGGTATCCTTCGGCCTAGCTACCATCATCCAAAGGAATCTAGCCGACTACATCACCCGGATACCTCATCCGACTCGGAGTTGTTAAAGACATCCAAAATCCACTGAACCTCCTTCACTATGACTTCGGGTTCGGTAAGGTGGACGTTGTGGCCACTATTTTGTGCAATCGCTACGGAGCCGGTCGTTGATAGGTTCAAATTTGCCAGCTGCAGCATTTCGTCCAATTCCCTGTATTCTGCCATCCTTCTCTGCCACGCTGCCAATGGGATGCCTTCTTTACCTTGCCTGAGACCAGCTTCATATATCCGTTCATGATCCCGTGCGGTGTCTCCGAGCACTACACTGACGGGAACGGACCCGAGAAGTGGAGGATCTGCTTCTAGCTGCTTTTTCTCCCCCAGCTCCTGAGAGCTCTCGGCAATTTCGCCACACTCCGCCGCAGCTGTTTCTTGGTATAGTGGAATTTCCGCTTCTAAGTAAAGACCTTCCCGCCTCTCTGGCTCTAGAACCATTTCGTCATATAATCCAGTGGCTCGCAGCAAGTCTTGCCCCTGACTCATTCGCCGCACGTTCTCATCGGGTTTTAGTAACGAATGAGTATTTTCCTGGTCACCTTCGACAAAGACCATCCCCACAATATCGTGAAGTTCGACCTTGATATTTTTCAAAACCAGAAATTCCCGCGCGACAATAGCGCCAAAGGAATGGCAAACGATGATGTATGGTGGTCCGATTTTAGCAGCGATCAGCAGGACATCCAGTTCGAGGGCAATATTACGGGCGGTAGGGGCAGTAGGATTTGGTATCTCTTCTGAGTCACCCAGACCAGAACGATCATACATCATAGTGCGGACCCTGCGCGAAAGGAGCCGGCGAAAGGGAATCCATTGCCCGGAGCTGGTGGCTACATTGGTCAGGACGATAACAATAGGGTCACCAGGACGACGATCAGGCCCGTGGACGGTGACGCGGAGGCAATGGTTTGCGATGGAAACGAAGCCTATATGCTCCCCGCGTTCCCAGTCCGTGTCGGTGGCCTCCATAGTAGTAGAAGGGCTGTGAGTATTGGCGTATAAAACACTGATAGCTTAATCCTGTCTTTCAAAGTTCAGTTCCTGCACTTTATGAATAGGTCAAGAAGAACATACTGCAATTTCAATTTAAAAAAAATCAAGCCAATTCCGCGCGTTGAAGGGTCATGAAGAGGAGTGTCAAGCTTGAAGAGAGCTTGCCGCCTCTCAGCTCAGGACATCTCTTGTATGGGCATTTTGTTTATACCACAATATCAGAAGCTGCAATCGTTATGGATCATGCCTGTGCCTACTCATCTTCGACAGCATATACAAATGCTGCCCGGCGAGAAGGCGTGTCCCTCCGGCAAGTCCTTCTGCGTAATATGGACAGACAAAACATGGGACATGCCCACAGCGTTCTTAGCTACCAACAGGCAGAGTTAGCCAGTTGATCATAGTATCGGCATCCAGGTAAGTCCCGTGAGAAGGAATGTCGGCGCATCAGGAAAAGAGAAAAGGGGGCAGAGATTCCCTGCGAGCGGAATCCAAAGCGAATCGGCATCAGCTAAATCCTGTTTGTCGTGATGCTGCGATGGAGATATTCTCGGACATAAGAATATTTATTTAGCTCATGCACCTCCTTTCCGCAGTGAAGTTCTACCTCACCCACTATGTATAGAGTACAATGTCCAGCAGTAACAGTCCTTCAGTCCTTCGTGCAATGCAAGTACCCAATTCCCCGCTGGTTTTGGCATCAACCGGCCCCCCACTGCCCAGACGCGTTATTTTTGGTCCCAACCCCGCAATTCAAAAACGTTCTGGAGATCGCAACAGAACATACCTCTATCACACCATCTCAGTTCTGTGTACACATCCATGAATACTTTTCTCCGCAACTCGGCCAATCCGTCCAATAGAGCAATCAAAACCATACTGCGGAATATTCCGTTAGCCCTGCTAAAATGTTGACATACCCAGCCAGCTGCTTAGCCAGTACCTGATAGAATGGTGGGAAACCTGGAAATAATTATGTAAGGATAATATATAATTTGACGAAAAGCATTTAATAGCCCTCGAGGACCCCATCATCATTCTGAATTTATGAGTTCCTTACTGGCTCGCAAGGTTGTCAATCTAGAACTACCGCGCCGCCTCTGTTAGAATACGTCGTTGACATTGTTGATATAGCAAACCCGATTTCAATTCGGGCCCTTCGCTCACTTCTGGAAACAATTATTATAAGAATGGCGCCTGTCTCTTACGAAAACCCAACTGTTACCGCTCAGCAGCTCAAAAGCGCCCCCATATCGCTAGACTTGTTCCCGGACGGACTCAAGACCACCGGGCAGCATCCCCCAATCTATGAACAGCTCAAGCCATTCTCCGAGTTCCCTAAGGAGATCACAGGCCGGACCGTCTGGAAGGCCGAAGATTATAAGGATAATCCGGAGAAATGGACTCATCGATTCACCGAGGCAGAGATTGACGAGTTGAGCCAAACGTCCGATGCGTTCATCGCGGCCAAAATCCCCTTGACGGGTATCTCCAAGGTGGGTTGAGTCTTGTTTGTAATTGATTAATTGGCACCGTCCCCCTTTATTCCCCTGCTTCATTACTGGGGGAGATAATGGAGACTGAAATTTTTGACTTGTGCATATGGCAGAGCAACTTCCCGCTCCCCAAACTATCCTCATTTCTCGCAGAGCTGAGAGAAGACCTCATCAACGGGAAGGGATTCATTCTGTTCAAAGGACTCCCCGTCAATGAATGGGGGAACCACAAGGCTGCCGTAGTGTATATGGGTCTGGGCACGTACCTAGGATACTTTGTCAGCCAGAACGGCCGTGGCCATGTCCTTGGACATGTCAAGGACCTAGGAGAGGACTCTAAGCAGATCGATAAAGTGCGCATATACAGAACAAACGCCAGGTGGGTTGGCTTTCTCCCTTTTTCCCACAGCTTTGGTTGACTATGTTTACCCTTTCAAAAACTGAACGGTCCAACAGACAGTTTTTCCACACAGATGACGGTGACATCGTTGGACTTCTTTGCGTTGCAAAGGCGCTCGAGGGTGGAGAATCAGATCTCATTTCCACACATCACGTATACAATGTACTCGCCAAAGAACGACCAGATGTCCTCGAAACACTCACCCAACCAATCTGGTACGTCGATCGCAAGGGCGAAACCAGCGTCGGGCAGGAGGAATATATAAGAACCTCTATTTTCTACGTCGAACCGAAGGAGAACGGACGGGTGTTTGCGAAGTGAGTTGAAAGAACCAGTGACCAGTTACTTGGCATCTGTTTACTAAAGCCAAACCATTACATCTCATCTCATGTGAAAATCGCCATGAAAATCCTCCAAATAATCCTCAGCTAATACCATTTCTCCAAATAGATGGGATCCATACTTTGTCCGCTCTCTCACCCGCTTTTCTGATAAGGGTATCATCCCTCCACTGTCGCCTGCACAGCTTGAGGCTATGAAGGTGCTTGAGGAGACCTGCCTCAGGCTCGCGCTCCACATGGTTCTTGATGTCGGAGACATCCAATTCCTTGCTAACACACACGTCTTCCATGCCCGCACGGAATACAAGGATTACCCACCTCCCGCCCCTCGTAGACACCTTATGCGCCTCTGGCTGGCCACGCCAGAAAGCGAGGGGGGCTGGACTCTCCCGTTCTGGGATACTAATGAGAAGAAGCGAGGAGGCATTCAGGTGAATGACCAACCTCCCGTGGCTCCGCTAGATGCAGAGTAGTTTCAACGTAACAAGGGTGGCGTCCTTGGGACGAAGTTTTGAAGGGAATTCGTTCGGAACAGTTTGACATACATCAATAACTTGTAAAGCCGTGTGATTAGTTCGTTAGTGATTGGCTTCGTGTTAATTGAATTATACCTGTGTTAGCTAGCTAGTGGATGGGCCAAGTTTGTGTTTGCATTTCGTTCACTGTCTCTTTTCTACACATAATATGTGATACATACATGTATATAATGACGCCATTAGCTCAGCCTAGGGCTATCATTCAATATAAATGCCACGAAATTATGCCTTGAGGGCAATTCATTTTTAATGCACGCCCTGGTCCCTTCTCTTCAACAGCTCTTTGGTTCAAAGTCAAGGCTTGTCAGGTAGAAGCTGCAGAAGAATAATTTCTTCATTGTGGGACGCCTAAAAACAAAAATCGTTGATAATTCTAAAATAATCGTTAAAAATGGGAGTTTTGGTCAAGGTGATGATGCCATATGAATAAGAGCTGAAGAAACCAATTGCTGGCTGAGGCTAGGGGAATGCATGGATCGTCTGTTGTATTCCCTATTCCGACTTAGCTCTCGGTGCTTTAAGTTAACTGATGCCGAGTGCTGGCCGCCAGACTCGGGCCGTGCATTGAGGGGCAGAACAGGGAAGGGTTGCGAAAATCTACGAAACATATCCTTCACTCACAAATTGTTAGCATGATGGAACTTTACATTTAAGGCAATTACATATTTCTATAATGATTCTAAGTTTTGGAGTCGGAAAAGTACGCCGTTAAAACTTTCAATGCCGTGTTGGGTAACAATGGAGCAACCAGCCCCTGAACATGTTCAATCGCTTTCGTTAATGATTCGGGAAATATGGGCCATAAGCATGGTTGACTCTAGCGAATCTACTCTGTACATTTATCAAATAGCCACTTGAGATGTGAGAAATAAGCAATCTCTATTTAGTAGGTCTATTTATGAAGCATCCAACAGAACTTGCTCGAAAGAGAAAGCCCAGGTTGGGAAATCCAAATCATCTAGCCTTCTCCCAAAGCCTCGCCCACCCAATCCATCTGTACAGCACTTACTCCCCGTGCATAGCTTCTATTGGTGAACACATACTCGTTATACATAATAGCCTCGACCTTGCGGCCAAATAAAACGCTAGACGGGTGAATGGCAACCGTCTGATTGCCTACAATTGTTTTGTAGCTCCCGTCAGGGAAGAGGCGGGCGGTGTTGGAAGCGAACCCTGTGAGGAAAGATTTTAGGATAGAGACAGGGTTTTCTTCCGAGGATATCGCATGATTGCCATTGGCACCGTTGGTATCCTTGTCATTTGGGAGAAGTTTTGCTTGTCGACATTGCGTTACCAGTTGTTTTCGGACATCCTACGTAAACACACAGCATTCTGTTAGTCCCTGCTCTTCTGTTATTTGGTGGAGAGATGATAGAACTTGGCAAAGATAGATTCTTTTACATACCATGACCGCCTGCATTGCACGATGTGAAACAAGATGTCTACTTGCCCATGCCTTTCGATCCGAATTTTCACTCGCATAAGCTCTAACTGTGGCAAGCATTGTCAAATGATCACCTTCTCTCCGATACAGATCTCGTCTCGCCTTTTCCGCCTCTTCCTTCTTCTCTTCAGACGTCGTATTAAGGAAAATGTTCTCAACGCTGAGGCATGAAATGATATCGATGACATTGCGCAGGCAGTTCGGTCCGTATTCCGCACTCGCTAGAAGCACGCGACCTAGCTGTGCGTTAAGAGGAAGTTTGGCGATTTTCTCACCAATTTCGCTGATCTTTCCCATTTCATCCAGTGCTTGAATGCTGAAAAGCTGCAGGAGCGCTTTCTCAAGGGCCTCTCTAGATGGACGGGTTAAGAATGGGAAGCTAACAATGTCATCCACACCCCTCGCTTTCATGTTCAAAATCGCCTGGCTCAAATCGCAGCGCAAAATCTCAGGCGTATTCGCTTCCTGTAATGCCAAGTAATCCTTTTCTGTGTAAAGCCTGTAGCATTGACCGGGTGCTTCTCTTCCCGCACGACCTTTCCGTTGAATGGCTGCAGACTTCGATATCGGTTTAACAAGCAGGGAATCCAAACCGAGGCGCGCGCGGAATTGTTTCATTTTGGCTTTTCCGCAGTCGACAACGTAGCGAACGCCAGAGACAGTGACGGATGTCTCTGCGATGTTGGTGGATAGGATTATTTTGCGAGTTCTGGGCGGGGCTGGTGTAAAGACTCGTTGCTGTGCTGCTTGGGGGAGAGCGGCGAATAAGGGAAGTACTTGTACCTTTGGCAAAGCAGGGTCCATACCGACAGCGTATTCGTTGACGAGGGCCTCAAGGGATTCCACAGTTTCTTGGCCAGTCAGGAATACCAGAATATCGCCTGGTAGGGGTTCTTTCATGTGGATCCGGAAAATTGTCTGAAGCGCTGCATCCACGAAATCATGCACAGGCTCAGGAGAGTATATAACCTTGACAGGGTATTGACGGCCTTTTATATGGCAAACGGAAACTTTTTGTGACGACGGTGACGAGACTTCGTCTGAAGCTTGGTCGTTGTTGGGCTTCCCCTTATCCATCCCAGAAGAACCATCTTTGTCCGATATTCCACTATTTAGTCCCTCCCCGAAGAATCCAAGCAAACTCTCCATGTCAGCCGTGGCACTCATAACGACCACTTTCAACGGCAGCCCACCTCTCCCTTCCTTCTTCCCAGAAACCATATTCCTCAAAAACCCCAAAATAAGATCCACATTAACGCCGCGTTCATGGACTTCATCGACCACAACGGCGCTATATTTGGTCAGCCAAGGATCGGTCAACATCTCCTGGAGCAACATTCCCTCTGTCAGGAACTTGACCCTGGTATTAGGCGACGTCGAAGAATCAAACCGCACCGAATATCCCACTTTACTCGCAGGGGACGAATTTCCCAATGGAGTCCCCATTTCGTCTGCCACGCGTCTTGCCAGGGACACAGCAGCGACACGCCTAGGCTGCGTGATGGCAATGCATCCACCAACCGTGATCTCCTTCACAACAGTCTCCTTTTGAGCTGGACCATTGTCACCATCTGCCGATTTGGTCTGAGAATTTGCCTTCTTTTTCAGTGCCGTCGAATGGACTTTGACCGTCCTTGGCCATGCCCATTTTTCATCAACCAAAAATTGTGGCACCTGCGTACTTTTCCCGCTGCCCGTCTCACCGACGAGCAACGTTACATCATTGCGCTGGAGATGCTTGCGGATTTCATCCGCGTGGGGAAATATCGGTAATTGTTTGCGAGTGTGGTACAACGCTTTGGCGCGTTCTCTTAGAGACGTAGGCGCAGCAGGGCCACTTCGTTCTTTGTCTCGGGTACTTCGGTTGACGTTTTGTCCATAATTCGCGGGAGCGATAGACTTATTGCTATTTTTGCTTGCAACGATATCCTGTGTTCTCTGGCCCTTGCCGGCAGAAGAAGTAGTTGTGCCCGGTGAATCTTTATCACATAAGACTACCCGTTTCGGCCCAGGATGTTGCTGTCCTCCTTGCTCAGCATCTTCGTTTCTTTTGCGCTTCTTACTCATTTTCTTATATGAATATGTTGGTGAGGCTTTACTATCGCCTTCAATAGTGTCCGGGATAAGTGGCTGGTGAGGAGATTTCTACTTTCAATGTGCGTTCAATAATCTTTTTTGCTTCAGGAATCATTGGTTGAAGCAAAGAAAAGACAAAATGAAAGAATGATGATGCCAAAAAAATCACCTTGGACACAAATACTCTGATCGTATCTTTCACTTTCGATCGTTGGTGAAAAGATTTTCCATTCCTCACTTAGCAGAGTATAGTATGTAGTTACACATTTTATGTTTGTCTTGTTTGTTTTCATAGGCGACCCAACCGCCCAATGCATCGCTAGAGAGAAGAAACCACAAGGAGACAACACTGAACTACCTCTAGTACTCAAAGGAAGTTAAGGATTCACTCATGCTGCATCTTCCGGCTCTACGTCTTCGATAGATAGACACACGAGGGTTAGATAGATACCATGATATTAGGTCTACTACTCAGTCTTCTACTTTAACAGAATCACTTGAGCAATCCTTTTTCTACGGCATTGTTTTCCTCCTCAGTGCATGGCAATGCTGTCACTCTACATTAATCCATTCAGGTTTGCTTCTTGATCGATATTCAAACTTCACAATGGAGTTTACAACGTGACCGAGGGTCCGAGATCATCTTCTAGGGGCAGCTAGCGAAACGGGACTATTGCATGATATTCTTGGTGGTTATCAGAGGCAAGGCCTGTGTCATGAGAGTGGTGGGTTACACTCCTCTCTGGCTTTTGACTCTCCTGCAGATGTATTCTCTGATGCTTTCCATAGCACCATGGTCAAGGCCCTAAACAGGCATGGGACTCACAGATCATATCTTTATCTGCGAATCAACAGCATATCGACACTTAGAACACGCACTGGAGTATGCGCCCGGGGTATAACTCCTCAGTTCAACACAGTGCCTACCACATCTTAACACATTTGTCAAAGATGAATATCAACTCACAGCTATCCTCTTAGAGTACATTCTCAAAATGAAAGAGCTGAATTGGATCAATTACAATGAAAGGAGGATGCAAAATTTTGTTGATGAGTTGAACAGAATTCATGATACACTAGTCTATCACAATGATGTTCATCCCAGGAATATGATGATTGTGGAAGAGGATCCAGAAAGGACAATTTGAATAGATTTCGACAGGGCACGGACCTTTAATGGAGAGCTTTCAGAGAGGCAGAAGGAATGGATTGTGTTTGAAAAGGAGCTTATGGCTGAGATGGCTGATTTTATGGTCTGTGTCCTCTGCTCCCTGCACAGTTATGCCCACTTTTTAACTAATCCCGTTGGATCTCTGGAACTACAGAAACACGACTTTGTCAAGCGGAAATTCGATAAAACTCGTCAGCACTATCAGTGACCTAAAACCTAAGGATGACAAGGAAGGTGGACCTGATCGCAGGGGTTGCTTCATGTGAAATAAAATAACTGGACTCATGTGTAGAAATGGATTTCAGCACATACTCATATGATTTCAGGGGGCCGTCTCCGGGGACGCACTAGGCGAAGACCGACTACTGGTTAAGAAGATGGTGGAATACCTCTCACAAACTCCCGAAGCTCAAAGATAGGGTTTGCAAAAATTGAAGGAGGAGAAGAGGAAGAAGGAGAAGAGGAAGGAGCCGAGAAACAAGCGAGTCCAACGCCGAGGGCCCAGAATTGCAGGTTTTGGACCAACCACTAAGCGCGGCTATTACACAAACATTGCTTCCTAATCAATGTATTCCTGAAGTACATATTTACCTGCTTCGTGCGAACACCGTGGTTGTCGCGTCCTAGAGAACGATGAAATCACGACGGGCCACTTTCTCCACATTGATTTTACTTACCCACGTTCAAAACGGCGTACGGCTTTAGGAAGCTGAAAAAATCCATGAGTCGCGTCTAATTTCCTACGATAACGCTGTTGATGGCCTTGACCAACTTTATCGAGATGCGATTTCAAAACCTATTGTTATTAGGGTGTGGAACTTGCTAATAACTGAAATCCTTTTCTAGGGCTTAGAAAGAAATATATTTATAACAAAGAAAATATCATAACATAGCTGTAGGCAAGGGCAGGTGTAGTAGGCAATATCAATAGGGCTCGTGAGGGAATGAAATAAATCCATTAGTGATATGTAAAAATACTCCAGTCCACGTTGGATCATGACACGGTACTCCTGAACCAACACTGAGCCAGTCAGCTGGATTGCTTTCTGAGCTTCAAGTGTTACAAGAGAAGCTTAGTTTAAAGGAAAATAAAATCCCAAATGAGATGAAGCGTGGCGTGATTATTTTCTATACACGAGTTCAGTAATGACGCGATATTCTGCCAGGCCCATTATCTAATCTCCATCCTCGCATAACTCCGTAGGTACACCTAATTTCCTATTGTGGTATAGCGTGCCTATTCGGGTAAAGCGCCTCGCGCCGCTTGGTTGACATAAAGATCCAATCCCTCGCCCCTTGGTTTGCGTTCCTGATCTCTTCCGTCTACATCTCATTTCCCCTCTACCATCATGGCCTTGCTGTGCCGCAGCTGTGCCGCATCTACGGCTGAGTGAATCGAGCGACTCCATGCCCTCGTGCTCTCTGGTTGGACATATTTCTCGGGTGCATTCTTGGAAATTGATCGCTCGCAAGACGGTGACTGTATCGTGCATGCCTGAAGCAACGGTCGTCTCACTCGCAGTGTGGGAAATACGATCGTTTGGTTGTGGTAGCTGCCCTGGGCTGACTGTGCGGCAATTTGCCAGCTTTGCTCTCTTGCTGTGGAGAGCCATGATGTGCTGTCATATGACTCCTCCGATTCCAAGTGTCTGGAAGCACTCCGAGCCAACAAACAGCTTTTATCCATGCGGCTTTGAAGCGGGCTGTCTCACCCTCTGCTGTAGAGATTCCATCATTCGCTGTGGCCGCTCTACGTCACATCGAACGGCGCGCACGAGTTGAAGGTGGGGGGGAGGGAGGGGGGAGGTTTCCTCCACAATGATCACATAGGCATCTGGTTCCTTATTCAGGCTTAGTGTGCAGCCCCTCATCCCTTGCTTTCCAGTATAAGTACAGCCTTCGTCCCTATTCTACCAACCCCCCACTCATCAGTCTACGCTCTTTAGCTTTCTTGATAACTCCTCCGCATATGCCGACACGATATCCTTTCAGCCGTCCCTTCACAAACTCCCTTCGCCATGTCATCGCCAACAACTAGGCTAGTTGCTCTGCCAGTTGAGATTCTCTGGGAAGTCCTTGAACAGATGGACTACTCAACCTTGTTTTCAGCAATCCGAACATGTACACTCATGTATAATGTTTTCAAAGCGAACGAACGACATCATGATATCTATATATCGACGGAAAAGTCCTTGGGGAAGTGTCATTGCATTCTCCCAACTGTTTCGGGCTCTATTGTCCATTGTCGATGAAAAGCGAGTCAAGAGAGAAATTGTTAGGGAGATTATTGAGATGGCTAGCACTGAACATCCTAGAGTGCTGCGCGACTCATTAGTCCCTATTCAAATCAAGTTCGCTGCCTCTCTCCCCGACGAGCTTGATGAGCTCAAAAGACTCTGGGAGAACGATTCTGCCAAGGAGAATGGACACTTAGCATCGCCAATACTCTATCCAGTGGGCAAAAGGCTGGCGTTCCTGCTAGACAAGGATGGAAGAAGCTCAGTTTGCTCGAACCTCTCTTTGAGAGACTGCCAACGGTCGCGATCGGGATGAGCTGCTGAGAAGAGGAAGGTAAAGAAATATTAGGCATAATCGGCTATATCCGCCGGACTGAGACTGCAGGATTAAAGCTGCGCAACAAATTGGAATGAAGCCTGCCACTAGGGTAGCTATTGTGACAAGTCCCACATTCGTCCTTTCAGCCGATAGACGCAGTAGATTGCCCGATCTATAAGAACATGTCCAGGAGAAAGGCAAACAATAATGGGTAAAAGGTCCTTGTCAGACATGTATAAAAAGTCATTAATTGAATCTATCATGACAGCAATGCACTTGTGCCAACGCACCATTGGGAAATTGCTTTGCAGGTACATTTCTGAACTAAGGTACTGACCCGGTGGGATTTAAATATGCAAGAATCATAATGTGGCAGGTTTTTCACTCACTCTTATCTCTCTATATATTATAGAAAAACCAACTTTTCCGAGTAAAATGCCCTGTAACGTGACCTCACATGATATCACATGCACCCCATCAAATCCATCCATGAATATGTAGTGGCGCCGCCAATTGCACCACTCTATCTACCCCCTACCACCGCCTCTAACGCCCCGTAGCACCCCCTATTACTTCCACTTCATACCCCTACCTTCATCTTACCACTCACTTCTTACCACCCCTACCACCCCTACCACCCCTACCACCTCTACCACCACCACTGCCTCTACTGCCTCGCAGCACTCTCTATCACTTCCACTCTCTATCTCTACTCTCATCTTACCATTCTACCCCTCTCTTACCATCTCTATCACCTCTCCCATTTCTACCACCTCTATCACCCCTCTCTATCACCTTTTCCACTCTCTAGTCTCTCTATCATCATCATTATCTCTACTACTCTACAGTCTCTTCTATCACTTTCACTATCTCTACTTCTCTCTTACTATCTCTATCACATTTTATGATGTTATTCCACGAAGTTGGTTTCATTCTCTTCTAGCTAGCTAAGATGGGGGAGAATGAGACTATATAAAGGAGGAAAAAGTGGGCGTTCTGAGGATTACACAGGCATGATGAGAAATACGCGTATGACGCGTAATGTGAATGCGTAGCATGGACGCGTAGTGTGTAACATCTGCCGCCGTTTCAAAAAAGATATTGTCCTCAATGTCTAAATACATGAGTAAGGGATACAATGCAAACTTGATGTAATGCAGAATAATTTAGAAAGAGTTGTGATGCAATCTACATTTTATATTATCATATTGTCATATCATTTGAGAGCAGTTCTCTAGAAGAACATTTCAATCTTTTTATGTCTCTTCACTATGAGCTCACTGTACTTTTAGTTGATGAGTATAATCTTGTATTCAGTTCTCAATGATTCTCTCTACTTCTCAGTATTAACAGCTGTTGAGAATGCAGTCTGGCCTGACAGAGAGTGATTGACTGAAGATGTCTGATATGAAGAGCTCAAGATATATTAATGATATAACAGAATGAATATTTCTGAATCTAGAAGACAGGTTCAGATAATATACTAGAGTTTTAACTTTCTCAAGAATGTGAAATGAACTGATACAGATTGAGTGTAATGTAAATTGCTCTGAGAGTGTGTAGTCATGACATTCTTTACACATAACTTGTAAGTAGACTTGTTCAGATAGTTGTATTAATTGATGATTGATATTAAAATAGCTAGACATCTTTGCTCAGATCATGATAAGTGTGTTCTCAACTTGCTATTATATCTGTAGACAAGTATTTATAAATTCATCAGCAGAAGATGAATATGTCAAATTTTAAGAAGAAAAGATGTATATAGAATTGACATCATAGAGAACAGCAAAGAGAGTATGACCTGTTACTTGAGAAGTAACTGTGTTGAGATTGAACTCTATCTCTGATAAAAGACTATTTCAAGAGATTATAATCTGTCTCATAAGTAGTGATTATAAGACTATTTCAATAGTTTGATTCATGCATTCAGCTTGACTGTTCACACTAGAGTGATAGACAGCAGTAAGACAGAGAGTGATCTTAGCTCTTTGAAATAATTCCTTTCAAAAGACATTTAAAAAGCAGTGATCACAGTCAGTTATTAGTTGTTTGAGAAGACCTCAGAATCACACAATCTTATTAAAGAATTAAGTAATCTATTACTTTACAGAATCCTGTTTGCATTCAGAAATTAGATAAATATATTTGAAGAATCTGTCTGTTATAGTTAACAGTATGTTATATTCATCTGATTCTGGTAGATCTGTGATGAAATTCATTGATAGAGATGTAAACAGTTAATTGAGAGATTGTATCAGATGAAGTTCTCTGAAGAGTTAATGATATCAGAAGACAGTGATTTAATACATCAGATATTGATTTGTATATTGTACTATTATTTCCCTGAGATTCAGTGTGAATATTTGTTTGCAAAGATATTGATATATTCTTTCTGATTCATTATAATCTTCATAATTATAAGTCTGTAATAGAATTCTTGTCTGAAGCTTCCTTAATATACAAAGTCAGGGGTTTTCATTGCAAATGTAGTAGAGAAGTTGTTGATTATTATCTCATTAAAAGTCATGATAGAGATTTGCATTTTCTATTCTCTGTTTAATACATTTCATGATATGTCTGTATATAGCTTGAAAGTAGAAATCAGTTTTTATTTCCTTCTGAATGTTGTGTTTTAGGTCCGGATGCATGTGAAGAAGATTTATGAAAAAGACATGAGCAGTTGACATAATATCTGAACTTTCTGTAGTACAGGTAAACAGAGTGAGAAAATGAGAGTAGATAGATAGACATTCAAATGTGATCTGTGTTTCTGACAGCTGATTAATCTTTTCAGATTTCACTGTGAATAATCAGAATAGAGAGTCAGTATTTGTGTGAGACTTTTCAGCTCAATGTATGATCTTCATATGTGAGACAAAGATGAATAGAAACAGAGATCATCAATTAAGATGATTATTTAGGCACTTGTCAACAGAGATTATCTGCAATGCTGTTCATAAGGCAATATAATCAGTGACTATAGTGAAGTCTTCATCAAAATATTGAGAGGTCTTTCTGAGAAGTCATATCAAGATCACTGTTTTCAATTCAGTTGAGCTGTAATTTTTCTCACTACTCTTTAATATTCAGAAGAGAAAGAGAACAGAATATTTCTTATCATCATTATTCTTCTAATGTATTGCTGCACTCATATCATCTTTGCTTCTATCTACATAGGTGATGAATTCCTTGTAGAAGTTGGGAAACTTAAGAATGAGAAAATTACATAATTCATTCTTGATTTTTTATCAACATTGCTGCAATTCTTCTGTAGAGGCAATTGTCTTTTTAACTCATTTTTTTCTGAGATTTTCTTTGAAAGATGTCTGATGAAATCCCTGAGTCTTTCAGATCTGCAATGACTCTATCTTGTGAGTATAATAAGCAATAAATTCTCAGTAGTATCTGAACAAACCTAAGAAGGTTTCCAATTGATCAAGAGATTTGAAGAAGAATAAGTTCTTGATAACTTCAACTTTGAATTCATATATTGAAAGTTCTAGACAGAATACTTTGTGACCTAGAAGAGATACTGATGAGTAGGCAAAATGACACTTTCTGATGAAGAGGGTCAGGCCAGATGCCTTCAGACATGAGAGAATTGCTTACAGGTTGAAGAGATGTTGATTCAGTGACTTGAAAAATATCACTATGTCATTAATGTAGACTAGAAGGCTGAATCATAAGAATTTGTGAAGAATTGTCTTCATCATGCTTTGAAAAAAGCCTGGACTAGATGCTAGACTCATACTTAATACAGTCAATTACTGATGACCTCAATACAGAGTTACAAAGGCGGTTTTTCATCTATTCTTGATACATATAAGAACTTGGTAAAATTCTTTAGTGATATCAAGAGTGGAGAATACAACTTCATCATCAAGAGAGAATAGAATGATATCTTGCCTAGAAAGAGAATAGGCATTTAAATGTAGTCATGTGTTAATCCTGCAGAGGTCAATTATAACTCTGAGTTTTTCATTTCATCAAACTATGAAGGCAGGGAACACTGCAGAAGATGAATATTAAAAGAGAACATTTTCAATACAACCTGCTTATTGAAGTTCATCAAGAATTGAGTTCATAGCTTCTTTATCACATAGGGAAATATTGAATGAATTCTGTTTGAGACCTTTAAGATTGTATTCATTGATGAATGAAATTGGCATTTCAAAATCTTTGACCTTGTCTAGCTTCAGGGAGAACAGCGCGTGCAGAGTATGAAGAATTTTAAGAACTTTGTTTTTGTATTCTTTATCATAGTGCTCTGAGACATCAGAGAAGAAGCTGAGAGTATCTTTCTCATAGTTTAATTGAAATGACAGATTGAGAAGTTCTGCATTATCATGTGAAGTTCAGGTGTGAAATGTCATGACTGAAATATCATATAATAACAAGATGATGTGACTGATTATCATATCTGTGAAGATCTTGATATCAGTGACATCAAGATTCACAATGAGTAGAGCAGATATTTACACATCTGTTGACAGTTCTTTTGCAGTGAAGATATGAGAACCTGGCTGATGAAGATGCAGAGGTTCAAAGTAGAGTCTGTAAGAGTCTGTAATGAGAAGCAGTGAGTGTGTGACTGGTACAATTAATTCATATGTTGAGAGAATAATTGTAGATGTGGCTATGCAGACTGAGATGCATTTATGATAAGAAGATGATATTGATGTCCTTGATGAATTCAATCACATCAACAGTATAATAATTTCAGTGTTGTCAGTGAAGAATTTAAGAGTATCTGAATGTTCTAGAGCAATCATTATGTTCATTTCTCTCATAATGTCAGTGTCAATTATCATGTGTGAAGAAAGCTTGTCAATGATGTGAAAAATAGTGTATATAAGAGTATGTGATTCTGATAGTGGTTGGTAATATTGAATGAGAAGAATAGTGTATTTCTTAGAGATGAGAGGCATTTTGAATACACTGTGTATAATGATTTGAATTTGGTCGGGATTGGCATTAATGAGAGTGAATGAGAAGTGTTCATGAACAGTTTGAGCTTCAACTAGAGATAACCTGAAACCTGTATCTTATATTGATAGAAATGATGATTCATGTTCATCTAACATTGCAGCTGTAAGAGGTGTTAAAGATGATCATAAAAACTCAGATATTCTGTAAACATTAAAAGAATGAAGATCAGAATCAGGAAGAATATTACACATATTTATAAAGAAAAAATAATGTTCAAGATTGACTAATCATTTTTTAAGTTCAAAGAAGTGTCTGATTCAGATGCAATATCACTTTGTGATTCAATGATATCTTTATTAATATCTTCATAAGTTAACATGTCATTCTGAATGACATAAAAGACTCAATTTTGATTTTTCTTATAGAGTTTTCTTCACTTGTTTCAGTCATTATGATGTTAATTGCTATAACTCTGTGATTCATTTTGACTGTTATTATTCTTATAGTTGGTCCAGTGATTGAACTGTCAGAGATTTTCAGAATTAAGAAGCTGATTGATGAAATTGATGTTTAAGTTATTCATAGACTTATACTCTCTGTCATTGTATGATTTGTTGAAGAGGCAGGAAGATTGTCAATTGAGTGATCACAATTTGTATACAGCAGTATTCTGATTGAGAATCTTGCACTGAAAGTTATTCAAAGAAGAAAAGTCTTCAGTGAATTCATTAACAGAGCAGATTACTTAAAGCTGTGCTTCAAGACTATTATATAGATGCTGAACAAGTTGAATTTAATCTGCAATCTCTGCCTCACACAGAAGAGTGATTTTTCAGATGAAGTAGAAGAATATGAATAGACTGTTACAATTGAAAAATCAGTATTATAGAAACAGAGCTTCTTATAAAACTTGCTATCTTGATTTTCCAAAGTACTTTAATAGTTCAGTTTCTCAGCAGAATAAGTCATCATTCATAGCTTGAATAGTATCAGACTCTAGATCAGTAAGCTATTCAAGAGCTTCATCTCAGAGACATTATGAGAGTACTATGCATACTACTTCATCTTCATATAATGCAGTAATTTGCTTAAAGTAGAGTATGAATATGCAGACATTAACTTCAGCTGAATTGAATATCATCACATCATCTGATTTAAGCTTAAGATAATGTGTTTATTCTCAGAGTTCAGAGACTGAAGAAGAATCATATCTTCTTTATCATCAGCTGTGCTGTCAGTGATATCTACTATAATATCATGATCAGTATCTGAGTTCTTCATTAGAAGAAGATAAGAAGAAGAGAGAATTATTATCTGAATATTAAGTGTATCTACATCAGAGCACTTCTCTATGTTTGTGAAAAACATTATGTACAGAATTGAACAGATTACTATCAGAGTATGATGTAGAGAGATTTGTGTTCATATTATATAACTGATAGACATCTTCATTTCTGTCAGCTGCAGTGTTAGAATTAGAATGAGTGTTAAGATGTATTCTTGAAGTGAGATTATTACTGTTTACTCATTATAACTGCTTGAGATAGAAGCTTGATTAAGCTCTATGTATCTCATCTCAGTCTGTAATAATGTGAGTAATGAATGTCAGAGTAATAAGAATTTACTCTTATAATATTAACACACTTAATTAAGAAGAGATCAAATTATGCTTATAAGTGACATAAGTGAAATCTGAGTTCATACTCAGTTTGAAATTAATGTGAAATATCTCAGCTTCATATTTCTTATCTGAATTAAAATTTATAAGCTCTTCATTTACTTGATTTGATTCTTATCTAAATCACAGAATTCATTTCTTGAATCTAGTAACTGATTTATAAGAGAGATTTAAAGCTGTAAATTACTCTCTTATCTTGACTAGATAGATAGTGTAGAAAGATTCTTCTTCTAGAGTAAATACTGCTTTAATACATTCAAAATCTGCTATAAAAGAAATTTCAATTAAGTGAGAATGTTTTTTATTCTGAAAACCCATTTAATATAGTAATATTATGACAGTATCAATTTTAAATTATGTCTTAAAATAGAGTGATAAAACTAGAGAATTTTGTTTTATAAGATCTTCATCTCTGTGAGTGAAAGGTGAGACTATGAGAGAAAGTATGTATGATAATTCACTGCTCACTATTGACATCTGAAAGAGAGATGAAGAAACAGAGTGACTTCTATCTCTTGACATTTTAATTCAGAATACAAGATCTGATCAAGTTCACAGGCTGAAAATAATGATGATATAGTGATGTATTGATACAGATGAACTGAGTAGTAATAGAAATTGAGCAGAAGCAGTTGAATAGATAATGTAGATAATGTTTCACAATAATAACCTTATATCTGTGAGTCTGCAATCTTTATGTGATAACTGTTATTAGAAGCTGCAATTACTATCTTATCTGAGATTCAATCACAACTGAATCTGAACACTAGAACGCGTATGTAGACATGCTATCATATATAATGTTATTCCATGAAGTTGGTTTCATTCTCTTCTAGCTAGCTAAGATGGGGGAGAATGAGACTATATAAAGGAGGAAAAAGTGGGCGTTCTGAGAATTACGCAGGCATGATGGGAAATACGCGTATGACGCGTAATGTGGACGCGTAGCGTGGACGCGTAGCGCGTAACACATTTTGATCTCTGTGCTTATAGTATGTACTGCTAAATACTCTGTAATAAAATCTCATGTGATGTCATATACATCTCTTTGAATTCATGAATGAGATTGAATAGCTGACTCTACAGTCTGTACAGCTCTGATTAATCTGATAATGATGATAGAGATGATACAGAGTGAAAGAGAGTAGTAGAAGAAGTAGAGATGATGATAATGGTAGAGAGGATAGAGAGTGAAAGAGATGGAAAGAGTGGTAACAGTGAATAGAGATAGAGAATAGAAGTGATAAAGAGGGTTGTGAGGTGGTAGAGGTGGTGATGATGATAGAGGGGGATTGCGGGGCGGTAGAGGCATCGCTTTTCTAGAGGGGTAGGGGTGAAGAAGTGTAAGAGG